AAAAAAAAAAAAAAAGTAATTGTTCATTTAATATGTATATATAAAAATTCTTTTTGCAATGTACGAGATTGCTGTATAACTCTGAACAACTACATATCAATCACGATAACAAGGATTGAAATATAATTTAAAATCAAACGAACTTACCTGTAAGTGAAGTTCGATTTTAATTATATGAAAATCCTTGTTTGAGTGATTGATACCCACCCACTATTCTTTTATGTTTAAACATTGTCGTTTAAGTTTTTATTTCCCACCCAAGTACAGCAATCTCTATTCTCTGAAGGATGAAGGTTATTTGTCAGCAGCTAGGAGCATGAGCATCGGGAACTTCTGGTTGTCTTTTGTTTTTTCTCTCTTTAAATAATCGTGGTTGTCCATCGTAATTCGATGTACTACATATCAATCACTCAAACAAGGATTTTCATATAATTAAAATCGAACTTCACTTACAGGTAAGTTCGTTTGATTTTAAATTACCAGCCGTTTCATGCGGAGTCGTGTATAGATCAAAACTTAATCAGCACGTGGCACGTAGCATTGTGTCAGTCCAGCCTCATAGATAATGCCATATAATGAGAAAAATTCTTGGCTGTATCTCTCGCTCTCCGGCCAACAGATTACATGCGCGCTTATTGAGATATTATAAATATTTTAACATGGAATATAATCGCGATGACGATCGTAATATTGCATTGTCTGCGCCAACTCGCCGATTTATCTATCTCTCTCTCTATGCCAAGTGTAAAATAAAATTACATCAGTTCCAATGTAAATTCCAATTAAAAAAAAAATAACAATATTTAAACGTAAAAGTCGGTCGCTCACTCGCTTTATAATTAAATTCAAGTACACGAGCCGCATACGTGCGTCGAGGCTTTCTTGAAAAAAGACGCGCGCGATCGCATCCGCGTTTATACACACGCGCATATCTAGAGCATTAATTTTTTTTTGTTTGCTCCCGACGAGCCGCGTAATGCATATGTGCCACTGCTGCCGCCGCCGCCGCCGCCACGGCAGCGGTCATCACTTTTCCCCGCAGCGAAGCTGCAAACACGTATACATGTATAAGAGTGCGCGTGTAGTTGTGTAGCCGAGTTTTCCTCGCGGCCGCTGGCAAATTTCTATATTCGCGCAAACGTGCAATTTGCCGATTATGCGTGTGCTGCGTCTGTGTGTGTGTGTATTCTCTTGGCGCGCATTATGCCGCATATACGCACGCGTTTATGTAGGACTGATGGTATGCTAACAATGCCCCGCGCGCGACCCGAGCCTCTGTGCAAAGATGCGTGGGATTTCGTACAAGGCGAGATCGCGAGCGCGAGCTTTAATACACACAACAATGAGACGTACATTTTTTCGCACACGCGCGCGCGCATTATAAGTACCCTTTTTGACGCGCACTGCAACCTTGAAGGAGCGTCTCGAGACGAAAATTCGGTCAAAGTAGTTCGCTGGTGCATCGTATTCGCAGCCGTGGAGTAGACAAAGAATATGTTGCTATTTTATATTACCACCAAAATAGACAGCTATCCCACGGAAAATATGGCACGATTTGCATTTATGTGAAATTCACGTACAAAAGCGGGCGCAAACACGCCCTTTAAATAAAACAACGGTATTACATACGGGAGTGCATAGAAAGTTCGAAAATCGGCTGTACATAAATAAATGCGCGATATATCGGGACAGCTGCCGAGTGCGCGCAAGCAAGCGACGACTACGCCGGACACCGCAATCAGATTCATTTTTTATTTGCTGCTGCTGCGCGTGGGGCTATTAGAGCCTCGTGATCGAGAGATTTATTATTCATATGCGCGAGGAAAGTTTCAGTGGTGCAGATTGATGCTTATATTTATCGGCCTAATGGATACTTCTCGGAGCCGATATCGGCCCTTGCGATCTTTGCGAGCCGGGCCCGCGCTCCCGAGAGAGCTGAACGATCATTCAGCTTGCGGAATGGAAATTGATATGTATTTGGTGCGGAGCTGCCGTATAGCAGCATTTAATTCATCATTTTCATAAGCTGAATTATTCGCATTTAATAATAATGAAAGTCCGTGTACGGCAGCGGGTAATGAGTATTGGTCGCGGGGAGAGATAGTAAAAGATAATAAAACGAAAGAGAGAGGGAGAAAAGTTGTCAAGTTACGAAATAAACATTAATAATAGCCGAGGCTGTAGACGGAGGTAGCGCTTGATTTGCCATCAGGCGGAGTGTGACGACCCCGCGGCGGCGTTACGGGTGCGAATTTATAAAATATTAAACGCGAGAGGCGCACTGCGTTGCAAAATTACTCGTCGTGCGCTGCGGTGCATCACTGCCGCCGCCACAGGCGAGCTGTCCTTTTCCGCGTAGTGTCAATTGCTTGGAAATATATTTCCACTCATTAGACAGTACATTAGCCAGCTTAATATAATATCAATTTAAAACCACTGACACACGTACGTATTGCACACGAGGCACACGACGAGTTGATTTTCGTGAGGTTTGTTTACGTGTACTATAACTGCCATGCAGCACAAAACAAACAGCTCGAGTGACGCTTCTCGCCGATTCATTATATACACGGCAAATATAGCTATACACACACACACATAGACTCGCACACATATTCAGACGCGATCGTAATCTCTTTCTCGCATCACGCCTTCTCTTACTCGATTAGAAAGTCGGGGTCTCTTCTATGGCCGCGATGCTGCCGAGCTGCTGCTGGCTGACTGCCTGCGCGCCTCTACACCACGAGCTTCCATGTGAAATCGCGACTTTTATATGGTATACGCGAATCAATTATCTTTTCCTAAGCATCTCTTTACCGACTGCGGCTGCTTGTTTTTTTTCTCCTTTTCATTTTATTTTCCTTTTTTTTGTTGTTGCTGCAGCGAGCAGAGCTCGTGCGATCGCGTTCCGAGAAATATTCCGCGCAGAATGTAGATTACAAAAATTGTATTTCAAAGGCACACACGAGCTCCTTGCAGCAGATGTTTATGTTGTATTTATCGCTCAAGGACTCCGTGGCACGTTTATAGTCGAAAATAGCGTTTCGTTCGCACATTTAATGCGCCGCGCTATAGAGAGAAATGCAAAAACGATTAGTAAAATAAGATCGCGAACGCGCTTATTTACGGCGACTTTCCCGAACTTATAAGGTCTTGGCGAAGGCTCTTGAACGCCAATTCGCAACAAATTTCTTTTCGTTATACGCGATTCAATCGGCCGAACAAGCTCGAAAATTCGATCGAAAAATCGTCAAATGTATATAATATTGGCGATGATTCAGGCTCGAGACGTCGTAGCTGATCACCGGCACACACATGTATAATATAAACGCGTGGATAAATTTAAATATGAAACATAAGTGAGAATGTCGAAATCGCGCAATAAGATCGTGAATCCTTCAGTAAATAGCACACGTATTTATATACAGCTCTTTTATCCCGATCTCGGTATATAGCATATAAAATATATAGCCCCGCGTATGTATTCGCGTACATGTAGTTCCATTGAAACAATATCAGATCTCTCCTCTTCCTCGACGAGCTCACGAGCAGAGCTCGATCTGTTTGGAAGAAAAAAATGAAATGAAATGAAAAAATTTATTGTTTTTTGATGGCAGAGAGGAGATGCGGCCATCCGGCTGTGCCGATGAACACGAGGGTCTCGCTGTCGGATGAATCATTGAGAGTCGGCACGATTGCCACTTACACCTGCGATCCCGGCTACGAGCTCTTTGGGTAAGTTCTGACTATTATAATATGCTTTTATGTATACGTTTCTCAAGCTGCTTTATTAATTACTGATACAGCAGTTAATTATCGATGTATACACCGTGTTTCATAAACGATCTAATGAACGAAATAGGCGAGACTTTTTGTTGTTATGCGCCTGACGCAATTATATACGTGATCGGTAACTTTTGATTAATCCAATAAACAATCCTGATTAATTCGATAAAGCATAATATATCCGTGCGGTCGCGTGCGCGTCGCCTCGGAATGACGAAAGTCTCGGTCGCGCCAAAGGTTGACGTCCCGCGCAAGTACTACGACACAACACGACGTACACGCGGAAGCTGCAGTCGAGGCTCGCGTGACCGTACACGGCTACCATAAAGAGAAAGAGAGAGAGAGACAATATAATCGTCCTCGACGCGATGGCATATCGCGATCGCTTCCGCGCGTAATCACATTGTCGTGTGCCGTACGTCTCGATTTCTATATAAATACAGCTTCGATTACGCCGCCGTACATTATAATGCATCCCTCGAGTGTACACGTCGGATTACGATACGAGCTTATACTCTGGCAATGTCGTGCGTCGTTACATTTATAACGACTGATTATATTATTTACGTATACCGATTTGCTTTCATTTTTTTTTTGTTTTCCCCGAGCTCCGATCGTTACGCGTACGCGATATTCAATTGCGTATCACAATGCGCCTGGAATTTCACTTTTCAAACGCGACGCCCGCGTTACGCGTTGCCAAGAAAGGCGCGCGCGACGAGGCGATATCGAGCTGGCGCGGTTGACTTTCGATCGACATCTTCGAATTTGACAGCGGTGCGACGATTTTCATTTAAACGTCACTGCCATACTTTACTTGGATATCGCGAATATTGTCAGTGTCAGCGAGCGCGAGCGCGAGAAAGTTGGAGTTAAGCTCGCGACTGTGCATCGATAACGTGACTCGCTCTCTGTATATAAAAGCCGTGTCATTTTCAAATAAATTGTAAGAAAAAAAACCTGTATTTCTTTCAGATCCAACAATACGATCTGCAACAGTCGTGGAAAATGGCAGGGAGAGCTACCAGCTTGCGGTAAGTCGATAAAGAAATAAAGGGAAAAAAGACTAATGGTGGTAACAGCGTCATCGCTCGGTGTAGTAGAAGCAGTTGGCTCGTGCATCGCGGACAAACAATTGACGCTCCGCAAGGAGGGAGAGAGAGATTAAGGAGTCGAGATAGAGCTCGTCGAACACGTGTATACATAAATATCAGCGAGCGAGAGACGACGGAGGAAAAAAAAGGCCGAGCGAAACGGAAACTCTTTTACGCAATGCTCTTTTTTTCTTTTCTATCGCTCGAGCCTATACACGTGTAGACTAAAATCGGCCCGAGATCGGTTCTTGGCAGTTGTTATGCGGCGTTGCATCAAGAGCCTCGCGCGCGCGTGTGGCACACACAGGCCATCCGGATTTCGCGATCGATCTATCTCTCTTTCTCTCTCTCTCTCTTCTCTCGCTCGCTCTTTCTATCTCAAAAGCAACACTCGCACGGGCGTGTGTTGAAAAAAAAGAGATCGTTGCCAACCGATCGAGACGCAAGGGAAAAACGTGAGCTACATGTAATAACTTTCATAACTTTCGATCGGGGCCACTTGACTGTGCATCTACGCGTTCGGCCTGCACAAATGGCTTATTAACGATATATCGAACGTGACGATGAGCGCGTTAACAATCGCATGTAACGAGTAAGGCGAGTGCGGGTACACAAGGAAGAGCCTAAAAATGCAATATAATAGATGCACCGCGGTGAAATCTATCGACTTTGCACGCACACAGAAATTCGGTGCAAATAGGCCGCGGCAGCTGTGTGTGGGTGGTTTCCAACGATATAAATCCCTCCGAGCTTCGATGGGGAAATCCTTTCTCCGGTTCTCACACTCTCGGCGGCGGCTGCTGCTGCTCTTCGATCTCGTTATGGGAGAATATACGCTAGAAACTCTCAGCTCGCTCGCGCGCACGATCATCGGCATTCGAATGCAAAAAATCGCCCCAGCTAGACTCTGCTCTATGTGTATACGTGTCTATGAATGCATAACGCGTCTGTACGGTCCGTGCACCATATGCAGTGCATTATACCTGCCGGAGTACTAACATGTTCTCTCTCTCTCGCGCGCGCGGTTGAAAGGAAAAACGGAAAATTATAAGGCCTATTCAGTACTGACTTATGCAACGGCGCTTGGCTTTGTATGTGTGTATATAAACATGGTCAAAGAGTCGCACGATACACGCTGTACGCAAGCCGTCGGTGTGCGTTGCACGTCGTTTTACGCGTGTGAATTTCATTTATGTGCATGCGCCAAACAGGTGTGAACGTCGGCTACCGAAAACCGGCCAACCAGTCGACGACGGTGCGAGGGGGTGACGCCAGCCACGCCAACGACGGCGACTTCAGCACCGAGCACGACGGCAAACGATGCACCGAGACCCAGAAGGAGCACAGCCCCTGGTGGAGAGTCGATCTGCTCAAGCCCTACGCCGTCAAGGTCGTGAGGGTGACCACCCGAGGCTGTTGCGGTGAGTTATGATAAATATACGCAACTCGCCTGTATTAACTTGTGTAGCGCACGCAATAAGTGTCGATTTTGTAATCGGCAACTTTATTATTATTTTACTCGTTTACGGATGATTGCACTTGTCTGTACGTATAATAGCGCCGCGCGCACAAGATAATTACACGCGCGTAACGCGTCGGTTTTTAACGCTTGCGCATTCCTCGACAATAGAGTAAGCTGTAAGCGTAATTTTGCATTTTATTTCTAAAACGATTATTTTACTGATTGTGTGCTGCTGCTGCTGCTGCTGTGTGGCGATCATGCAGGTCACCAACCTCTGCAGGACATCGAGATTAGAGTCGGCAACAGCAGCGCCGAGCTCCAGAGAAATCCATTATGCGCTTGGTTCCCCGGAACGATCGGTACGTTAAAAGCCGGAACGCAGCATCGGTTCTAGATATATCATAGGCAGACGAAAAAATGTGGTTCCTTTTTGTTGTCTCGTTCTTGTTGCAGAGGAGGGCATGACTAAGACGTTCACGTGTGCTCGTGCGTTGATCGGTCAGTACGTCTACCTGCAGCTGGTCGGCGTCGAGAGCAGCCTCAGCATCTGCGAAGTCGAGGTCTTTGCCACGGATGGTGAGTCTCTTTTTATCGATAAAAAAACAAAAATTATACAGCATCTTCCGTCGTGATCCCGCAAGTATATAATGCTCATGAATTTTATTGCAGAGTTCTCGGTGGACAAGTGCGCCCAGGCCGGTACCGCAGCCGACGCCGATCTGGCCGCCTTCAACTCGACCTGCTACGAGTTCGCGTTCGGCGGCAAGACGTTCCAGGCGGCGCGGAGCTACTGCCAGTCGCGCGGCGGCGATCTCGTGCACGGCTTCATCAAGGTACGTCACGACGATGCTCATGAACCGAATAACGAGCCAGCGAATGCCAGGCTGAACCCGCTTCGCCACACTACTAGCACTCGCCATAAATATCCCATTAGCTTTTCCAATCGCGATTCGAGTAGTAGCATCTTCGATCCTCGTTACGCTCATAATTTACGTGTTGCATTGCTCGAGCAGGGAGCCGCGACGACTTTCGTGACCAACAATCTGGAACGGCGCAAGAGCAAACTGAAGACGACGTTCGTCTGGATCGGCGCCCAGAAGGAGCCGTCCACCGCACCGACGCCCTGGAAGTGGGTCGACGGTAAGCCATATCCTACTATTACCGTAGCATATAAGTAACGTAATTAGCCGATTGGGAGGGAGCCGATAAAATCGCGCGATTAATTATACGCGTGTCGGCCGGGGCCGATTGTGACAGCCGTGTAAAAATTTGAATTCAAACTCGGCAACTCAACAATGTACCTACTATCGCGTACCGCTCTCAAGTACCATAAGTGCAACAACGTAAGTGAGCTCTGAGGTATATCACAGCCGAGCTGTAGCTGAGAACGGGGCCGCTCGCGTACACGTCTTTTCTCATCGCTTTAGACTATCGATTTCTGTCGCAATCGCTCGTTTCCATACACGTTAAGTACCAGAGCGTCGCACAGTGTAAGCGATACGATATACATCCTATGCACGCATATTATGCAGCACCTGTTCCGCGTTATACCACACGCGATTTATAACGTTTGTGTGTGCGCATTCAATTACGTTTGCAGGCGAGGTGATACAGAAACCGCAGTGGGCAGCCGACCAGCCGAATAATTACAATCGAGAGCAGAACTGCGTCGTGTTCGACGGTGGACGCTCCTGGCTCTGGAACGACGTCGGCTGCAATCTCGACTATCTTCACTGGATCTGCCAGAGCAGTGAGTTGTACCGAAAATATCAACTTCGCGAATCGAATTCACTTCGAGATTTTCAACGCTACGCGTGCCTTTTCTTTGCAGAGCCTTCTGTCTGCGGCAGTCCCGAGAAGTCCGAGAACACGACGATCTTGAGCACGAATCGGAAGATCGGTTCGACCATCGAGTACGCTTGTCCCGACGGCCACATGCTCATTGGCTCGAAGAATCGAACTTGCGAGTCCAGTGGATTTTGGAGCGGTTCGCCGCCAACCTGTAAATGTAAGTTCAGCTTTCTCATGACATCTTATAATATTATGGACTCATGATTTTTTCAACTCCAACTGGATGAGTAAGATTCAAGTCGAAATGAAAAAATTAAAGTATGCGAACGTTTTTAGGTACTCTAGATATATAATTAGATAATTAAAGATAGTTATCTCTTGTCTATTCTAGATATTATCTAGATAACTATAAATTTTAGTTTTTAGGCACTTTAGATTTTTTCGAGTATTTGAACAAATCATAGTTATTAGGAACTTTTCTCTTCTTTACTCCTTAATAATATTGGGCCTTATGAAATAAAATTTTAAAACTTAAAAACAATCGAGTACTCAACAATCGTACATTCGCCCCTATTTTTAACTTGATGCGCATTAATGCTGAAAGTAAATAATTATAATTTGTAAATATGCGCATAGTCGTGGACTGCGGAGAGCTCGAGTCGCCGGAACACGGACGAGTCAAGTTGCTGAACGGCCGGACGACCCACGGAGCGATAGTCGAGTACAAATGCGAGGAAAATTACACTCTCGTTGGCGACACGGCTAGAAAGTGTGGCGACGGCGGCATCTGGAGCGGCCATCAGCCCCAGTGTTTGTGTAAGTCACCTCGACTCATTATTATCCTTCTTATCTTCGATATTTCTTCCTCTTTTTTTCTTACTCATTTATTCGATTTCCAGTCGACTGGTGTCCCGAACCACCGGAGATCAAAGGTGGCTTGGTATCGTTCAGCGGCAAACGCACCGGCTCCAAGGCGACCTACACCTGTCAAAAAGGCTTCGTCCTGTTCGGCGACAACGTAAGTCCCATACAAATATTTCGAATTTTTGTGCGTCGCGCGCTCGTGGGTGTGCCAGTACAGACCAGAGAGCATGGCTAAAATTAATTATCGTAACCTCGATACACGCGCGTCGTTATAGCGTGTGGCTCGGCTGTAAGGCGCCCGTGATACCGATCGAGCACGTTGCCGAGTCACGCGCGCACCGATCGACACGCCAGATGAAAAATTCTTAATTCGCAGCGATAATTGTATCGTGTATAAAATTTCTAACGGACGTAAATGCAACGAACAACGAGTTCGCAACGATTATTCGAAAGTAGAAAAATTATTAAACAGAAATCGTCGTGGAGGTTGTTACGTCGCATTGGCCAGCGGACACACATGTACACTCACGGACACGGACGCAGAGGGACAGACGCACAATCGCGAGTGAAAGGAGTCGCATTGAGATTGGAATTGTCGGATAATAAATGATATATTATATATAAACGGTGGCGTGCGCGCGCGCTTGCGATATTATTACAGGTACTCACTTGCGATATCGGAGGTCAGTGGTCGGGCAAACGGCCGGAATGCCGTTACGTGGACTGCGGCTCACCCGCCCAACTGAGCCACGGCCAGGCCCAGCTGCTGAACGGCACGACGAGCGTCGGCAGCGTCGTCGAGTACAGCTGCGACGAGGACTACTGGGTCGACGGCAAGCCCGTGCAGGAGTGCACGCGCGAGGGCAAGTGGAGCCACCCGAGCCCCAGCTGCGAGCTCATCACCTGCGAGGAGCCCGAGGTGCCCAACGGCAGCTACGTAGTCGGCTACGACCTCTACGTGCACAGCACCATCGAGTACCACTGCGAGGAGGGCTACCTGCTGAGGGGACAGGCCAAGCACACCTGCGACAAGAACGGCGAGTGGACCGGCCAGTTGCCCCATTGCCAGTGTGAGTGCCCCGCAGGATTTTGCACGAGTTTATCGCGAGGAGCTTATCGAGCTAATCGAGCGATGCATTGTATTTTACAGTCATCGACTGCGGCAAGGTGCTGCCCGTGCCCAACGGCTCGGTGGACTACGTCAACGGCACGACCTACCTCAACAGCGAGATCGCCTACAGCTGCGCCAAGAATTACCGGCTGAACGGCAGCTCGAGGCGCTACTGCCTCGACAACGGCATCTGGAGCGACGCGACGCCCAAGTGCGAGGAGATCCGCTGCCTCGAGCCGACCCTGGCCAAGCACGGCATCCTGTCGCTGACGGGCAACGATCGCATGTACGGCAGGACCCTCATCAGGACGGGCACCGCCGAGAACTCCAACACCGGGGCCACCTCCTACAAGATCGGCGCCCTGGCCAAGTACCGCTGCGAGCGCGGCTACAAGGTCGTCGGTGACTCGCTCTCCACCTGCGAGGAGAACGGCAAGTGGAGCGGTGACGTGCCCCAGTGCGTCTGTGAGTTGCCATTTTTTTTTTCGAGTCAGCTATCTGCAAATCTATGCAAGTATACTTTACTCGCGTCATTTTTTCCAGACGTGGACTGCGGCAAGCCCGAGGAAATCCAGCACGGCAGGTACACGCTGACGTCGAACGTCACGTATTACGGCGCCGCGGCCCTGTACGAGTGCGACGTGAACTACGAGCTCGATGGCTTCGCCAGGAGACAGTGCCTGGAGAACGCGACCTGGAGCAGCGAGCCACCCCTCTGCAAGGAGATCAAGTGCAAGGAGCCCGATAAGATCGGTATGGCCAGCGCTCAGGTGTCGACCTACAGCGTCGGCGGTGTCGCTCATTACAATTGCCCGCGCGGCTACATAATGGAGGGCAACGCCACGAGGATCTGCCAACAGAACGGTTCCTGGAGCGGCTCGTCGCCCTCGTGTTTCGGTACGTTTTGGCTCTTTTTTTATTTTTTTAGACGCGTCGCCCGGTTAAAAACCGATCCGATATCGCTAATTTCTTATTTCTAGCTGTCGATTGTAAACACCCGCCACTGATCGAGAACGGCCGAGTCATCGTCGTGAACGGGACGACGACCTTCGGAGGCGCCGCCGAATATCATTGCCTGCCGCAGTTCGAGAGATCGGGCCTCTTCCTCAGAAAGTGCCTCGATACTGGATTGTGGAGCGGCGAGGAACCAAAGTGCATCGGTAAGCATTTCAACGACTTTGACTATTGAAATATCCAATTATCGAGTACCAATTATATTCATTGGAAAAAATGATATTTTTCAGAATCCACGCACGAGATGGCCGAGGTTCAGGGTGTCGGCACTAGTGTCGGAATCTCCGCTGCCATCATCATCGTCATACTCATAATCATCGGTATAGTCTATCTCAGGCTGTAAGTATCATTTTTGAAATTATCTTCGTTAACGATCTGCCAGGCTAATAGGCTGAATTTAACGTAATGCTATCGACTTGCGCAGACGCAAAGCTACACCGGTGAAGAACACGGAAAACGTCCAGGCGGCCGAGCGCAAAGAGGACCAGAACGCCGCGGTCATGTCGTACGCGACCCTCAACGACGGCACCACGACGACCATGTACGAGAACGTCCCGGAGGACGGCCTCTACGACAATCCCTACAGCATGACCGGTAGCACCTACGGCTACGGCACCAACGGCCGGAGGACTTACAACAACGGCCGCTCGGCGGGTCACTACGAGGCCGAGCCGGTCAATCGCAACGGCATCACCATCAACGGCGTCGCGGTCAGATAGACGAACAACGACAAAGTATCGTCGCATCGCGCCACGACTATTATAGTTTAGGACTGCGCTCGTTTGCGACACCTACGAATGGTTTAGTCAAAGAGTTCCAAAATATACTTCATATATTTTTTATTTTGCTGTATAAGAGCGAGGACGATCGTCTCGTTGTACGTGCGGCTGTACATACAGATTATACAAACGTTAGATATTATTCCTTTCTAGATGCGATATATTATTTATTTATAAATATTTACTATATGTATTTAGAACTGATTTTTGGTTTAATTCACAAAGTACTCGGTAAGATTTTATTGTTTCCTTAGGCCTATAAGACATTTTGTTACATCGTTTTAGCTCGCTATAATATAATTATTTATTAAATAATATAAAAGCAACGAAAAACAAAACAATGTGAGTATTTTACAAAGAAATTAAGAGTAGAGAGACGTGCTCGAATTGCTGCGAGGACGTGTATATTTTAGGATTTTTTATATAAAAAAAGATACGCAAAGTATCGAATTATAAGTTTTTACGATTTGTAAATAGTTTGATGAAAAGAGAATATTCATATACCCTGTTTTGCTATATCCTATAAGCCATATATAGTAGTAGTAAAGGCATCACTTGTATAAATTCATCAATTTTTTGTAAATATCCTCTTGAAAATACGCCCATTACTTTTTAATTGTAATACCGAGCCTTACCCCCCTCCCCGTGTGTTTTCCTATGGAACGTTGCACTTATATTTTTACATTTAAGGAGGGTCAAACGAATTAATTAAGCAAAGGCTTACATAAGTTTTAGATAACATTATGCAATTAGGAGATATGAAAACTGTTGGTTCCAATCATGGTTTTGCATGTATCGCAATAAATGAAAATTCGACATTTAATCTCACACACATCTGGGCTATTTCATTTCCCCTACCTACTTTCAGTCCTTGGAAATTCGAGTATATACAAACAATGAACAAATCACTCGTTCACTCAATTTACGACTGTTGAGAGCAGAGCTGTGTTATCTTGTGAAGAAACCGAAAAATGGAGCCATCACCTTCTGACCAGAGTGACGCAGTACGTAATATTTTTTAAAACAATTTTTTTTATTAAAAAAGGAATGGCTCAATTAAACTAATCAAGGAGACGAATTGAGCTCTTAGAAACTTGTCGATAATGGCTCGTAAAAGTTAAGTTCGAAGTATTTAGTTGGGTCAGAGGCCGATAAATATTTTTCAGCTCTACTCGGAGCACATTGTCTCTCTCATGGTATAAATTTGCACCGTCAGATATCGCTAGCTACCGAGGCGAGGCGCGGCGAGTTCCGCGAGCTGGAGGGAGCGCGACACGACTGCTCGTCGGCTCTCGGCGTCTCTCGGCTTCCTTCGGCACATGACGTATGCTCGCCTACATGAACATACACATACACAACATATATGTATACACATACACATCGTTTGGTTTTCCCACAATATTTTTGCTGCCGCGCTCAGGCGCGGGTACGCTGGAGATAGCGACTCCACCAATCCTCTCGCCCAGTGCTCTTTGCTTGCAGTAATATAACGGCTGTCTACGCAGACGAACGGACGTTACTTACTTTCTCATCTCCAGCAACTGTTTGCTACAGCAAAAATAAGTGAGTGATTGCGATTGTTGGGTTGTTTCTTCGTGCCAATTGCAATTTTCCGAGGCCTTGGGACGACTCATGTGTTTTCAGTTTTGACAGTTTTTTCGCTTGCCTTTGTTTGTGTGTGTGTGTGTGTAATAAGCCTTGCAGAAAACAGATAGGCAGCCATTGTATTCGTGCGTGCACACATATGTGTACGCACACACTGTACTATATCACTTTCGTATCTTGACTTTACGCATACCTCTGGACAAGAGTCATCACTCTGGCCTCGATTTTTTACCCAAAAAGTACTTGTCACTTTTCGTCTCAGATTTTACTTGCTGCCTCTTGCGCGACGTTGTTTTTATCCTTTTAAAGCCTTGTACGCTCGACTCTTGCTCAATATAGATAAACTCCACTCAAAAAATAAACCGTGTAAACTTGACATTGGTCAGTCGAATGTATCAATGTTTAATTTTTATTGTTTATATTTGTGACGTACAACACGGATTCTTACGCTACGCCTATAATTGATTCGCGCCATGTAAATCTTGTGCTCTCAATTTTCCTACCAAATCAAGACATGCACTCTTTAGGATTTATCATGAATGATTCATTGAGGGATTCTGTGACCATATATAGATATTAGTCATCCATGTTGAGATTCTGACTGCAGACTTATAATTTACAAAGTGTCAAAAGTATTGTAAAATATTTTTGTCTTAAAATACTTTGGTTGCATTTTTTAATAATGTTGTAATTTGGATCAATTTTGATTACTCAGCTGACTTCCATACACAGATTGATGAATGCATTGCCTTATACTTGATTGCTGACCTATGCTATTATTTCTGTCAACATTTTTTACATGACTTGGCCTATCAAAGAATGGCCTATTCAATATTCACATAAGCACTTTTAATATCTTCTCTTATTTTCAAATTTTTAATATCAATAACATTGATAAAAACTCATTGATGAAGAAGATAAGAAATGTATTAATTGTAATACTTATTTCAGTTAAACATGTCTTCAAGAAAAACAGCTGGACGTCGTGCCACGACCAAGAAACGTGCGCAGCGTGCAACTTCAAATGTGTTTGCAATGTTTGATCAAGCACAAATTGCAGAATTCAAGGAGGCTTTTAATATGATTGATCACAATCATGATGGTTTCATCGATAAGGAAGATCTGCATGATATGCTAGCATCGTTAGGAAAAAATCCAAGTGATGACTATTTGGAAGGCATGATGAATGAAGCCCCAGGTCCAATCAATTTCACAATGTTCTTGACACTTTTTGGTGAAAGACTGCAGGGTACTGATCCTGAAGATGTTATTAAAAATGCATTTGGTTGTTTTGATGAAGAAAATAATGGCCACATTAATGAAGAGAGATTAAGAGAACTTCTTACATCCATGGGTGATAGGTAAACCTATAGTTTAGATTTCTATGCATTAGTATTACATTGAACTCAAATGCATAATGCTTCTGTTTTTATTTTTTATTAGGTTTACTGACGAAGATGTGGATGAAATGTATAGAGAAGCTCCAATCAAGAATTCCATGTTTGATTATCTAGAGTTCACCAGGATTCTGAAACATGGAGCCAAGGATAAGGATGAGCAATAATCAAGTCAAGAATTATTAGTATAGGCAGAACAGACGATATTACAAACCAATATTATTTATATACATTTATAAACAATTTATAATAGGAATTTTTGACCTCTTTTAATGTTCTGCATTTAACTAGTAGTTTTAAATTACTATAGCACTCAAATAGTAGTTTATCATTGATTTTCAAATAAATTCAAAATAATTCTATACAATCTTGATATTCAGTTGTTAACACCAGGATATCAAGCAATTCATGATGGTAACAACTGAGTGTGTATAGAAGGCCTTTTAGTACATTTGATAACATACTACGTTAGTAAAGCTTGCGCAAAATTTATCAGTTGTTTCAAGAACTTAAGTAATGCATTTAATTGTCACATTTGGAATTAATTTAACGCATAATAAAAGTGCCTATTTCTCGTGACATAAACAAGTATTAAAATATCAATCAAATCTTAATCATTGTTTTATCTTTTGGTATAAGAACTCTCATGTTGTATAATCACGTTTTTTTAATTGTTACTTCATGGACTGCAAAAGTGTACATTACAAATATTGATACTCAAAAAGCGGCATTTGTATTTTAATACAAAAACATAATATATAATAATATACATTATCACGAAAGATGAAGGAAATATTTTCTGCGTTAACAACCTAAGGAAAGTCCAAAATAATTTTGTCACTTACGATGAGCCCACTCCGATATAAAATTGAAGATTCACGCTCACGTTGGGTTGAAAATATAGACGAAAATATTCGATGCGGCTCGTGCCAGCGCCTAATGGGATGCATCGTTGTTAATGTCATCCGTTACAAGATATAACGAGCTGATGAAATTAGACGCACTTTTTGCAAGTTTTAAATAGCTCGACTATACGTTTTTGTCGGGCCAAGTTAGCGCGCGTTTTAAAAAGCCAATTAAGCTCGAGGTACTGCACCGGCCTGGCGACAATTTATTTTCAAGAGAACCAATACATGGGGAAATTTTCATCTCAAAATGACTCGTATACTCGGATGGTGGATTTTCGACTAAACGCGTCTATGAATGAGAGCGGAGAGGGTTGCGCCAAAAAGACCGAGAGAGTAATCCAAGTGAATTCGATGCAGCGCGGCGAGCTTGGATCAAAAAAAAAGGGTCGAAAATATCGATCGTCTTCGGGCGGTATAGGTACACGGCTTGGACTAAGGGCAAAATTAAACGCGAGAAAATTCCCCCGAGACGATACGGATAATGGCAACCCCTCGGTGCAGGCTCGGCAAGATATTTATGTGGGACGTGTGCGCGGAGGTGGGTATACATAAGTATCGACGAAAGGGGCCGATCAGCAGCAGTAGCAGCAACTCGCAGAGAGCATCGATTGAATGACACGCTAGAAAGACGATAAAAGGGGGACGCAAAAGCAAAAACAACGTCGGCCAGGAGAGGAAAAACAAGATCGAAGATTCGAAATTTCTCTCTCTCTCTCGAATTTTGTGCACATTATCACGGAGCTGGCGTTGCCGCTGCGTCTGCGCATTTTGCAAGCTGTTAAAGCGCCGTGACTCCGACTGGCGCCGACGTTGTTTTCATATAAACTCGGCACTGCTGCTGCTGGCTTGTGTGCACATACACACACACACACACACACACACACACACACACACACATGTATAATATATACGTGTACAGGGTGCCCCTTCTACGTGATAGCTAAACCTCCTACGCTCGAGGCGCGCTCTGGCTCGACGATAAGCGCGAAGCAGCAGCAGCAGCAGCAGCCAGCAGTGCGAGAGCGAGAAAGAGAGAGAAAGAGTCGGGCCGACTATGTAGATGCATTTGTGGTATATACGACGCTTCGAGCTTCATTGCGGGTCAGTATCGTTCGCTCGCTTACCTCGTGCGTTTCTCGCTGCGACTCGCGGAGATTCTCGTCTCGCGTTTCACATAGCGTATCATACATACATAGTAAGTCCGTCGTGTGCGCTACTCTGGCGTATTGCATACGTGCGCGCGTGCGTGTGTGACATCGCTGCAGGGGCACGGGGCAGCCCTTTCTTTCTGTTCCTCGCCTTTTTCTCGCCCTCGTCCCAGGCCTTTTTTAACTCCAAGCTCCCGTGACGTTGCATCTGCCTCTATGATGAGATAAAGGAGGAGAGAGTGAGAGAGAGTGAAAAAAGAGCGGCTGAGGGATGTCCGAGTTTAACTTTTTTTTTGTACGATTAACGAGGCGCCTGTTGATGAGTCGAGGAAAAGCTCGCGCGACTCGGGACTCGTAGAGCTTTCGTGTTGATCGAGCTTCGCCTGACCGGCGTGACGGACGTAATTTTCATGGAGCTTTCGTGGTCATCGTCTCGTACTTGCGATATTTTTTGAGGTTATTGGCGAGTGGAGCGCGCCGCCGCCGCGAGCTTCTGCTGCTCTCATATCTCCCATCTATATAGTTACGATCATAGTCGCGCTTTTCCGTGTATAGGTGCGCGAAAGCTCGCCTCTCTCTCTCTCTTTCTCTCTCTGCAACGCGGACCAGTCTATCTACTCACTCTCTTTCCTTCTCACTCTCTTCTTCTTCTTCTTTTCCCTATACATTCGTTTCCGCAAGCTCGTCGCTCGGAGGGGCTCCAGCGAAAAAGCTTGAATGAATTTTCCTCCTTAACTCGTTACAACGCCTCTGTTTTTAGTTTTCGTCACGCATGTAGTGGGTGACCAGCGCGCGATCAGTCGAGTGTGCGGTGCTGCGTTTGTGCTGCTGCTGTCTGTCTGTCTGTCTGTCTCTGTGCGAGGATACGTGACTCCAGAGAGAGAGAGAAAAAAAGGAGAAAAAAGCTGCAGTGCCCGATGAAGCTGAAAACGAAAAAGGCCAACGGCTAACGACCTTTAGCCTAGATTTAGCCTAGTTCCGTTTCTCCATCGACTCGACACGCCAGGCCGAGCGAAAAAAGAGAAGGAGGAGGAGGAGGAGGAGGAGGACGTTGCCATCTGGCAGTGCATTAGCACCAGGGCAGGGATCGCTCGAGGAGTCGTCGACGTATTTGGAACGACGACGACGACGACGCATCGTCTCGCTGGAAAAGCTCGTGTCGTGCAGCGAAACCTGTACCAAATGCAGCGGAGCACGCGCTGCGCAATCGAGCTCCGGGCCAGCAGTTCGCGCGCCGCCACGAAAGCCTCGCGCAGAAAACAACATGACGACGAGGCCAGGCATCAGCTGTTATTCGACTGACCCGAAATCGCAGCCCATCTCTGCCAGGTATATATCGAGCCACCTGTTTATATCGAGCTTTCTCTCGTCATTTTCTCCAAACTCGACAAAAAAAAGCTTAAATCGAAAAAAAATCATAATTTCCGCGAGCTACATTAATTAAAGCCTATGCTAATAATAACGACTCGGATGAAATTTCCCGCTCGGCTATCGTCGGGGCTTTCTCTCGCTAATGCGAATTACCGCGTGAGAAAATCGGTCACTCGAGGCTTGCGCTTATAAAAGTCCTCGACCATGGTAATTCGCTTGGTTTTTTTTTTGTTCCATTAACGATAGCCGAATAAATAGACAGCTTCCGTGGGAGAGAGAGCTGGGAGGAGTAGCAGTTATTATACAGCCGCGTTTTTATTCGTACATATAAAAATGCACGATGTGCGTTAGTGGAGAGATGAATTTTACTGACGCTATAATAAAAAGATTAAAGTCTGAAATTGCGCCGGCGATATTTTGCTTTTCTCTCGAGGCCCGAGGAGCGCGCCGTCGTCGTCGGGGAGTCGCGGCGGCAAATCCTAATCCAATCGTCTTATATACATTTAATATCGCCAGCTCGTATAGGATCCCGCGCTGACGTAGCATCGATTTACAACTTGCGATATTTTCCCTCGTGCCGCCGCCTTGGCTGTGTGCATGACACGAGGCTAATACAGTTTATAGTATTGTGCCGATCTCGCGGTCCCGCGATGAGTAATGCGCGCGTAGTACGGCTGCAGCAGATCGACGCACGTATCAACCCTCGAAGGAATCGTTTTAGCCAATCTCGCGCGCGCGCGAGTAATACGAGTAACGAATCGCAGTCGTGGCCGCGAGGCACGGCACAAAAGTACCCACTCCATGACTCGAGGAAAAATCATCGACTTTTCAATCTCTCTTTCTCGGTGACTCGGTACAACGCTCCGGTGTGTTGTGTGCCTCGAGCGCGCGGTAATCCAATACCCAATGTCGACGCGCGCCGTAGCACGCGCTCATCCGTCCGACAAAATCGCGCTACATTATAGTGCACCCACACTGCAAACTCTATATTATGTTCAGAGACTAGAGTCTCGGCTTGGACGCGTGTAAACGGCTTACAAAAAAGAAAAAAAAATGAGCGAAGCATTATCTCAGCGAGCTCGCTCTTTTTCTTCGCTCGCGCACACGTATATGTAGGTACGACGCGTAGCTGCCGCTAAGTAAGTAGGCGTCTGTCACCTTGAAAAAGCGCCAAAGAGTCCGAGACGACGACAGACGCGATCGTAAGCACATGTGTACGTGTGTATACATTCACGTGCTGGCTATACACAGACGTATGCAGGCCGAGGTAGATGCACTTGCAGGCGGTGTGTGTAAGCCGATACACCTCCTCGTCGGGCATTATGCAATGCGCTGCTCTATCCGAGCTCGAGGCACACAGAGCTCTCCTCGCCCAAGCTATACTCGTCTGCAGTCTGCGCGTCCGACGTTTGATCTTATTAGAAATAATAACGCGTCGCTCCTACAGTTCGGGCGATTTTACTTCAATTTTCCCTTCGATTCTGCCAAAGAGCTTCTTTCGAGTTCTCGGAACTTTTCACTGCAGTGCGGGGATCTGCAACTTTGTAAATGTAAACTCCGAGGCTCTTGTACTCGTGCATACGTGTGTGCTTTATCTCGTTATGTATTTCGCTCTGATTTGCACATGCACTGGTGTGTGCGTGCGCGTGTGTGCGACGACTATATAACGAATCTCGCCTTCGCCGCAAGTAGACCAACGCTCTCGAAAAATTACTTTATGCGCGATCCTTTCGTTCGCCACGAGATTATCGATCGGAGCTTTTATTTTACGCGTTCGCGCCTAAAGTTCGATAATCGCACTTGAGCTTTATCGTTAAAGCGTCGACCTCGACTTTCTTTAAATATAACACGTATACCACCTGTGTTGTAGCATATATTACACGCGAGGCGCACATATCTATACTGACACAATAAAATACGTTACACGAGTCACATAATGCATAGGGTTAGACCGGAGACATTTATTATTAATCGATGGTAATTACCGCACGTGGCTTGTTTATTATTTAGAGTGAAAAACATTTGGAAAAAGGTGAATAATAGCTGGCTATCCGGCGCGCAGGCGCACGAGAGCTTATTAGCGATACCGTTAGTCTAGCCACGCCATACCGAGCCAGCCAACATCTCCGCTAAACTTTCTTTTTATATTAAAACTTATGAAGACGTATATATATAATTATAAGAGTGCACGAGTCGAGCGAGCTGCTGCAGGATCGCTGCGGAAAAAGTCTTCTCCTATACGTCTTCTAACGGAATTGATACGTCGCGGGGCTATTATTTAGGTATTATACGCTCGAGCGTTTCTGCGGATGAGGATCACGATCGTTGCCACATATTTATGTGCAGCTATATAATACTCATACTGCGAGAGAGAGAGAGAGAGAGAGAGAGCACGTGCTACTTTTTCCGCTGCGATCATCCGACGAAAATGTTTAATATCAAACGCCGACGACGATGTACAACTATACGCGGCGAAAAGCCGACGCGTATATAGTTGTAGCTGTGTACGAAAGCGAGAGTGTTTGTGTGTGTGGCCTTTGGACGTGCCTTTATTATCGTGTGTGTATGCAGCATTTGAGCTACTGCTGGGAGCCCTTGACGCGCGCGCGTGTCGCCTCGTCGTCGTCGACGTCGTATTGCCCCTCGGAGCGGCTCGCACCCATCCACCAGCGGCGTACACACAACAAACTGACGGACGAAATTGTTATGCCGCCGAGTCTACGCTACGCGCTTTATTCAATGACTTTTTATACTTTTTTTTCTTTATTTTCCCTCTTTTTTTCGTCTCCTTCGCTGCGGAGCAAAAAACTTCTTATAGCTATACGTGAATGTAATGCTCGCACATTTGGCCGAGATTCAACATTTACATGAAAGTGCGTCTGCTGCAAGTGTATTAGAAAAAGGAGCTTTTTCCCTCGCGCGAGGAACCCCTTGGCGCCGTCGCGCGCGTTCCAACTTCCCGAGCTTATAATCATCTCGCAATCGCAAGCTCGTTCTTTCACGCAGTCAAGCCAATAATCTCGTTCGCTCGCTTCGCGCAATTTCTTTTATTCCTGTTTTTCTTTCTTTTTTTTTCGACATCTCAAAATAAATAATCGAATCGTCGCGAGTACCGAGAGTGGCAAGAAAACACGAGGAAAAAATTGCCCAAGCTCGAGCAATTAATCCGTCGAAAGCTTACGTGTTAATTTCACACACGTCTCGTCAGGAAATGGTACTTTTCGCATTTTCCTCCCTTCGTCACGATTCACGAATAATCCACTCCCCTTGTACGACCTCTGGCTTGTTGTTGTCACTGCCTCACCGGCGGCACCGACGGCCCCCTCATCTCTCTCTCGGCAGTCTAGGCAGTTGAAAGAGAAACGCACACACACACGGACGTTTATACGCAGTCGTCGCAGGCGCGCTGGAAAAATAAGCGCGAGCATGAAATGTCTGTCAAAAAGCACACACGCACACACACAAATCGAGCGTCGGCTCGGGATTCTTCGTCCCTTCTTTCCTCCCTCGGCTTTCTTTGTGCTTAAACAATAAATTACTGCGGCTCAAAAGCTATGTATAATATCCTAGTCCCTCGGGGGCTGCGAAATCCATACTCCTTTTCTGTCCTTTTGTTTTGTAAACTCGCCGCGCGCGACTTATACTTTTATTTAATTAAGTTGGATACGGCCTCTTATTTGCTTGATACCCGTTTTCTCAACTCGACCACTTGAAGATCGAGTGACTTGAAAGACAGAAGTCCTTTAATCTTTTCAAACTTATTCAAAGCCTCGTGCTCGACAATAACTTTATATCTGACAATCACAATTTAGCATCGATAGTAGTAACCGCCAAGTTATTTGAACTGTCTCTTAGTTAAAGAAACTGTAAAAAAATTTCAACTTACATGCTTGCTCCGCAATGAAAAAGCTACCGATCTTGATATACTATGTATAAGTTGGAAAAGTCGCAAAACACCAGCAGAAAATGACTCAGAGCTGGACGATCGTAAGTACGTTGCAGTCGAGCTCCATACGGCCGAAAGTTAAGTTCAAGTAGGGGGGCACGAAGAGCCGCGTGCAAAGAAGCGAGCCCAAGAGGGGCAATGAATGGGGTAACAAAAAGTCATAAGATGCACCCCTCGCGGCGCAGAGCTCGACAAGCAGCAGCAGCAGCAGAAGCAGCTACATATAGATATAGGCCGTGACGCTTGGGGCGCACATATCGATCGCGTATGTCACGTCTGCTGCCTTGCACGCACACGTGAGCTTTTAGATGCTTGACCAAACGTTATGTCAAGCTCGCCTCTCCGCCTGCCTTCCCCTTGTGTCTGTGCACACTCGTATACATGTACGTACGTTTGGTATGTAAGATAGGGACGGTACCGCGCTCCTATTAATTCACAGATACGCGACTATCCGCGCGGGGATCGAAATATATTTAAAATATATTACGCCAGTAGAGGCGCGATAGTTAGATTATAGCTGCGAGATACTCTCGGCAGGTATATACCTGTATAGGTGTGTATAAATGTGTAAAAATCGGCTGAGGTTCGCGTGCGCAGCGGCGGCAGCAGCAGCAGGTCGCCTGCCACTGGATACCGAGTCGCGCACAGCTCTACATAGTTCAGCTCGCGCGCATACGGTATAGTTTTACAGCACTGTAACGTGAATTAAACATCATTGCACCGCTAGACATGCGATTCTCTGTGCTATATGCTTGGGCTATTGTGAGCTATACATAAGGCGCAACACATGTACTCGCTCGTATCGTTGCTACACATCTCCGCGAGCGAGCTCGTTTTTTATTCTACGTATTTTTCTATAGGTGCACCCCGCGACTAATTCATTTTTCTTCCTTGTAAACTATTAGCAGGAAAAATAGCAGCGAGATGACAGATCGCGTGAATTTTTAATTGTTCTGGGATAAAATGTAACCTGCACCCATCCTGTTCTTTACACGAGAGTTGCGGATCGAGCTCGTTATCGCGTAGGCTCCTATTATCCGTCATCTGATTCGCGTCATAGATGACTATCGCCGCTGTGCCTCGTTTTTTCTTCACACCCACGCGGTGCTCTTTTTTTTTAATTCGCCACGACTGCTTCCTGTGGGTGCTCGATCGGAAATAGATACTTGTAATGAATTTCGCGCGTTTCCATTACGCTACTGCTGCTGCTCCACTCGTGCGCCGGAGCAATTACTATTTCGCAGCGACGAATGTGCCTGAAAATGCGTTTATTTGACGTCTCTCTTTTGTCGCTGCATCGGTACTACGTGTAGATATATAATATATACGCGTGCAGAGAGCAGCTCGAGCTAGCATGAATTGGCATTGACGCAAGCGAATGCAAGCTCGAGTCGCAGAAGCGAATGGCGCGCGTGACTGCAATCTTCGTGAATTATGCCACTGACCATTTTGCCGCGCGCACCCGCTACTACGACTAATGCTGCTGCTACTACTAATGCCAATCTCCTCTAACTAATCTTATTGAAGTCCGAGACGGGGAAATTGCGATCGCTCCGAGGCCGATTTGCCGTGTGAAAATTTCGCGTTTTTAGCGATGCTGCTGCTGCTGCTGCTGGGGGCCGCAAAAGTGCCGGCAAGGAATTCAGCGCTGCTGCCATGCAGCGAACGATGCTTGCGTCGTCATGCGCCATTATTCGCACGCGATGTTATAATTTTTTTCAGCCGATCCGACCAAACGGACTCGGAATTTGTTCACGCGTAGATTCGCTTTGAGACTTTCTATGTAAACCGTTTAAACGAAATGCACCTGGAAACGAGCTTGTTTCAAATCGATGTCGACCATCTGATTTTATATATTTAATTAAGTCGTGACTTAGCGCAAAATGATTTTCTAATAAAATTTTAACCATGCCTTTTTGCCTTTAGGCGTTCTTAATGTATGTGTTTTTTCGTTTTATGAGGAGTCATTTACAATTATCGACAAAGTGAAAGTAATTTAAAATTTTCTTAATAATATTGGCCTCTATTAAAAGAATGATGGCTTAATTGTGTCATCGAAATGAACGCGTTGCGATTGATCGTTAAATTTGGGCAGATGGTGTGAGATGCATTGAGCACGAATTTTTTCAATCCCAACTTGCACGCAGTGGGCTGATATTTAACTAGGTTGTGAGTGAAAAACGCGTCGAATGAGGCTATTGTCATGATTTTTTGAACTGCAAGTTTTAGTCTCTCAAAGCGCGTTGGGTGTCACTCGTTCTGTTGTTGTTTTTTTTTTTAAGAGCAAATAGTGCCAATTTGTGTTATAAATCAATACAAATTATGAATCGCTCTAACTTTATCTATCATATTTAAGAATATTCTGAAAAAACTAAGTTTAATATTAAAATTGGATTTATTCGAAATAAGCGGTATGGTTATTTTTCCATCAAAAATTTATTGATTTTTTTCAAAACATGAACGTTGTTTTTACGTATTGAGATGATAATATAATGTAGGTAGAATTTATAAGAGCATAATAAATGAAATTCATTAAATTAATCTTGTGAACAAATACACAAGATCTAAAATCGTCGCTTTCAATACAATTGAACTTATAAACATTTATACATTTATTTGGTACTCGTGTATGAATTATGTACCACATTTATGTGCATTTTTAGATTATTCTTTTTTGCAAATGACTTACCGCATTTATCACATTCATGGATAACATTATGAGATAATTTAACATGCTTCCTGAGAGTAAATAGATGTTTATATGTTTTTCCACAAGTGTCACATGTATGTGTAACACCATCGTGTTTTGATTTAATATGCCTATTCAGATCTTGCTTTCGTGCAAACTTTTTTTCACATGTATCGCATGGATGTGTGACACCATTGTGCACTACGTCAATGTGAGTTTTGAGATCAATTTTTTGTGAATATGATTTTCCACAAGTGTCACATGTATATGTAACACCATCATGTTTTGATTTAATATGCCTATTCAGATCATGCTTTCGTGCAAACTTTTTTTCACATGTATCGCATGTGTGTGTGACACCATTGTGCACTGCATCAATGTGAATTTTGAGATAAATTTTTCGTGAATATGATTTTCCACAAGTGTCACATTTATGTGTAGTACCATCATGTTTTGATTTAATATGGCTATTCAGATTTTGCTTTCGTTTAAACTTCTTTTTACATGTATTGCATGTATGAGTAACACCATTATGCACTGTGTCAATGTGAATTTTGAGATTACTCTTGTTTGAGAATTTTTTCCCGCATATATCACATGCAGGCTTGATTCCATTATGCACCTTACCAATGTGGATTTGGAGTCTATTCATATAGTTGAACTTTTTTCTTTCTCTTTTCTTCTTAATTTTTTCGCTAACTTTACAATCAGAATTCAAATCTAATTCTTTTTTTACTTTAACCTCATTTTCTATTTTGATTATGTTTTGAGTCTTATCATAGTCACTATCTTTGATGTGCTGAAAAGGATTTTGAGAACAATCGTCGATTTTTTTAACTTCAGATAAATTCATGCTGAGCTTTACGTCTTTACACTCAAATTCCACTTCCATTTCGTCAGTTTCATACTTTTTTGTACATTCTTGAAGCGCCTGGAATTAAATTATATCAAGTTACATAAAAGTTGTAATCAATAAACTTTACTATGTGAAACACATATCACTGCCAACTCTTACTGAATATGCTCTAAAGAATCGAACATCTTTAACATCAGACGTCTTGTCAATTACTTCGTGATCATCAGTTTCCGTAAACGAGTCATCACGGGGTTCCTTCTTTACTCTGAAATAATTATAAAAAGATTAAACATTATTCTAAAATAATATACTAATGCTTGCTTCCGCATATTAAAAATTACCTGACTCCGCTATTAATTAATTCCCTTGAATCCATATTTGCTTGAATCTTCAAATGTTGTGAACAATCGATCTTCTTACGATTCAAACTGATCTCTTGAATTTAATTTGATGTTTACAAATCATGATACGAATATTTAGACGAAGCAATGTAAACATAACACTAAGTTATTGTATACAGTTGAAAAATTATATAATTGATCTATTGATAATGAATAATAATTATTTTTCAATATACGATTTCTTAATAAAATTTAAAATAAAAGAAAAAGAAAACTCTACGGCGTGTAAAACGCACTGAGAAATAGCTATTAAGTATATAAACGTGGAAGAATAATGAATAATTGAAAGTATAAATATTTTTAAATTAAAATATTCATAAACTTTTTCTAGTTAAAAAAAATTGAATAGTAAATTTTCACATTGAGAGTGGGAGACACTTTTTGCGTCAATATAAATCTATTTGGCGCGATGCCACAGTAATGACATTCGGCGTGCGTTCGTTCCAAACAATCATAAATATTTCTGAAAGTTTCGTTAATTTACAAATTCTTAACAAGTCTATCATATAGTTGCAAATTTACGTAGCTTTTAAAGTGACCCCGTACATATGGCAGCGAGAAAGAGAGGCAAAACATCGTTTTCAGCGAGAATAAGCCATATAGAAATAACTCGGGGCATCCGAAGCTCTACTTTGGTTACGCGTGCGAGTATACGCGAGTGTGCGCCCGTGAGCAAAGTAACGTCGGCTTCGCACACTAGTCAAATTACTCCGCAAACAGCTGATCGATTAGTTTGAGCTGCGATTCGACGCGTACGATCGGCCGAGTCGGCGTTTGTACAAATTTCAGGCAAAAAAGGGGATAGAGAGAGATGAAGCGTGAAAAAGCTCGCGAGGAAAGAGGCGCGCACGTCTCGGCTCTAAAGCTCCAAACTTATTCGTGCCCCGAGCCGTCGGTGTAAAGCACTTACTCGCTGAATATGCTTCTCTGTCTCTTAATTCCGCTTATACGCGTACTGCACGTACACATACACACACAAGCTCGGCGGACTTTTTGGCTATTCCCGTAACGGAATTCCAAACGTTTAAATAGCAAGGAGAGCTTCTTGTACTAATGCGCTCATGCGCGCAAAACTTTTTTGTTGTTTTCTTTCTCTCTCTCTTTCTCTATACTCGCCGTTCGTGGCTCGAATGCGATGTCGCGTTTTCAAAAGAATACAGCCGCTTTATAGACGCACAGCTGTATATTATACAACAGTACACAGGCTTAATCCCATCAATTTAAGCAATTGACACGACGGAGTTATCGTGTTAATGCGACGCAGAATTAGACGTGTTCTCGTGGTACGTTAGTTAGTTAGTTGCGCCGCACACACACAGCGCATTATCCTCCTTCGTTACTTAAATATTGAGTTTCGGTATATATAAGTGCTCCGCAGTCGAGGTATTAAAGAAAAACCGAGTCGCTCTCAATTGCCGGCATGTATATGTGCGAGACAGCAGCTACGGCACGCCGACTTTATGCTATCACACGAACCGAGCTGTAAGCTGTGCAGCCCGAAGTTTGTTTTACGACGCGCCCGAGAAAAAAAAGGGTTTATAATATATATACGTGCGCAGCGTCCCGAACTTTTACGAGAAAATATTTTAAAAGCGAACGGAAATGCGTCGTTTTTTTGTCTCGCTCTTCTTTTTTTTTCATTAAACGCCAGCTGTATACAGGTAAAAATAAAATACGATATAAACATTTCTCGGAATAGAGGCGCGCGTAATTGATTTTACGCGGATCCATCGTAATTCAAGCCCAACGTAAACAGATGTATACATTCTAGATGCGATGTATAGCGCGCGGCATATGCTGCAGTCACGAGTTGAAACTTATCTAAATCATTTGATAAAAGTCGCTGCGCGAGATGAAAACTAAAAGCCGCGCGTACACAACTCGGGTTATTACAGCGATCGAGTTGCGTGCATAAAATCGACCCCAGCAGCCATTATGATCGGCAATCAATCGTAACAATCGATCGAATTCCAACTAGCTTAATTGCGGGCTTTGGGTTTTTTACGTTCTGCCGGCTAATTTTGACCGAACTTGATGCGTGTCACCGTTTGGCACGCGAGTAAATGACTCGTGTTTTTACGACGACCAGCTGTTTGCATCGTCTTAATCGTTTTTGGCTTATATGTATTCTCGTCTTGGAACGATGCAGAATTGACCTTCCCTCACGTGGCCCGTAAAAAATGCGCGCAACTACGTAGATTTGTTCTCGCGCGCTCAACGTAACGGGATCTTTATACTACCTTTGATATAAAACTCGAAATAAACTCGAATAAATTGAAATTATTCATACTTGATTGAAATATAAAGAAGTAAAAGTACAATATAGGCTAACAATCTTTGAATAAAAAGTAATCGAAAAGGAAAAATTACCTAAAGTTTCACTTTCGCAAAAAAGAGAAAGACAAATAACTAGCATCTAGCGAGCTCTTGAAACTTTTGAGATTTGACATTCTCCTATTTTTGAAGTGAAACTTCTCCATTGTAAAAATGGGGAAAACCTCAAATCTCAAAAGTTTTATGACCTCACTAGATGTTAGTGATGATATATCTTTCTCTCTTCTTCCATCCATTCTATTCTTTGCCTTCTCTCATCTTGCAGAGCACACAATGTACTCACGTAGACCGAGGGCAGAGCGTTTGCACTCCCACGCGTATACTGGTACTTTTGAAGCATCGCGTTCGCAAACATCCATTGTGAACATTTTTTTTCTCGCCCCCCTCCGCGACTCATAACGAACGCGAGAGACGGGCGGGTGCTTTAACCTTGACTCGGTAATTTTTGGTTTCGCACAAACGAAAATAGTATAATTGTAAAATAATAGTGAAATTAGTGTGACGCAATTCGAGTCGAGTGTGCGCAGTCAACGAACGCGCGCGCGTGCAAGTATAATATAAGGCGTACACCGCCGAGCGATCATCGAACGGAAGTCACGCGTGCCTCAGCCTTCCGGAAGTTTTAACGCGGAAAAATACTTTCGCGTTACCTGGGCAGGACGTGTCGCGATGCTGTTGCTGCTGCTGTTTCTCGAGCCTCGCAATTTCCAGGCGGTAGGCTGCGTAATCGTTTCTCGGTGTAGTAGCTGATCGATGAAAAAAGAAAAAAATCATTCGCGAGTACCCTCGATTCGATCAAACTTTTTTCCAATAACGGGGCGGCTCTTTGCTTTCGCAGCTTCTTGAACGATCTCTCTCTCTAACGATGCGTGAATAATAACGTTGGAGTAGCAAACTTGAGTGAAAAGAAAAACGAAGAAGAAGAAGCAAGAAAAAAGAGAGACTGAATACGCACAAAAGCACAAGCGAGTAGGTACACACACTTTGCTCGATATCTCATTAATGAGTCGCTGTTGCTTCTCTCTGCTGCCTTGCTCGCTGCAAGGGCCACTCTCTTTACCGATGAGTCTAGTAGTGGGTATATAGCATGTAGCTGCCTCTCGAAGTCAACGACCTGCCGCTCGGTATAGGCCTACCTCGTCTAGGGTAGCTGCAGCAACATCAGAGAGTCGCGTGCATATAAAACCGCCGTGCATAGATAATAGACGCGAACGGGCTGCACTATATAAGTATAACGTATAGCAGGCAAGAACAGGTGTTTATTCAGCATGGAAAAAAGCTGCCAGCCCAGGGGCGATTCTGTCATTTTTCCGGAGTGTGCGCGGGCATATAGTCGCGGAGCTTTCGCGTCGTCCGTTGCCCTCGCGCGCCCACAGCTCGTGGCGATTCATTCAATGAAAACGAAAGAAAGAAAAAACTCGGCCAAAAGGTTATCTCTCTCTCTCTCTCTCTCTCTCTTTTGGGAGAGCCGAGACGCCCGTCAGCCGTCGCCCTTTGACCGTGGTAATGGGCCTCTGAAATTGACGGCTCGGTGTGTAATCTTTCTTGGCTCAGCTCGCGTCACATGCAGCGGAGAGGCCTACAAACGTGCGCGCACACACACGTAGACGCGCATTATAGTCGAGAAAGAGTACCATTACGTGTGTAGGAGGAAATGCAGCGGCGCGGAACGAGCGAGCCGAGTGTCTATGCGGCTGTTGCAACCGCTATGTCTTATAGGCTTTACGATCTTCTTCCGCTTGACTTTCTTCTTCGTCTTCTTCTTGGGCTTTTTCATCAATATATAATAACGATATATACACTCCTCGTCGGTGGCGACTCGCGGTGTTCATTATCTTTCTCTTTCTCTCTGCGGGCTTTCGTATACAATGCCGTCGTCTGTATACTGCAACGGCACCAGCAACGATCAACCATAAACCGGCAACGTCGCTATCGCGTCGCAGTTAAATTTCTCGGCCCGAATATATTTTCCTTTAATCTAGGTAGGCGATGTAATCGTCATTGGGCGACATTAGAATTTGATTAATCCAACTGTTAATAGAGTCGTCGTCGTCGTCGAGTTAGTCGAGAGTCGTCTAGCTGCGCTCCGCGCGTATAATAATTGCGATGAAGTCAGCTCGTGTCGCGCAGTCGGTTAGGATTTTTTTTCAGCTATATAGCTTAGAGACTCGTTTAGACGCGCGCCAGTAGTCCTAATGCAATTTGTTCGGATGGCTCGGAGTACTCGAGCTCGTTCCGACGACGACGACGACGCTGATGCTATTAATCTCGTCGTACGTCCCATGGCGGCGAAACGACGTTTCACGCGCCCCGAGCCTCGATGGTAATTTTCGTCGGAGCTAGCTGCTGCACACCGAGTTTTTAACTCGTTATAATAAACAGAGCGCGCGTAGAGCTTGGGTCTGCGTGTATATATATAAGACACAATTCGAGTTCGCAGCGTCGAGACCGCGACGCGATCGCACCGTCCTGGTCTACTTAAATAGGAGCGGCTGCGTTTCGACCGACTCCCGTGTATGATACAAATGCTATATATGCGAGTGCCGTGTGTGCATGAATTTTTAATCATAGGTAATAGGCTACTTTCGATCTATAGGGGTATGCGATTTACCGTACGTATCGATTTTGTTTGACTTTCCCGCTGAATGACGGCGTCCAGCGATCGTATTTAGATCGATTTCATAAAGCATACATATAACGTATTTCTCTCTCTCGGTTGCGAGGCTATCGAGCTATCGAGCTGTCTAGTTGTTCGGTCGGCTCGAGAAAGTTTTGGCCGAGGCTCGAGGGAAATTGCGGTTAAGAGCAAAAGTTATCTTATACAGCAGCGAGCTCAAACCTATAAGCGTACTTATACACTATTTATATTGTTGGAGAAAAAAAATTTTGACGATTTGTTTCTCTCTCTATGCCAGCAGATCCGAGGAGGAAGCGAGCTACTCGTAAAGCCGTCCACCACTCCAGCAGCAGCAGCAGCAGCCTGCAGCAGTGGCCAAAGCAGCTCGCAATAATGCTGTCGTACATGTTACCGCGCGAGGAGAAGGAGCACCAGGCGGCCGGCTACCGTCCGCTCAGCAACGGCGGCGCCAGCGGCAACGGCTCGGCCCGCTACTCCCTGCCCAACGGCGGCAGCAGCACCGGCAACGGCGATTCTAGTCATCATCATCAAGTACAAATTAGCAACGGCAACAATCACCGGGTCACGAGGACGCGCAGCGCCGGCATGTTCGGCCGCCTCGACGGCGACTCGTACTGCGGCCCGGCCAGGCCCGGCTCGGCGGCGCCTCTGCTGCCCCGGGACCGAGAAGACGAGTCGCACGAGGAGGATCAGCAGCAGCAGCAGCCACAGTTACAGCAGTCGACGAGGCCCAAGCCCAAGCCCAGTCGGCCCAACGGACATCTAAAGCCGAGGGCACCTCCGCCACCCACGCACCAACAGCCACATGCACAGACGCATCAGCAGCATCAGCAACAGCCACAGCAGCAGCAGCAGAAAAAATGTAGTATATTAGCCAAGGACGATAGTCTGCACAGCATCGAGAGCGACGCCAGCACGGCCGGGAGCGAACGGAAGGCCGCCACGAAGCCCTGCATCAGCGCGCCCAAACATGCCAATCTCAAGAGGTATATACAATATATGATTTACCCTTCACAGCGTTTACCCCCTCGCTGTTACAAGGCAGCGATCGGGCTTTGATCTTGATTTTTAGCCTGACGTGCGGTACGAGGGACATAGCCAATGATAATGTGCGATTACGCTCGAGTACGCTATCGCCTCTCTCTCTCTAGATCGGCTGTAACGTAATACATCGACAATGTCGCGTATATCGGCAAGGCTCAGTGTCAAGGTACACGCGCCGCACATATACTCACACGCCTAGATATATATGTAATATCGCCCAGCGCTGTAAGCCCGTAATATTTGTTTTAATGGGCGCGACACGCAGATCGCATTAAGGAAACTGTCGATGGCCGCAGCACGAGTAGTCAAGTCGGTTCGAGGCAATTGTGCTCGCGTACCTACCTATACCTACCTAGCTCCGGAGTCGACTCGGTTTTTTGCTGCTTTACGAGCTCACGTTGCGAAACACGCATTTCTCTTTGCCTGTGTAATGTACGTGTGTGTATATTGCAGCTCGTACACGGCATCGGTCACGCTTCGGCATTTAAAATCATTTGGCGAGCTGCTAGGAGTAATTTTTCACCTGCATATTTCGGTACTTACTTTATGACGAGCATTTTACGACCGAGTGTTAAAGCACCTCCGTCTTGACGCTCCATTTAAAGCATATGTTAAAGGCGATGGAAAGAAAAAAAAGAGGAGGTAAAAAAATAAACCCGTGCACTACGAGTCGAGCGATGATTTTTCCGTGCGATGGCGCGAAAATCGAACGCGTTGAAGCTCGCTGTGCCCTAATCAGCGACAATGACTCGGCGCATCGTCGCTGCAAGATGAGCCGGCACTGGAAAAAGCCGTGCAGGCACTTTTTAGCTTCGTGCAGCCTGTGTGTCGCTGAGGCTGTATGCTTGGATCGAGCTGATGCTCACGACGATGCATCGAATCCATACGAAATCGCACAATGCCAGTGCGCACGAGGCTCGAGATTGAATTGCGGCTAAGCCGCAGCGACGCGTTTTCATCGCGTACGATCGTACACATCGTACGTAGGCTGCGTTACGTAACTACGCATATATGCACTCGTCGTCGGTGCGTCTCGTGGCGGACACGATCGCGCGCATAATCGCCCGCGTTATACTGCAGTGTGTGTGTGCGCGAAGGAAGGAAGCGCACTGAAGTCTCTCTGCATCGGCTCAATAGACATCACCGCTACACACAAAGACGCGATCGACTCTTCTTCTCGGTGCTTCGGGCTCGTGTACTATACGTGTTATATACGATGACGCGCTCGACAGTCGATAAATGCGCTTAATGCCTTTAATTGTCTATACCAGCACACGATGAGCGCGTTAGGTGAGATGTAAATTGCTCCTCAAACTGCGTGTGTATACGATATTTGTTTTTGACACATTGCCTCACACACGAACGACGAGAATTTCAATTCACATCCGAATGCGGGTCAAGTTCTCTCGGGCGGAAATATGTCTATATCTATACATAATGCAAATACATTTCGAAGACGAGCACCAAATCAATAAAAAGTAGAACAATTACTCCGGCAAACATTGACATCAGCGTCTATTTATATATAATTACACGATTACGCGTTGAGGCAACCCACGGTGACGATACAGCACGCCGCGATTATTACTATTTTTTTTTTTCTTCTTTTCATAGGCGCTTTTTTCATCAACGGCAGCTCACGGCCGCCGAGATGGATAATATAGTAGTTTAAAATTTTAAATGACTCGATGCTCTCAGATTAGATAATCGCGCGCGCGTGTGTGTACGAACAGCATATGTGCGTCGATGTTTTAAAGCTTTTATAATTTTTACTTGCGAAATAGTTCGCAACAAAAAGAACGCGTGTAAGTGTATAAGCGATGAAAAAATACAGAAACTTTTGCGCGCAGATCGTATAATATACATCTCTCTCTCGCTCCTCGAAGCGAGGAATATATTTTTTTCGTCTGCCGGCTCGGGCTCAAAAACCAGTTTACGGCGCAATACGTGCAATGCAATGCTCTTTCGTCGTTTTCTTCGTTTGAAATTTATAACTACTCGAAACGCGTGGCGCGCAGGACGGCAAAGTACTACAACAGATATACACGAGCGCAGAAACGTACGCAGAGGGTTATACTTTCTTTCTTCGATACGCAGCATTCGGACTGCCCGGGAGATTTATGCCGATTCGTTGCAGCCTCTGCGAGAGCTCGGCAGCAATAACAATCGATGCTTCTAGACCGCGCCACGATCCGTCGTAAGTGCAGCGCACGCGTAACGAAAAATCCATACGAGCGCGCGTGGGTGTACATGCGACGCATAATTTGTTGATTTGTCACGTACGCCGCTCGACAACGACGACGACGACGACGACGACGATTGTGTATGTATTTTAGGACGTACTGCCTCTGATTACGTATGTAGCGTGTACGCGTTGACTCGCGCCGAGAATGAAAAACTAGTCCTCGGTACTCGGAAGGCGTCGAGCTCCCTTCGCGTTTACGGCTCGGGCGTCTTCCTATCATATAATATGTACGCCGTGACGCAGCGGCTTTTTTTCCCGCCGCGTATATTGATCTACTTTTCGCACGGTCCGTGTCAAATTCTATTAATTATTCTAGGCAACGATACGTTATCGCCTCGGACAGATCTCGTGCACTTCCAGCCTCGATACTTTTCCCCGTGCGCGATAGTGTTTGCTTTATAACCACGCGACTATATAGTTTTTGCGGTCTCCGAAATGGTAAAACGATAAGATTTCATCCTGACCCGATATAATTGTATATAATATAATAAATTGTGGAATACATGGTTTATGATTTTTTGTTGTTCCCTCTCATTTGCAGAGTATCGTTCGGCTCGAGCAAAGGTTCGATGGTCGAGACTCTTGTTTACGAGACTCCGGTACAAGAGGAGCCGGAAATCAATCACTTTAACGAGCAGCAGCAGCACCATAACGGCGGCCGACTGCTGTTCACGACGGCAAATCACCAGCCAATCCTGCCAGTTCCCGATACCGAGTGAGTACTCGTTTTTTTTTTTTTTTGCAGAATTCGCGCGCATTGTGCACTGCGACCCCCTCTCGCATTGTACGGCATTCAAAATATATAGAATCCGGACGCGACTGCACGATCAGCCGGTCAAAGCGACCAATATAATCGCAATGAGGCTAATTCGACAAATGTATTAACAACGAGATACGAGTGTGCGTGTACGACGTGATTTACGGGCTCGCTTTGAATCATTCAATTATAACGTCGAATTTCGCTGCTGCTCTCGGCCCACACGCTGCAAGTTCGCAGCGATCGTTGTCTATATACGTTTCTAAACCGAAAATAAAACGAAGCTTTGAGAGAGCTCGGATGCGTCGTAACTGTCCGATGATCTATGAAAACTAGCGCAAGGTCACACACATGCATGAAATAGAAAAAAACAACTATACTCCATTCGATCGGTAGTAAAAAGAAAAAAAATCAGTGAGATTAAAGCCACGATAATGGAGCGCGCACACGTTGGGCGTTGCTATCTATCTCCACTTCGACCTTCCGTTTCGATCGGAGCTCTATGTGCACACGCTCGATGCACACGTAAGCTCGCGCGCGCGGCGATCGTTCGCAATTCGAATCATCGCATCTGCCGCGCGCATACACGATATACGAGAGAAGAAACGGCGGCCTGTGTGCACCTCACTTTTAGACCATGATGCACTTTGCATTTTGCATGTACCGCAGACGGCGCGTCATCGGTAAAACATTCGTCGGTTAGCAATATAGCCAGGCTCTGCGCGCTATTATATAGGTCAGAGCTTTTCGCCGCGATATACATAACAAAAGTCGACGCGTGCACCGCACGCAAATGTGCTGATATACCCACCACACGTTGGTAAATTTGACGAGGCGCGACGGTTTATGATCTTAGGCCATTAGTGGCGGTTACGGCGGAACTTGTGAAGAATCATTACGGAATAAGAGCCCTTGACACATGCCCAGCGTAATTGTAGGACGGTCCGCGCACGAAGATCGGTTGTTCGGTCGAATATCGTATCTAGCGCACCGGCCGATCGTTTGTTTACCTGCCCACGTACTCGCTACCTACCTATGTCGAATTGTGTACACAGGTCGAGCGATAGTCGCGCAACAGTTAACTCTGTCCAGCACAGCGGGACTTTGTGTACGTACTGCACACACATGGAAAAAAGCTCGCCCAAGTCCTATACACGTGCTAATGAGCTGCAAAGAATAAAAAAAAACGACGACTCGAGCAAAAAGCTAATACGCGCGAGGCACGCGTACCTCTACTCGCGCGACCTTCGCCGGTTTATGTACGCACGTAAATTTTACATTCGCCTCCTCGAGCCTGCTCAAGGTTTCAATTAACACGTGCGTTACGTGCTGTAGTGCGTTTTGTTACACATATTACACGGCGCATTAGTGCGTATGAGCATCGAGCGCGCGGCGAGGGAGCGCGGAACACCTATAGTCTCTGTAGGATACGACGATCGGTATATATACGCGTGCACACACGATGATCGATTAGCCATTGGCCTAATGGCTTTTTACCTCGTTGTTGCAGAGTCGCGATCAGCGAGAGAACCTGTATACGAGCGATCGCAACGATCGCTCCAGTTTATCGGATGCGCGCCGCGCGTACCAGCTATAAAGCACGCGTTTAGCTGCATATAGCTCTCGAGCATTTTATTTCGTTGAAAGCGACCACACCAACGATCAATTATGCTCTCGTCAGGCCTGATTACTCGAGCAATCATAAGTGATTTCCTGTTTCGACCTCGGACTATAATAATAATTTCTGGTCAGTCACGATGATGATGACGACGATGATGTGCTGCTACTGCTGTTGCACGTATACGTACTGCGGCCACCCTCTTCTCGGCTAGCCAAGGCGCTTTAACGCGAGCCTCGTTTTAAGTGTACATATACACACAAGCAACAAGAGCAAAACAAAACGAGGAGACAAAACGATGACCACCGGCTTCCACTCCCGAGCCGTGCTAGTATGGCCGACTCGTGCCGATCGTGTCGAATTAGAGCTTCTGTATGGCGTTCGTCCTCGTTTTATTAAACTACGTGACTATGCACGTGACTCGTAGCGAAAATTCATCTTTCAAACGTCGAAGGAACGTCGTGGCCAAGATGAAGGCTTCTCGGCTCCAAAGTGTGAACGCACGATAACGAAGTGTACATGGCAGCTCTCTCTCTCTTTCACTTTGAAGCTCGCTTTTCATTCGAGATTGTTTACTTCGGGGACTCTGTTGGCTCACGTCTGCAGCGCGGCTTATCATCTTTCGCTTTCTATATATACTTTGCGCGGAAAAACTCTTTTCCCTGGTATTACGTATGCTTTATTTTCTTTGATAATTTTGTTTAAAAATTGTCGTACTTTTTCAATCTATTTTTATGAAACGAAATAAGCGAAAGCTCGACGATATTTTCGCAATGGAATAATTTCAATTTTCCCGCAAGCGAGCGATCGATCGAAATCCCCCAGCAAGGATCGGCCTCGGAGGATACGATAGTCCTGCGGTGACGGCGGCTAAGAGCAAAAGCAAATAAAGCAGAGAACTGCAGCCGAGAGAAGTGCGTGCGCGCGAGCAGTTTGGCGTTCGGTCGAGCGATGGCGGCACGGATACCCGCGCAAACGTCGCGTTGACGCGACTCTGCTGGCTGGCTGGCTGCCTGACTGGCTCTGCATGTGCTTCTTTATAAACATATATATATAGAGAGAGAGAGACGAGCTCGAGACATCTGGAGAGGAACGCGGACGCCAGTTCGTTCCGAAAGGCAAACCTCGCGATCGCACTTCGGGAGCCGGTTGTTATTATTCCTCGCCGCGCTGCAGTTTGCTCGCGTCGTCTCGCGCCGTCGTGCAGTTCTGTCAAATCACACACAGACGGACTCGAGCTGAAAAATCAGACGGCTCGAAGCTCGCCGCTGCTTATCGCAAGCTCGCCTGTTATTTTTACCCCCACCTTCGGGAGGAAAAAAAGCTGCTGCTGCTGCTGCCGAGTGCTCGAGCGATCACAGGACACACAGTGGAGGCTATTCTCAGTCCAGCGACGACGATCGACGAACGGCTGTATACTCTGCACGACGACGGAGCGGCGGTCCTCCCTCGCTCTTTCTCTCTCTCGCGTTTACGAGCAAGTGCGCGCACGGCTATTTCTGTATCCCCGTCGAAGGTCACCACGCCAAGAGAGACGGAGAATCATCGAGAGCGGGCACAAATAAAGAAGAAAAAAAAGTACAAGAAAAAAACAGAAAGAAGAATAGGAGGAAAGAACGAGCGAAGGTCCCCATCGTCGCCGCATTTTCGAGCGAGGCACAGTCGGTCAGTGTTGCTCGGCAAGATCGCAGCTCGCAAAATATAATTATAATTTCGGAGCGCGGCGAAAAAAGCCCGTGTGTTTGTGTCTGTGTCTGTCGGCAGAGCCCGGTGTCTGCGACTCGTTATATATAGTGTGTACAGTGCAGTGCTCGAGCGCACAAGTGTGTGTGTGTGTGTGCGAGTCGTGTCCGTGAGTGTGCAGGGAATTGAAATCGATTTCACCTGTGCGCGGGCGAAAACGCCCCGAATCAAGCAGCCACTGCTCTCTCGCCGCTGTAATATACGATTGATTATTTTTAGCCTTCGCCGCCTAGCCCCAGCGTCCAACGATTCATCAAGTATTTGCCCCGCGAATCTCTATTATATGCGAATTCGTCTTTTGGCATTTTCGATCGTAAACGTATTACAATAATAACAGAGTCTGGAACGTTTGGCTTATCGAGAATCGCTGTCGCGTCTTCTATATTAGAATATACACTATTAGAGAATTTCCTCGACTGCTCGCGGAACATAGATAAAGTAGCTAAAAAAAAATTTCGCCTATATAAAGACATTGGGTATCTTCTCGCGGCGTGTGTATACATTTAGCGATGACATTCGTCCGCGCGTTGATGTCATTTATCTTACATCATCGCTATACGTATAGCAAGTAAGGCACATACATACACGGGCTAGAGCTCGTTACAAGTACTCGCGCGTGTATTTTGCGAAATTTTGGCTGGCATCCAGACTGCGCGAACTTTCTTTATGTTATTTGCTCGCGAGGAAACAACAAGTGATTCATTCCAATCCACTATACGATACGCGCACACATCGACGCATCGGCTATATAAATATATACTACCACCGTACGCAGTGCTGAAGCGTCGGGTATTAGGGAGAGATGCGACCGGAGGATAAGCATCCTTGGACGTAAAATTAAAAAGGCAATTAGGCAAAGAAAGAGCGTGGGTGCAGTCGTAGTAGCAGCAGCTCGTTGTCGAGGCGGTGCACAGTAGTTGCTGTGCGGTGCTGTGTGCGCGTCGATTGTTTTCCACTCTCCCCCTGCGCGCGCGCGCGGCAAAAGGCTGATTCACCGGTAGTACTTGTGGCGGAGCGAAGAAAGTGCAATTTCTATATATAGCTCTTGCTGTTCTTTCTCTTTCTTTCTCATTCCCTCTGCGGCTACTGCTCTCGGCTCCGCACGATGCGGCTCAAAAGTCAACGCTGTGCAATACACAGAGTCTGCTCCGCTATTGCACATAACGCGCGTGTCTGTGCGTGTGCGATATACGTGCGAGCAGCCCGTATTCGTACGTGTGTAGTACTACGCTGCTCCGCTATAGTATACAACTCCCATATAATCCTGCCCGGCCTCGGAATGAAGTTCCCGCGAGCGTTGCCATGGTGATTCGGCACTATGCAGCACGCCATCTTGACACACTGCGTGTATTATTATTATATGTATAGGTGTAGTACAGGCCGTGCGCGCGGCTTATTTAGTCACGCTGCGCGTCGCGTACTACTGCACACGATTTTGTCTGCGTGTAATCCGCAAAAAATGCGGAAAATTTCGCACTACCTATACGCCTCGCGCGATTGATGCGTAGCGAGGCAGAGCCGAGCTGGTTGCGAGGGTGAATCCGTACATCGAAGCGACTGTTCGCAGGCTCTTTAAGAGGATCATCCCGCTACACAGTGGTAATTGTGTATAGGCGCTCCGAAGCTGCGTCAGTAGCAGTCGAGGTCCTTCGTTACCATAGATAAAATTCGATGCCGTTGTATACGCGTTCCATTCATCGAGTTTCCCCGTAACTGAGCATGAATAAGGGCTACAGTGTATTACGCCGGCCGCGTGAGTCGACACGAGAGCACAAGGGATCCTTTCACATCGTCCCTCCTTTACGCTCACATACATTAAGTACACGCTATTACGTACTATGTATGTATGACACAAGGGAAGGATCGCTCTGTAGTATAAAGGCTGCGTATTGCATATACACCGTGGCTCGCTCATATACGAAAATAATAATGTCTCGCGGGAAAGGCGCAAGAGTCGAACAAGTGCACATCGGTATCCAATCGATATTATATATACACCAAAGCTCATCAATAATTGCTATCGTTTAAACGCGCTCGCGAGCTGCATTCGAAATTTCCTCTGCGCAATAATACCGTTGTGGCTCGAGCTTACGGCTTCGTACAGATTATTATTCTAAGCAACGCGTTCGGACGCGCAGCTGACATCGTTTTTCGCGCACGATAGTCAAGGAAAATGTACTAATACTACTGCACGGGAACGAGATTAGTCACGAAGACGCGCGCATAAAACGTTTCGATATTAAAAAAGTAAGCGAGATTATCATCTCGTCGAATCGTCCCTCGAGCGAGTTTGATCGTTCGGCAGCATGAGCGCGCGATGCACACGACGGATGTATCGATCAGCGCGCTCGCGACTACTCAACAACGACTCAGAAGCATGAAACTCTCGGCCGGATCGATGTAATTGTTTAGTCTTTGCTGACTATATTATATATACTGTGTACACAATATACACATCGGCTGATAATGCGCTCCACACACTGCGTATACATCAAGTATATATTATTAGGTTAATTAAACCGAACGCTTAAAAAAAAGGGACGCCGCTACTGTGTACTTAGTCACGTTACATATTGGCGAAGGGAGCGAACGACTCTATGTATCCCGAATGTAGGTTACTGGGTGGTCGACGCGCGTGGCTACATAACTAATATCTGTCTAATTTTCCCGCAAAACAAGCGTGAAATAATTGCCATCTCTGGCGCGCTCGGCGCAGACTATACGAACGCGTACTGCAGTGGATGGTCAATGTCATCTATTTCCGATGACGAATCGACCGCATCTCCTCCGATGGATCGCGCGCGCGACAAAGTTGATGCATTTTTCAGCAATTCTATATACACAGAGGTGACAGAGAGAAGACACCGGCGGCTGCAGGACAAGCGGAATATTCATTCGAGATATCGATTTTCACTGGGTCATGGCTACCTCTCTCGTCGCGCGACGCGTTTTATTTCTTCTTCTGCCTCTTCTTTTTTTTTATCGAAAACACACTGCACCTTTATGTGTTATCTCGTTAACGCGACGACGCGCATATGCGCCGCGTCTCTTCTTTCGCAAACAACGACGCAGTCCCGCGCATATGTATTGCGACACGTATCGCTTTTATAATATGTATATATGTGCCTATACACACTTGCGTCGATGCATACGTAATATAGTTTCGAGCGCGCGCTAAAAACGATCGCCTCCGCGTATATACAAACTCCTCGTTTTTTTCTGCTAATAACTCCGACTAGAGCCAGTCGTGTCTATACGCACACGTAAGATCTCGCGCGAGGATGATCCCGCGCAACACCTGCAAACTGCACGCGTACACGTGACCGCAGCAGTGCCGCGCGCACGGCTCACAATCGTAGATAATTGTTCGTGCTCATCCCGGCCTTATCGTCGATATTATACGCACTTTGAAATAAACTCCAATAGTGCCAATTCTCTATCTCTCTCCGCTAGGTACAAAGAGCTTCGTGTTTTGCTCTTCGGTTGTTTACGATCGCGACCCTTTGTCGCTTATTATTCATAGACATGCGTACTCGACTAGCTGTATATCGCAATAAATCATGCGAGATTAGAATCGACCATTACAGTGCTCGGGCCTCGCGACTCGAGCCGTCGTCGTGCGGAGAATCGACGCGCGAGCATATGCAAAAATAGCTTCGCGCGCGCGCACAAAAAGTTTATATTCCTCGATCCGAGCTTCTCGAGGAAAAAAATACCGATACTCGCTGCTGCCAGACGATGCTTAGTTTTTCAACGACTAAACACCAGTAATGACACGAGTAATGCGACATGCGAGCGAGCTTCTCACTCGATCATTCGTTACAATCCGTGCTTGTGCGCGTTTGAAATCTAATACACCTCGCGACGTCTCGAATTGTTGTAATCGCCCGAGTGAAAAAAAATCCACCGCTGGCAACTCGAGCAGTATATAGTAGCTCGTCTAAGCTGCGAGTCATACATAACTGCCCGTGATTTGTCTTCGTGCGTACGCACGCATGTAATGTCAATTTTCGAAGACGAAGATCGTCGCGAAATCACTGCATAATGGCCGGCTCGCATTTGTACTTGAAACAAACAACGATTGCTCTGTCAATTGCAGGAAAAAACACGTCTCTGTCAATTGCTGCTCAAAAATTGTGTCATTGTCGTAAAGTTTCATTGCTCTTCGAAATAAAAAAAAGGGGGAAAAAAAGAAAAATTAAAACGGCTCCAACTGTCGAAAGCATAACTGCACAGTCATACGCGTATACCCGCTTGGAGCCACAAACAATTAGCATAGCTCGGCGCGTTAATCACTCGGTAATAAAGTGCATTTAGCTTTTTTTTTCGTCACTCGAACGCGCGCGTGCCACGCGTCTCCCTCCACTTCCGAAACTTTTTTTCCTCTGCCTCGTCTTATTTATAATGCGGCATGAGTGTGTGTATGTATGTATGTTTAAGTGTATAATACGCTTTATTTATGCTTAAACGACACGCTAAGAAGGCGTGGCTTTGTGTACTGCATTATACGTGTCTCCAAAAGCTCGAGCTTGACGATTCTTGTCTTGGACTGTTTCAGTGAGGGACGAGAGAAGGTGCGAGTGTCGTTACTAGGAGCCAAGCCGTTCCCGTCGACTCCAGGTGTCCTCTTGCTGGAACCAATAGGACCACCCTGTGATATCATGGCGGCTACCCAGGTGGAATTACTTACGGCTCACACCGACCACACCGTGCCGACTTACCACACGCAAATGAGGTGAGCATAGAAAACAGCTAAAATAACTACAAACTCCGACTACACCGCGCGAGATCGAAAAGCTGACAGCTAATAGCGTGGCAAATATTTTTCTGATCGAGATCTTGCAGAAATACTAGCCGTTCGAACAGTACAACTGCTACGAAGAAAAAGGGGTCGATCGAATTGTCCGAATGGGAAAAGAATAAAAGATCGCAGATAAGATTTCCGCGATAAAGTATATCTCGCAGAGCGAGGCTTTGACTTAACCGACTCGATGAGGGTTTCCGACTATTTTCATCGCGCATTATTAAACGAGCTGCCACGTCGAGGCTCGCGTCTGCCACTCCTTTCTTTCCGACCTGCGTTATATAGTCCAAGTAGTCGCCGCTAGGCTCTTATCAGATTTATCAGTGCGCTTCAGACGTTTTTCACTATATATATATATAGGCAAACGCGTTATATACATGCATCGCTGCCGTATTTTGAAAAGCTCCGATGAAAGCTGCGAGCGAGGATGAAGCAAAATACGGGCCGCTGTTATTCGAGAGAGAAATCGAACGGCTAGGAAAATAAGTGCTTAATCGAGCTAACGGGTGAAGAGCTTTCGAGCAAATATTGCTTTTACTTGCGAGTGGAAAATTTTCTAAAGCATTTCCTCGTCTGGGCGAGGAGAAACGTCTCGAGGAGAATATCTTCATTACATCGAAGATTGACATTCTTCGGGAAAACCTTTCACCTGCTGCGGACGCGTATGCATCGAGCGCATCGAAGAGAGAGAATTACATAAGTATCGAAAGATGAAAAATAAGAAGCGACGACAATGAAATGTGTCTCTCTCTGTCTCCGTCTCTCTCGGTTGGAAAGCTCTGCTGCGCAAAAATAGATAATTGACTCTCTATTCAAAGGTAGTTAAATACACTCACTCGCAGCTATGCGGTAATGTGCATAACGTACATCACTCAGAGGGGTCACACGTAGAGAGAGAGAGGCGCTCGGCGAGACTGAGCGAGAAGATGCAGGTCAGCAGTATAACATAATGATCAGCCTGCGGGCGCAACGCTACATAACAGAGTCGCGCAAACGTACACCTCGGTGTTCCTTATATTACTTTACGTACACTCGTGTACAGGCGAGGATCGACGAGCTTGTAACAAGGAGGGAAGAATTTAATCGGGTGGAGAAAAATCATTAGCCGCGCGCGATATGGTTGCAGAAGTTGCAACGGATAAAATACAATATATAGAGAACGATCGAGTGTGTAAGTCAGGCAACACATACAATACGTTACAAAGACAATTATAATAATAATAATAGTAATAATGAAAAAGAAAGAAAAAAAGCCACAGAGGTATACCGTGTTTATCAGTAGAAGTATAGCACGGGAGAGCGAGGTAGCGAGGGAAGGTAGAGAGGGAAATTTTCTCTCTATGCTCTAGGGGTGGATGTGACTGGGTAAGATCGATATAGCGTGGGTGGGCTCGGGCTCACAAACACGCACCTCTACCTATATACACACAGGAGTGCTGCCGCTGCCGCCGTTGGCTGCTCTATAGACGGCGCCGTGAGCGCTCCGCCGTTGCGCGCGCGCTCCCAGCTCTCTCTATATGCACATTCGCAGACTCGGTATCTTCCTCGTCTTTTTCATGCACACACGTCCAAAGAGTCAGCGACGGTTGTAAGCTCGCCAGTCGTTCGCCGCCGCCGTTGCAGCTCGTGAGTCAAATCGAGCGCTGCGCGTCGCAATCCTCTCTCTCGCTCGCTCGCCTACTAGTATATATGCAATCGGGCGCGCGCACGCACAAACACTACCAGTGAAAATATATAGAGGGTGTCGTTTCCTCGTTCTCTTGTGTGAGTCTGCCGTGTGTGTGTGTGTATAGATCAGTTCGTTGACTCGTTATCGCATCCGCGTCAACTCGGTGTTATATTTGTGCATGGTAGATGTCATAACGTAACGCTGTGGGGGAAATTTTGCAAAAGACAAATCCTCCATTCGACGTTTGCTCTTTCGATCGAGCTTGCAAGCTCTGCCTGGCAACTGCAGTCGATCGAGACACGACCGAGTGGACACATAGCCGATATACGCTTCATTTCATGCATGATATTGCGTAACAGAATACGCAGGAAAAAGCTTTAGCTCGCGTGTATACGCTAGGAACCCGACGACGACGACGACGACGATGACGACAAAGAAAAAGAACAACAATCCGGACTTGCTACATACCACGAGCGCAGTTCACAGATGTACACAAAGTGCAGTTGGCCGCGCGCGCGCGAGTGTGCCAAAGATAGATAGTATAGAAGCTCTGTCAGTGTGTGCGATTTGTCCCCCTCGCTGTGAAAAGCTCGACTGACGTTAGAAAGCTCTATACGCGTATACGACGAACTGTCAGTTTAATGCATTCGACGCCTAGTCTCTCTCTCTCTTTTGTGCGAGCTGGGATTTCGAGTGGTGCGAGGCGAGGTTCGGTATACGCCGACGGCTCAACGAAAAATTCGTCCTTGCAAATTGATTGTAGTCGCGAGAGAATTGCTGCTCGGGCTCGACGTAGTTTGCTACAGTCGCTGCCTGTGCTGTGCCGTCGAGTAACGATATCCGTACTTGCCTCGACGCTTGCTGCTGCTGCTGTTGCACGGGCTTTTTCAAGTGCACAGATATAAACGAGCTTAATTCAGCACACCCTCGGTAAAGCGCGCGATCCAACGGTCGCTTCGCGTCTATACATCATCGTTTACGCGCCGCAGTGCAGCAGCTCGACGTCAAGCACGTCAAACGATGACGAATTACGAGATGCTTCTTGCCGCAGCAGGAAAAAATCGGTGCTATTTTTTTTATGACCCGCCTCAATAAGAAAAAAAGAAACGCGAAAAATAGTTGTGATCAGATTCGCAGAAATGCGTGTAAGTGTGTGGGGATTCCAGTAGCGTCGCATTAACCCTGACCCACATTTATCCTTACTTCTATTCGGTTTGGTGTTCGTATTAATACGTGCAAATGCCACTGATTAAAGCCGCAAACAACCCCGGCCAGTTACTTTCCGTGCAAGCTCTCGATTGCCCTTGTGCTTTTGCCGCGATTTTATGTTCTCGTCGCTCGAGTCTCTCCCTCTCGCTCTCGGTAAATTTAAATAAACAACGCAAGCCGATGAATTTTTTACTGCGTGCACGCGCGCGCGAGCAGCGGTTTTGCAACGATTCGCGCCGCGTAACAGAAAATGAGATGCCCATATTATTGCTCCCGTTCGGATCGTGACGGACAACGGCACTTGTATTTTGAAACCTTACGTGTGTATCTCGCTTAACAAATGTGCAGCAATTATACATTTCTCGGAAGAATCGCACTCTAATCCCACGCGCAGCAGCAGCAGCACAAACATACACACTGCAACACGCACGCACACTTCGAGATATGCACTCGAGCAGCTCTCGCGAATAATATTTATAGCGCGTACAGCCTTGCCTGTACATATTTGACATTATACAAGCTTATACATTTTTCATTCAAACTTTGCCATATGAATTTCCAAAGTAACTGCGACTCCGAGCCTACATATATTACATACCTTTCGGAGCGAAGCTCGATAACGCGCCAGACGATAAACACACTCGAATAATAAACAGCGGAGCTTTTTAATCCGTTCGAGCGTGTATATCTAGCCCGAAAATCCCTCGAGAGGCTAACGACACTTTCGCCTTGTGCGTTTTGTTATAATTCACGGCTCTGCGCAGAATATATAGCTCGACACTCGATACATACATACATACATGAGCTCTATACAACTATATACACACGCACACACACTTTGTGCCTTCCTGCCTGCTCTGCCACCCACCCGACATCCTCCACCGGTCGTATCCTAAGCCTTAATATAGGTCAGGGGTCGTAGACCAGAGCTTGAAAATTGGGTTGTCTGGCTTTGTACTTTGTTCTTAGGATGATACGCGATACCAGTTTCAATATATACACGAGAAAACTCGTCTCCTTGAAGCAACATCGTTTTGGTTATGTGTACACTCGTTCGGTCTCGGTGATTACTGGCAGTTCCGTACTCGTAATTAAAAAGAAAAAAAATTTAATTGTGGCACTGTTACGTCAAAGTGTAAAAGCAAAAAAAAGAGTCGTAAAATTGTATAATATGTTAACATTGTTGTTCGTGTTCAAGTTTTATCGCGGTTACGAATAAAAGTTGTTACAACGAAGCTTGCTAGCTATTGTGTTACAATATGTGAAAGAGCAACGTTCGAATAGTGTGCAAAATTTCACCCGTTCAGCATAAAAAATACGTGTATTTTTTGGGTTCAACGTGTAGATTTTTTGCGACAACGAAGAATGTGGAAGAAAACAAAAACGTTCCGGGCTGTATAGTTGAGTGTCGTTCGCTGTGTTGGTGCTTGAAAAATAATGTAAAAGAAATAAAAGTTAGCAGCAACAACGAAAAGCAGCCCACGCAATGACGACGCACGGCGGTCAATTGTACTATGTTATCAAAGTACCGAAAGATCCAAACGTCGTTGAAGTCGTCGACACAAGGTACATATACTGCAATCTCACATTCTCTCGATGCACAGTATCGATGATTGAGTTTTGAAAAAAAAAGGAAAAATCGTCCGTGCATCACTTTGACCTATAATGGCATCCATCGGCGCTCGTGCGAAAGCTCGTCATTGCCCCGCTTGCCGCAGCACAAAAGAAAGTTAGCCAGAGCGAGCTTGCAAGCTCGCATTATGCTGCATCTTCTCGCGAGCACAGAGACACACACAGAGAGTTGCACTTTTTATCGACCTCGCTGCGAGTGTATTATACAGCCGAGTAGGGCTCTAGCTTGCGCAAGAAAAGGGGGCTGCGCGCGATGCGTGTCGGGGGCAGGATTTTTTTAATTTCACAGCAATGAAGTTGTCTTGGCAGTATCTCGGACGAAAATTAAGTCTTCGTAACCTACATCGTGTCGTGTCGGAACAATGGCAAATTCGGAGCTCCTTTTCTTTGTAGCTCCTCCGCCATCTTTCATCGATTTTCCTTTCCTTTTAATAAGAGTTTTAAAATTCCCGATAATTGCAAGACGATGAATTATTACGTCGACGACGATTGCTCTCGCACAAGTGAACGATATGTATAAATGATATAATTCGTGGAAGCAATGTGGGCAAATTTCGCATCGAATAATTGATATCGTGTAGTACAACAAAGGGATTAATCCGAACTTGTACGAGTGTACGAGCCGTATAGGTATACATTGGCGAAATAGACGAGGGGTGAAGATAGCTCAGCTGGCATGTGCCTCCGTCATTCACGCGCTCTCGGCTTCGAGTCGGCGCGTCTTTCGATATGTGTATATAAGGCATATATTCGTGTCGATGAACTCCGCGCGTAATACCGACTATCTATTTCCTATCCTATTCAGTTGCTACCTTACAATAGGAAAATCTCGGCGCGGCGATATTACCTACGTATAACAATGTGACAAAATGACGCGACTAATGTTAAATTTCGCGGAAAATTTTTGTGCGCTGGATCAACGTTACATTGGCCTTGGCAGCGGCTGGTGCCTCTTTCTTAGCTCGAGAATAAAAGCTGCTTTATCTTTTGATGCAACACAAAAACGGAACGGAGACTGCGACTGCACATATACCTACACACACGATGCCGAGATCTCAGTGCAGTTGCGCAAGCTCGGATTCTCTTTTACCTTAACCTACAGCGGCTGCAGCATTCTCATACATTATAATATACGCAGACGAGAGTCATGATACGCGAGAGCAGAAACTTTTGAAAAATCGTCGTATTGTCGTGCGCAGACTTTTCTTATACTGCTGGCTCGGCGCCAATTTTATTAGTATCATACAGATTCCTTCGATTCCATATCCCATAGGTTATTTATTTTCGTACCCCTTTTATCATCGCGGACCGTATACGTCTGGAATGTTTGCCATTGTCGAAACGACCACGAGCGCCGCTGATTGGATGAAGCATCCTTCGCCGTTGCTCGTCGCATATAAGCTTGGAAACTGCCGTTCGATAGAACGTACTCCGTCATTTCCTTTTTCGCTGATGAACTTCTGCCAATACTACGTGTTCGAGAGCTCGATCATAACCGATCGTTCCGTTGCGAATTACATTTTCAGCCGTCTGGTATTTTTTAAATGCCGCATGAGCGCCTGACGTAATCCTCGTTATCGCACGTTTATTGCGCGAGAAGCATCGATGCCTCGGCTACGTAAAATATTACGCTGGCATATATAGCGTATATATATTCTCTCGTACAGAAATGATGTTATGCTTGTCCGGCCGTGAAGACACGCTCCGAACGATAACATTTCCAGGTGTAATGCGTTTAAGCTGCCTCAACGCAGAGAATTAAAAACAATCGAATGTTTGTAAGGAAACGCGTGTTATATTTATTTTGCCACGCCGGAAAATATGAAAAACTGTAAACAATTACAACAAAAAGAAAAACAAAAGCCGCTATGGTTTATGGACAATTCCTTTTCTTTAAGCAGAATCGAATCGGTAATAACAATCATTTTTCGAGAATCCGCGGTGTATAATTTATTTTTACGCGCGTGATTTCATCGATCGAATCTTCCCCGACGGAAATAGACGACGCATGAACGGTATGCGCGCGCGGACGTTGTGGGTTTTGAAAAATAAATTGCTCGCCTTTGTTCGGTAAAAAAACGCGGAATTTTTATTGCAACCACGTGCGTTTTAACAGAAAAAAAACCTCAAACATAGTAATTAAAGCCGCCGATTCCAATGTCGTTCAGGGTCAAAAAGTCGGCTGCGGCGCGAGCGTTAATTACATCACTCGCAACGTCCCATTGTGATGAGCGAATATTATCGCGCTCGAGATCTCTAGTATAAAACATATATCTATATCTACAGACATTTATATAGCAGAGAATTGAAAAATCGAGGCAGCTGTATTTAATCGCTGAATTGCCTTTTTTTGTTTGTCGTTGCTCAGCACGGACAGCGGCTGGGACAATCCTTTCAGGCCGGACGGAGATCTGTCGCGCGAGGCCGACGAGATCGTCGAGCTGATCAAGGGTGGCAAGCCAATAACGCCGACGCCCGGACAGAACGCGCCGGCGCTGCCCGGTTACGACGCGGCCGACGCAGCCGCGGGCAAAAATGACATTGCCTCGACGCAACGCAACGGCAACGCCCACAGTACACCTAACAAGCCCTCCAATCAGCAGCCGATCAACGAAAAGGTATAATACTATAATACGAGACTCGGTGATCTCTTATATGACGTCGCTTTTCTTCGTCTTTCTTGGCGCGGAAAAATTCAATTATCTGATCGGCTCTTTGTCTTTTGCAGACGGTCGCGGTCGAGGTGAGCAGAGTAACGGCGCAGGGGCCCGGCGACGCGTCGCAAATCGAGCACGTCACCCTGAAAAAGAAGCCAAAATGCCAATGCTGCGTACTCCAGTAAACGACGACGAGACAGAGAGAGAGAGAGAGAGAGAGAGAGACACTCACCGAGAGGGCGGCTTGCGGCCGCTGTGAAATCGGGCGTCTCGTTTGCCTAGGCGCGCGAGTTTAGGCATCGACGAGGCGCGACCGTTCAGTGACCGCCGCGCTACGTCTCTCGTATTAAAATATAGTCATCCAGGTGGCTGCTGCTTGGGAACGACCACGTCGAATCCACTTCGAGAAATATATTGTAGATAACAGACTAAAGAAAAGAGAAGATGTACCAGATATATTATATATATAAATAGTTACACATAGCTATATTCGCTATTGATTAAGTGCTTTACTATTGCATATTACATTGGTGGTGACGAAAGAGAAGAGTACACACGATGGAAATTTTGTTGTTTATCGTGGCGACTATTACGGTTAAGGCGACACGAGATTGAGGGAGGAGGACATTTTTTGTCGGACGCGCCGAGCGCCCACGCGCGCTGGTGATGTCAGAATTATGATTGTTGATTGTCTGCGTGTGCGCGCGCGCGCTCGCGTATTATTATTACATGAAAATAGTTGTCCTGTCGTAATGATATATTGTTTACTTTTATTATAACCCAGTCGAAGCTGATGATTTGATTGAAAATTGTACATATTTCTCGTAGCGATTATTACTATATTATTATACACACATTATACAAATATATAGAACGATTTTATCGATTATTTTTGCTGTTTAATGATATAAAACGTGTGATTACAATGATGATGATGATGATGATGATGATGATGATGATGATGCGGTTGCGAGACTACGATGTATTTTTCCGGTATGGAGTGTGTGAATCCGCGTGTCAAAGACGATTATGTAAACGAACGAACGTGAGAAAGAGCCTGCAGCCGACGATATTTTGCTTTTTATTTGTTTGAAATTCAATAGTAATCAGTTGATTTTTTACTTTTTTAACGTGAAAAAAAAGAAAAGGTAGAAAAGAAAGAGTTATTTCAATGCGGTAACAAAACTAAAAAAAATAAACACGTGTACTGACACTATTTGACGATTCTCTGAACTGCGTTTGATAAACACAACCTCGATCGCTGCTAGTGCACAAATAATTACTTATAGCATAAGGAATTTGAAAGAAAATTTTGTCCGAGTCAGTGTGCTTGTTATAATACGTTTACGCCCGGGAATCTGCCGACCAAAAGCTACCTTTAGGTTTTCTACAATTTTCATAAAAGCTCGAGTCTTTTTTGCAAGTTTCACTTCATTTTTGGCTCATCTCGCTCGATGCATGTTTCATTCGATTTTATCGTTATTAGCGTGAATGAGAAAAAGAGAGATTAAAGGTGCAAATGATTTTTAAAAGTCGAGTTTTACATTATTAACGAGTTATAAAGAAAAAAATCATCGTGATCTTTCTTTACTTTAGTATCAATTCGTCTCGTGATATATTTTAAATGATTAGATCGTACATCATCGTTTGCTGATTTTATGTATTTTATTCAAACAGTTTGAAATTATTCTCGATACCTATTTTCGTTTAACGCATTAAATAGGTATTTATAAATACTATACATAAACGAAAAGAGAATGCGTGATTATTATAGAACGTGTAAAGAGAAATTAAACTTGTAAAACAGACTGGCATCGATTATACAATATTTAATTATAAATAAAAATAGGCATGATATTATTAATACAAATAAATTCAACCGATTAAATCTCCGACTAAATGTAATTGTATATATACGATTGATAAAAAAGAAATGGAATAATAAAGAAAATCGAATGCCTAGAAAATTGCTCTTGCTGTCGGATTTTTTCGATTAATTATTTACTAATCTGTAATATATGAATATTCATGCGTCCATTCAAACGCGTATTTATGATGACGAAAAACCGCTGCTTTTTATCATGAGTTTTATTAGAAAATAATCAGTCGAAATTTTTGGTAGTTCGACTTTCAGTGATAGCAGCCCCTACTCGACATTTGTTATATCATTATATCGATGAAATTTGATAAATAATTTTGAAAATTTAGCGCTGATATATGACTGTTCTCGGATAATGTGGAGAAAAGAAAAATTATCTTTATAACGCCTCGTTCTTATAATACGTAACAAAGATAAAGTATGTGAAAAGAAAAGTTTAATCATAAATTGCGCAACTTTAAGATAATGCAACATTTTCAGAATTCTATAAGGAAATTCAATTGAAGCGATATGCAAGACACCTAGACACCAGAGCCAAAGCCTGAATTAAATATCGGGCGTCGATTTTATTACTAAAAAACATAACAAAAAAAATATTGTTAACGCTGATGAAAGAGAAAAAATTTCCGCAGTTTTAAGAATATACCTTGAGGAAAGTAACGGCAAAAACTTTTTTAGCGAGCAGTGTCGAATCAAAAAAAAAAAGAAATAAAAGATTTTTTACTACTAAAAAGTACGATAGGAAATACCCACTCACGCGCAATTGTCTCTAATATATTTTGAAAATTTCGTAGCGAGCAGTTTAGCGAGTCCGGAGGATCGCTCGTATATTAAAATATTATACCAAATTCAATGTACCGCTATCGACTTTTTCGTATCATAAAATAGTCGTAGTCGTAATTACACAATGCGTTACGAAGAAAGAGGAAAGAAAAAAGGGTAACAAAAAATGGAATGGGAAATTCGAATATCCGATGGCCGATTGAATGGGTATAACGTAACATACGTGCGGCTCCGACACTTGGACGATCCGAGAAATTCTTGTGTATAGATAGTCCCTGTGCAAACGCGTCGAGTGAATATTTGTCTTGAATCGAGAGGAGAAGAAAACTACAAGCTATAGAAAATTATTGTAAAACATCTGTCTCGCGCAACTGTTGATTCTGCTGAGCTTACGGATAATAAACAAAAAAAATATTAAATGTCTTGTTAAAAAACAAATCTCGATCTTGAGTCTACATTTTCTTTCCTCTGTACTCCCCATTCCTTCATCGAGGCTTCATTGAACCAGTACTCGAGTAATAATAATAAGAGCAGATAAAAAGCGGAGAGGAGAGCGCAATTATTGAACTGGAGCCAAGTAAAAGTCACGAAGCTGGATTTGCATTTAGGGTCAAGTATCGAAAAAATGCAAGGCGAGGTGCATGTGCGACGAGCTGCAGCGTGTACAAAAGCATCGAGGATCGTCGTCGCGCTCATAGGCTCGCTTCGCGGGGCAATATATCTTGGCGTCTGCGGCCTGTCTGCGCCAAGAGGGAGAGGAGCCGCGCCGAGAGAGATGCACTTGTTACACAAACACGCCTATATGTATGCATAATGTTGAATATTGTGCGCTAATACAATACGATCGTAGTCGTCGTCGAGTCACGATAATTCGGCATTTCTATACATCGGAATCGTGCGCGCTAATTAGAATTTGTTGTTCTTTGTGCACTTTTTATCGTTCCCAATGAGATTTATAGTTTCGGTGGCGTATAAATTTCCCCAGCTATGTTGAGTAATTTCGAAAAGGAAAAATATATCTCGGCGAGTCTCTTGCGGGCGCGAGATACTTTCACGGCAAGGATTATTATGTTACATATGCAAATAGAGAGAGGTGCAGTCGTTTACCAAGAAGAAAACGTCAACCTCGCACTGCGATGCAACACACACTCGCACACAAAGAGCCACATCTACAGGTTCATAGGTCGCGTGTATATGAGCAATTCTCCAAATGAAACGCATTTTTGGAGGTAGAATCGCGGCAAATTTTTTTTTCAATCTACGCGGATACGGACCCCCGGGAAATGTTTTTGGGGGTCCTAGGAACATGTAACCACGTAGGAACCATTGAAATTTCAATAGTGCTTATTTTTATAGCTACTTTTGTGATTTAGAGGACGAAAAATCATGTTTTCTCGTAAATACGGCTAATTGCTCAATTTCTAAGTCGCTGAAAAAGTATCAAAACTCATCTGAAAAAAATAACTGGCTACTGTGTTCGATAGGAAATTTTCTCAGCTTTCCAATGGTGGTATCAGATTTTCCGATAAGTCGCACATTCACCGAGAAAATCGCCATCAAACGTGCCAAGCTAAATATCTCGAAAAACTCGGCACGGAAAAAGTGATCTTTGAGGTTTATTTTCGATTTTTCCTCGTGAAAATGAAATTTATCGAAAAATCTGACGGCACCATGAATAAGCTGAGGAAATTTCCTATCGAAAACATATCTTTATTTTTTTTTTCGGTGGAATTTCGAGCTAGTTTTGATTGTAGCGAGCCGAAAACCTCGCGACCGCGCTGAATCAGCTCGGAAACAGAAAACAGCGAACAACGTGAAAGAAAATCCCATGTATAACATTGTAATTCCACTGAAAAAATAAATGAAGATATGTTTTCGATAGGAAATTTCCTCAGCTTTCTCATGGTGTCGTCAGATTTTTCGATAAATTTCATTTTCACGAAGAAAAATTGAAAATAAACCTCAAAGATCACTTTTTCCGTACCGAGTTTTTCGAGATATTTAGCTCACCGTGTTTCATGACAATTTTCTAAGTGAATGTGCGACTTTTTGGAAAATCTGATACCACCATTGAAAAGCTGAGAAAATTTCCTATCGAACATAGTAGCCAGTTATTTTTCTTAGATGAGTTTTGATACTTTTTCAGCGACTTAGAAATTGAGTAATTAGCCGTATTTATAAGAAAACATGAATTTTCGTCCTCTAAATCACAAAAGTAGCTATAAAAATAAGCACTATTGAAATTTCAATGGTTCCTACGTGGTTACATGTTCCTAGGACCCCCAAAAACATTTCCCGGGGGTCCGTATCCGCGTAGGTTGAAAAAAAAATTTGTCGCGATTCTACCTCCAAAAATGCGTTTCATTTGGAGAATTGCTCATATAATAAATTGTATACGTCAAGAGCTGTGTCATCGACGCGAGCACATACATAAATTATCTCATTACTTACGCGTACCTTTGAAGTGTATCACTGCCGAGAGAAAGACAATGATCCATAAGAGATAGACATCATCCCTGTACGTTGCGCAGCTATCCGCAGACGTTCGATGCACTTCATAGGTTCGCCGCTCATTTCGGATGTGTATATGGAGCTATTATTCTAAAATCGCGATAACATTGTCAGCGATCATTAACGATCGATTGATTTTTTTCTCGATCTTCGAAAGGATATATAATTGATGGGACATTAGCATTGAAAAGCTCGTTATAAAATCAACATCTTTTCTTAGATTGAAAATGCAAATCTGGTAAAATCTTCTCTTGTAAAATCCCACTTTATCATAACAGAGAGAAAAATATCTCGTGTTTAAGGAAGCAAGAATATATTTAATCGAGCTGAAAAGATCGCAGGGTCGAATCTGCATGTTAGCATTATTCTTTACGCAATAGATCGAAATAATCGTCGTGTTGGCTGTGAGCTTACAAGCGCGCCTGGACTTTACGATTCATTTTATGCAAGAATAGTCATGTAAAATTAAAAACAGTCACTCGTTCATCAAATAAAAGATGCATATCGATCGGCACAATCGTGTGCGCAGAGTAGTTGCAAAGTCGCAAATAATAACATAAACCGTATACGGTACAAGCAGCTGTATTATATACCATACACACACGTGCAGCTCCGAGAAATTCCGCAAGATACAAACTCTAGTCTGTGTGTTGTGTCTGTGTCACTGGGATGGAAAAAAGAGAGATGGGTTCTGTATAAAAGTGACTGCATATGCGGCGCGCGCTCCTGGGGCAAATGTCGTTTATAATGCCTACCGATCGCGAACCGATCTCATTCGAGTAAACGGCGCACACGAGCCACTGTGCAAGTACACAGACGAGCTCACTTACACTTACTCGTATATGGGATATAATAGTCGAAAAATGCAGTTACTTCGTTGTATGTGCGCTTTAAGTTTAATGGTACGTTTTAATTCATTTACATTCCAGTAAATATATGTCGAGTGATAAGAGTGACTATAAGAAGAGAAAACTTAATTACGTGCATTCAGGCGCTGTTGATCGCTGCGAGTGATGCTGCTCCAAACATCGTCTACGCTTTCAACAATAATAAAATATCGCCCAATCAGCAATCACCTGTGCTGCAGGGTCGAAATTTGCTGGCCCCGAAGATCGAGTTGAGAGCCGGCCTGACACCGGCTAATACGGCTCGATTGCCTGGTGGACCTGCCCCGTCAGCTGCTGGAGGTGCCGGAGGCGGACAACAACCGCAGGAAGACGGGGTCACTAGGGAAGAAATGACTTCGTTCAAGGAAGTCAACGGGGAGAGCATAAGAACTGTCGTCGGTAGTTACGCTTATCAAAGCCCCGAGGGTCTGGCTGTTTCATTCAAGTGAGTGCTTTCAGGCCGAAATGATTACAATATTTTCAAAAACAAGCCATACTATCAGGGAAAGTAATACAAAACATGATTGTAATTTATTCTTCTGACAGGTATTCAGCCGACGAAAATGGAAATCAAGCTGGTTTTACAATAGGGAAGGCTTCGGGTGGTGGAGGTGGCGGTGGTGGCGGCGGCGGCGGCGGGGGAGGAGGAAACAGACCTGGTGGTGGCGGAGGAGGATCCGGATCTGGATCTGGAGGAGATAGATCATATTTACCTCCGAATTGATTGAATGCTTGGGCCTAATTTACTTGAAAAAAAAAAATAATAAAATATTCATAGATCGTTGATAAAAAATTGTCCCTTTTCATTAATAAATGTATCTGAATAATTTTTTATTGTAACATTACATAATAAATATTTGTGAGATAAATATTGATTGTTGGGTTATTTAATAATTTTTTGGTACCATAAAAAGAATATTAATAGAATTGTTTTTATTTTTTTTTTTTTATTTACTTCATCTTTGTACATCAACATTCAGAATAATAATAAAGTACATATTATGAACCTCTATAAGTTGTGTATCCAAATGCATTAAGCAGTAGAGGAATATGATAATGCTCCAACTTATCAACGGAAAAATTCACATCAATAAATGGATAAAAAGTTTTTGAATCGATAAAATCATAATAATTTTTTACGGCGAAATTTAGTTTATAAACGCCAACTGCTGATGGTGATCTACCAATCTCAAAATTAGGAATACGACCATCTGAGTTTGTTACACTAGAAAATAAATCATGCTACACATAATATCACTTATCATAAGCCATGTTTTTTACAATTACCAGTCACTTATGAAAATCCATGATTCATTGTTTTCATTCATATTCAATTTATACAGTTTAACCTTTATGTCTTTGACAGGAACACCCTTGCTCACATCAAGTATGTGTGTCGATATATTTAATTTTGTTTCACTCATTTTTGCAATTTTTACTGAATGAAATGAAATTCACTTAACTAATAACCAAGTGTTAAAGAAATTATGGTTATGTTTGACTGGACGTCAGAGATAATTTTTACGAAAATAACTTATTATCAGCGTGAAGTATTGAATTAATACAAACAGTTGCGTGCAATTTATGACGAGCATACTCACACTCATATAATTTACATATTAACAGAGGGAAAAAAGTATGACAGCATAACCACTTACATGAACATTGCATTTACCAACTTAAGTATTCAAAAGTTACTTATCTAAAGTAAATATAGATATTTAATATTATACATATTTCTAAAACGCGCATTTCAATAACTAAAATCTTAAATATCATACACAAAAAATACTAAGTTTAAACTAACTTAATAAAATATTTATTTTAAAAATTAATATAATTAAAAAACTTTTTCAATTTCTTCAATTTCAATTTTGAATTTACTGTTCTCTGTGGCAAATGAAGGTAAACGGAGTAAGAGTAATTTTTGTGTCGTAAATCCCCTGTGGATCCTTCACATCAAAAGGAATTTCCATAAAAGGAAAAGCTGTTGCACGTTTTTTTGTGCTATAATACTTCTCCACATCATAATGAAGCTTATATCTACCAGCTGAGATTGAACTTTTTGAACTCTGAGAGAGATCTTGGCATGTACCGTTTGAATTGGTTACACTAAAAAATTTAATTTTGATAAGGAATGTTTGTATTGATTTGCAAATATAAGCATTTATCATAAGCAATCAATTATAATATTTATATTTACCTTTCACTCATAAAAGTCCATCTTCCATTGAACAATTTATAAAGACTAACTTGTAGTCCAATACATGGCAACCCATCACAACCATCAATGACTCTAGTACTAATTGTGGGTTGTTTTTTTATTAAAATATTTTTAACAGATGACATAGTATTGAGGATGACAATTGGCTTCTATGAAAAATATAAATTTCATCAAATTAATAAATTGATTTAAATCATAAAACGTCAATGTTTTATTACTTACCGTTTTGGAATTATCAATAGAGACTAAATTTACTTTTTTATTATCGAGTCTTGAACTTCTCAATATTGCTGGATCACTTTTGATTGTGTTTATTTTTTTAATTTGTTTTGTTCGATCCATTCTTGCTAAAGAAGGAGCCATATATAAAACTTTTTTTGGAGCAGGAGGAGTTTGTACTTCTGTGAGAGTTTGCGATTCCGAGAGAATTTCACTATCATCATCACATGTAGCAAGAGTTGCTTGGCCATTAGCCTATGAGAATGAATTTAATATTTAATTCATTGTTAAATAATGATTTAATTTAAGCAACTAGAATGTAATTTTTAAATTTTACTCACATCTAGTTTAGTTATAATAATTTTATTGGCTAATATTTGTTGCTGTAAGCTTGCCACATCTGGACATTTAATAACTTGATAGGTTTTAACTCCATCTTCATCCTCTGTTTCACCTAAAACTACTTGTAATTCTGAACTATTAACATTTTCATCTGCAGATAAATCAATTGATACATTTTGAGTAACATCATCTTCAACTGTTTGCTAAAAAAGTAAAGCAATTTAGATAAAGTTTTCATACATTATTAATTAAAAATATTTTTAAAAAATGTTACGTTTTCTATTTGAATCGGTTTTACATCGATTTCATCCATGTCAATCATTGAAATGTCTTGATTGATCTCTTCATCACTTTGTTCTTCGAGTTGTTCGTAACTAATATCTTCTACCATCTCCTCATCATCTTCTAAAACTTGTTGTTTACTTTCAACTTTTTTCATAACTAATTCTACTTCTTGCAGATCTTCCTTTTCAGTATCCTAAAAATGTTTGAGAAACATTTAATTTTAATGATTTTTCATTTAAGTAAAAAACAAACAATATTCCTTACTCTTTCTCGTTTTTTAGCTGCTTTTTGATGTTTCAATGTGCACATGTGTTTTAACAATGATAATCTATGAGCATGTAAACTCCTTTCACAGTATTTACACCAGGCTTTGGTAGCTTCATTTGGTACAGAAGTAAGCCAATCTAGAAAAAAATTTAAACATGGGACCATTAAATGAAATGAAAATAAAAATTTATTTTAAAAAGTAATGTTAATTTACCTTTGAAATCAGTCATGCACTCCCATTCCTTGCGATAACGTTGCGTATAAACCCTAGTTTTTGCTTTGCTTACTTTACCTGTCGGTGTGTAAATAATGCCATCATCTTCAAAACTTTTGTTGGTTATTGAAACGTTGGGCGAGCTTCCTCGACTACCGTCCGAGGCGTTTGAGCCTTCCATGATTTTCAATTGTTTATTTTTTTTAATTGAAATGAAGAACTACTTGGTGTAACAACTCTCGTTTACGTTTTCGAATTTTTAGTTATATTCTTATAACACTAGACACACTAAACGAGACCACGAGCGAAAAGTCTCGTGAAACTGCTGTGCAGGGACAAGCGTGAGTAATGGCCACAAAATATCCCAAGATTCAGGGATACTAGATATCCCGTTTAATTTTTCTCAAATGTCTTTTTAACTTTAGAAATTATTCAAACCGCCTGACATTGTTAATAATTATTTTATACTTCAGCGATAATTTAATTAAGAACAAATTCTCGTTTCGTTCGAATAAGAACGTTATATAAATTAATCAGATTTCCGATAATTTTTATATAGAACAAGATGGCTGAATAACACGTTTTCTGGGGATTACTTGCCGTGTATGTGTATGTGAAGAGCTATGGAACTGGCTGCTGGCAACATAATGTAAGTATATATATATTGCTGAGTTAACTGCTGTCACTCGACAGTGGTGACTGGCGTATTTCCAAGTTGCTGTAGCGGGATTTTTGAATTTCATCTAAAATCTATTTTAAAAATATTTATTGGTTCGGAACATTTTTCTTTTTAATAAACTTTTTAAATTTAGTAGATAAGTTCAGTAGTATGATTTACGATGCTGATTATCTTTGTAATTATGTTGTCCAATATCTACTATATCGTCACTATACTATACTTACCGTTTCTAGGTATATTCAACTTGATTCTAGTAATGAAATACTTTCAAGGTTTTATTGTCTTTATACTTCTGCAAAAGATAAAACTAGAGTCCTATGAACAATAGTTTAGAGGATGACTACTCATGATAGAAACCCAGGGTAATTAAAAAAAGCAATAAAATAGTACTCATGATTTACTCATCATGATTCATTGTACAACCTTTTAAAAATATAAAATATTTCCATTTTTATGTAGATAAATAAGCCATAATAATAATACAGCACAATATGTTCACTGAGCGATACTGTGTATAAGCTTTTTTATTTTCCCATGTAATGCGAGCTCGAGAAAATGGATATAGTAGATTTTGACCAGAATTCAAGCCTGTACCTTCCGAAAAATACATTGAAAGCTTATAGAGGCGCTGTGGTATCGTTCAGTCCCCAATGCCCCTCGTTCAACATATCGTATGATCTGTTGAAACTGGTGGCAACACAGCTTTTCGTTGAAAAGTCATAACGATGTTCGTGGCATCGACGATTAACGATGGAGCAGCAAAATTCCGTTCGAGATACGTAAATCAGGCCGATGATAACGTACGTACACAATAATCAAACCCCTAAGTTTTTGATATTACTAGAGATATTTCGGAGCGCTCGTCGTTTGGGCTTGCTAGTTAATTAGCTCGGCTCTTCTGTAATTGACGACGAAACCGAGTTGACCTGCTCGATTAAAATCTCGATTTTCGTTCGATGCATTTAAGCATCTTGACTATCAAAAACTCGCGGTATATAAGTTGTTTTATACATACAAACTCATTTATATCATATTCCATTAATTGCTGTGCAGTGGAATTTGATTTTATCTGAATCTACACTCGAGATATAAACAGGGGCCAAGATAATGGATTTTGAACAATTAGGGATTTAAAAAAAGCTACTCAAATAAAGGACAAAATTGGGCGTTTTATCAAAGCGACACAAGTCGAGGGAAAAATTTCGATCCAAATATTTGGAATTGTCCAAGTTCGCAGCGAGTAATTTCAGAAAGTCACTAGCGATGCGAAGCGTCGTTACTATAAAAACTCGCGTGTACTTGTACACTGCTCGAGCGCATGTATTTCTAGTGGTTCTCACGATCAAATCAAACAGGTTGTTCTCACGATTGTCTCTCGCTCGTGCAGCATTTCTGCGTGCGAAGCGCTACAAAAATGCACTGGAAATATAAATTTACATTTTATTCATAATTAATTCGTCGGAATAAAGAAAATTCTGCAGCGGTGTTTTTTTCAATTTTCGATGAGATCTCGAACTACCGTAGCGTATACTAAAATGAGTTTGAATCTGCGGTGCGCTTGATGACTCTACTATGCACAAGCGTATAGTATATTATGGAGCAGCCCAAAAGCTCAATCGAGGATTTCGCTGCCCGGGGGCTTGTGTTTAGTCCTCGTAAATATGATGAAGAAGTTTTAGAGAGCTGCGCCTGCCCAGTAATTAGAGATAATTGTATAGCATTATCGATTTTCAAGACTCACCAAAGCCAAATACACCCATTGAAATTATGTCAAAAATTACTTACAAGAAGGAAAGAAGAAGAAGAGAACTGGCGCATAAGAGATAATAAATGGACCACCGTACCAGATCGAGAGGAGAAAAAAGAGCAACCGGGTCGAAATTTATGTTGGGTGGACTTGCCTCTCTCTCTCTCTTCCTTTCATTCTCTTCTGCACATTGTTTTGAAAGCTCTACCAAACAATGGCCAGCTGAACGATGCCGGCAAGTTATTACCACAAAAACACGATGATGATGCAATTTTGGTAGACTTGGTTTTTTTCTATTAAAAACAGCGATAAATGGAAAGGTACATACTCCTTTCCAAAAATTCGGGAAAGCGATTTTTGACGTCATTCTCTCCGCGAGATCCAGGCCGATTAAAGTAGAGCGCGCGCGCGCGCGATCGTTATAAAGTGAACCGGATAGAGTTTGCAAAATTCTCCGTTTCGCAGTTTAAATAAAGGCATTAGCGAGTTTTAAAAAGCAAGTCCAACAAAAAAAGAGAAAAAGGGAAAGAGACGGGTATACATGCCGGGCTACAAGAGCGAAAACGAAGAAGGGCCCCTTTCGCGCATTTTTATTATGTATACCGGAGAGAAGCAGCAAGAGAGAACTTTAAATTCTTTTTTATCTCTCTCTCTCTCTCTTTTCTGTGCGTGTCTTTCTCCCTCTTGGGTCTTGGCGGCGGCGGCGGCGGCACACATACACAGGTATATACAGCCTAGTAGTGCAGTCCACCTGATGCTTTGGGACTGGCTGCGAGCAGCACACACGCTTTCTGTAATGTGTACATAAGACGGAGGGGCACACGCTCTACACACACACACACACAGCTCTCGAATGTGTGCTCTGCTCTTCTCTCGTGCTGCATATAAGTACGCGAGAGAAAGAGAGAGAGGAAAATAATAAGAGAGGCTCTCGACCTATCGGCATCTCGCAAGGGGCGCTCGCTCCTTACACATATTATACGCTCTCTCTCTCTCTCTTTTTCTGCGGCTCTCTTCGTTCAGCCGTTACGCGCGCTTCGGCGACTCCAATTTAGTTCACTTTTACTATTGCTGCCAGTGCACCTGACGTATTGTACGTTAATATATAGACATATTTATACACGGCTCGCGGAGCATCTCTCCGCATTGTGTGTATGTTGTATGTACATACCTACGTGTATACATGCCGACATCAGTTCGTCCGTGAAATCTATCGATTATTTATCGCTTTTTGTTGACTCCAGTGCTTCGCAACAATACAACTAGTCGCGTTAAAGTGTGCTACGATTCAAACGCGCTCGACAGATAAATTTTTGCTTGCTCGTTACATTCCACCGTGCCACTACGAGACTCTCTCTCTCTCTCTCTCTCTTAGATATTATAGGCCTATATTTTATATATGCCTATATATATTCACGCACATCGTGCAGATGCGCTCAAATGGAAACAGGATACGTGTAATAGTGAATTGATTAATTGCTTCTAGCTGTTGTGTTTCGTAAGGCCCTGTGAAAAGCCATAACCGAAATGAAGAATAGAGCGAGATGATGACTATATTGGTAAGTCATTGCTAACGCGCAAATCATTTACTTCACTTGTTACTTGTTTTCTCAAGCACTCGACGTATACCGTTTGAAAAGAGTTTAAAATTAACCGCAGTCGTGCTTTTCCCTTCTGTCTTCGCAGCCGATTAATGGAGAGGAAAGATGAAGAAATTTCGCGTCGAAGCTTTCATCGTGCCGAGTCTCTGCAAGACGATCGAGGAGGAGAACCCGATCAATCAGATCGACGACGTGAAGATCGCCAACAAGCTCAAGGACCTGTCACCGGCGTCGTCGGCCGACGACTCGAGCCTCAGCAACAACAGCAGCGGCACAGGCGCCGGCGCCGAGGACAAGCACAACAATTCGCTCAACAACTCGCTCAACTCGTGCGAGAAGACCGACGACTACGACGAGTTCTCCGGCCTGTTTTTCCAGATCGACGAGCACATCTACGACGAGATCGTGCCGCTGGATCACGCCAAGAACAGAGTCTCGCTCGACGTGAAGATCGATCCGCGGCCGGCCATCACCGATCCACCCAAGACCGAGTACTCCAAGGTGACGCTGAAAATCGACGAGCCAATTTACGACGAGCCGTTCGTGGGAAACTTGACCAAAATTAATCCCATCAATAACGCCATAAACACGTACGACGTGCCTCAGAGCCCCGCATGGGTCCTCGGCACGTCCAAGTATCGGCGCTTCGGCATCGTCGCTCCGAAAATACCCAAACGATCGAGCAGCTTGATGTCCATCACCGAGGACATCGAGAACTTTCACGAGGCGCTGCAGCCGGAGCTCTGCTGTCACGGCCGCAAAAACGGCTGCCAGCTGAAGCACGAGAAGCCCGAGGACATAAGCGAGGACATATTCAAGGAGAACTGGATGCAAAAGCTCGACTCGCTCAGGAAGTTGGAGACGCTCTTGAAGGACAAGGAGGTAGCGTTGCAGTCGCGCGAGAGGCTGCTCTTCAAGAAGGAAAAGGAGCTGAGGATTTTGGAGAGACTCGTCAAGGATAAGATGCGCCAGGTCGAGCTCTACGCCAAGAGATTCAAGCAGTCGTTGAGCGCCGACAGCATAGCGAGAAATTTGGAATCGAGATCCTCCGATGGCTCGAAGGAACGAAGCAAATCCGACCCGTCCAACGTGCCGACTTTGAGAAGAAATATCAGGGAGACGGCGTCCTCGAGCAACACTCTGAGAAATCAAGCCAAGTCGAGAAATTCCATCATCACTACGGATAGAGCGAGTTACAAGACGGCCAACTCAAGATGCAAGCCCAAGTCTCGCGCCAAGGTACGCTACGACGACTTGGACTCGACGCTCTCGGCTGCCAACGGCGATGAGTCAATGGTCGTCACGGCCACGAAATTCGACTCGGAAATGTTCAAAAAACCCACTGGCTTCGCTCGTTCGGCGAGCGAGAGGCGGCCCAGGATCGAGCAGAAGATCGCTGCGGCCAGACTAGCTAGTTTGATCGAGACCAACGAAAGTAGCGCGCTTGTCAACGTTATCGAAGAGAAGACAATTCAAAGAATAAGTCAGAATATTTTGGCTACTCAAGATCAAGACACAAAGTTTTTAAATTATGGCCTTATAGATCAGAAGACCGACGTCGCACCAGTTGACAAAGCTGACACTATAAATCAGAAAAAAATTTCGTACCTGAATTTGGAATCCGTTAATAAATCCAAAGCAACCACTAATGATAGACCAACTTCTTGGAGTGAAGAGGCCGATGATTGGTTGAAAAAGAAGAGAATGGCATACAATTTGGCAACTAAGCAAGCTTCACAAGAACATGTTGCAGACAAAGAAAATTTAAATAAGCAAGCAAAAGTTAATAAATCTGTTAAAAGTGTTAAGAAAAAAGAAACACTCAAGAAGAAATTTTCTATCTTTCGTTAACTTTTAAATATTAGAAAATTAGGCATTTCAAAATCTTGTCAATTTGTAAATACACTATATATAAATTTTAGAAAGAAAGATTTATTAAAAAAACATGTGCATGATGTAAAAATTTACTTTTGTATTTATCATTACCCAATTAGAATATTGTCAAAACTAAACTTGCTATTATGACAGGTACTAGAAATATTAAAGATTTTCTTTTCATTTAATGTTTTTGATTAATTTTATTTTAAAATTAAATAAACTATTAATTATATTCCACCATTATTACTGCTCTATCAGCAATTTAACAAATAAACTGATCACCATGAAGGTTTTTCAGGCGGTACTGCTTTACCGTATAGAGCTGATTTATCTCTGAAGCGTGATAATCTTTCATCTTCCCATTTATTCAATACTTTCCCAGTTAGAAATCCTGTCCAAGGAAATACCAAAATGGCATACTCTTTCCAAAGGTTGTATTTTAAAGCCATGTTTTTTTACTCTAGTAAATTTTCTGATTTGAGTGCCTGCTCCGCTTGGTAAGCTTTCCACTTTTGAGTACGGTTCCAATCAGCAAAGATCAAACCAAAGCTAATGGTTGGAAAAGTTATAGCTGTGGCGTATCTGCGGTAAAATATTCGTAATGCACCCATCAATCTGAAGATAAAATAATATTTTTTCATTAAAAATTCCAAGTTACAAATTTTAGGTTATGTCTGTCATCTTATATAGGTCTTATGTAATCACAACGATGTTCAAAATATTCAATGCAAATTAAACTATTCAGAACAATCGTTAAAATAAAATTATCAATAAGTCGAAGTCAAAATGCACTTATTTAACAACTATCTACAATAGGCTCTACATATTTCTATAGGCTAAATTATTGATCAACACTCCACTATCTCAAAGGCATATTATAATGACAGCAAATGTAAAACATGTAAAATAAGCATTTTGTCTGAAGAATCGCATCAAGCATCGACTTATACCTTACTGTCAATAAAAAAATGTTTGTCAAATAGAGAAAAAAACAAGAATTACACTAACTTGGGTAAGCGAACTAACGCACTAAAATTCACCAATATTGACTCAGTTGATCGTTCGTCTGCTGCGTGCGTCACTTCGTCACATAACAAAGCTTAAGGGTGACATAAAAAGATTCGAAAAAGTGAAGGAAAAAAAGATGTGGCTCATTTCAGTAAAAAATTATCATTCATGGAATGGAAAATAACTATTTCCATTCCACCTGCATATTTTCAATTTCTTTTTTAAACTATTGAGACGCGTGCAAACATTTTCGCTAAAATTCTTGAAATGAGCGATTCAAAATCTGTCGCGGGGTATTCTTTATTCGTATTTCTCTATTCAGGGAATTAGATCATATTTTACCCGCGCAGGCAACTAACGAGCTTTTCCTTATTATAAATAACCATCTTCTAGTTCCTCAAAAATAAACAAATTAATTACTCACCTTCTGAAAATTAAAAATGGATAATGTTAAGATTTTAAATATAGTCACTTGTTGACTTTTTCTGTAATAAATAAGTAGACATTTTTGTATGGGAATCTTTTTATTGTAGGAATTTACAAAGATACAATACGCAAATAATCGTTAAGTTTTGTTTTAATTTAAATAATATCATTAGATATTTTTAAAATTTCTTTCAAAGGCTTAAGACATATTGTTTTATTTATTAAAATTAATTGATTATTATAACACAATTCAATCATAGGCATCGAACCAAAAGGTATCGAAAATTTCAAATTCACTTATAAAGCAAAAATAAGAGAAACATTCGACAAATAATTATTTTTATTAATACAGATTATAAAAGACAATAACAAACGATATGGCCTAATGATAGAATAACACTGAATATTGATAAGAATTTAGAGAAAATTCTGATACATTTTTTCCAATATTTGAATAATAAGAAACAGGTTTTACAAAACTTAAAGAGTATCTCATTACTAGGGTAAAAATCAATATTTTTTAAATCTTTTGCATGGAATCTCTTTCGTGTGGTTTTAAAAGTTGTTTGTGATCTAAAATAAAAAAGCTTGTAGTTACGAAAATTGTCATGTAACTGTGCAACCAATCGAGAATGACATGTAAATTAACAATGACTTCGGCATAATATTCAAGAAACTAAGAACTTTTCTGCCTACATTAACTTCAATTTTTGACAATTTTGCCTAGAGCAGCGCATCGGCAACAATTTTTTTTATATTGAAATTGTTGACGATTTACGGTGAATATGTCTTATTAATTTGACACCATGGATTATTAATAACTTGGGGCCGACTTTGACGCCGTGATAATTTTCATTGTAACTAAAAATTGTTATGTTTAGTCAAAGAATACGTATGAATTTTTTCGAAAAATTTTGATTTGTTTAAATGATATTCTCAATTGGTGGTGTATCATGACCATATAATAAAATCGTAACTAAGAGATTTGTTCATTTTGTGGTCTTAACAAACTTCCAAAACTATAGCACTGAGGTTCCATGAAATTTTAGAAATAAGGGACACTCTACTGCACAGTTTTTAAAAAATGATTTGTTTGAAATCTCACAAAAAGGACAGAAACGTCAGTATAGTTTAGAAAACAAGTTTAAAACCTTTATTAATTTTACACAAACTCCAAGATCTTCTATTAAAGTACACAACTTTGATTTTTTTAACTCAAAACTATTATCAACTGGAATTGAACACAAAATCTATCAAAAATTTTACTCAATACCTCAACATAAAATTTTATTTTGTTTATCACAATAATTAAAAAAATTTTGTTTTCATACCAGCAGCCCAAAAGTGACTACTTCTCTGCCGCTGCGCAAAGCTGGAAGAGCGATTTTCGGGACACTGCGTATGAAAAATAGTATACAGGCCTATGCCGCGAAAAAAGAAAGCACGTGTTTATAGGCTTCGGCTTCGCCTTGGCCACTAATTACATGTACTCTAGGACTTTTCTGTTTTTATCGGCCTAGGGCAGTAATATGCTATTTAATTCAACTTTTAGACTTTAAAGCAGACCAATCGTAAATATTTCGGCTATAATATGGGAAAAAATTGTCCCATCGTTTGTCTTCATCTTAATCTCGATAATGATTATTTACCCTGAACAAGCATTTTTCCACCGATCGCATAAAATTTACGCCTCAAATTTAACAATTTTAAAAAACTAAAAATAAAATGAGAAGACCGTAACACACCATTGGTGCAAGGTCATCGACCTTAAAACGATTGATATTAGTTTGTTCAAATGTTATTAGTTATTATTTTACAGTACTATAACTTAAAAATCGCAACTTTTCCGCTACTTTTAAGCTCTTGTGTTATGAAATATTGTATGCCACTTGTGTAGATAAGCTTTTTCTGCAAAACTCGTTACACGAAGTACTATTTTGAAATTCCTCAAATTCCGATGATTTTAAGGTTAAAAAATATCCTACAAGAAGATAGTTTTATCAAATTGTAACTAATAAATCAGTTGTAATTAATCATAATTGCCAGAGCGAGCGCGCTCCTCGATTGATATTATATATAGGAGTACTTTTAGTATGTCACATTAGATACGAAACTTTAATGGATGCTGTCACATAATTTCATAAAATTATGTTTATAAAATGAAATAATTGTCGAAATTCAAAAATTTAATTTCACAATAATTAAATTGACAATAATTGTTTTTTAAACCAGTGTCCCCGAATGATGTTGGGTATGAAAAATAGTATACTGGCCTAAACTAAAAAAATCAAACTTCAGAGCATGAACTTATCGACTACGGCCACTAATTACATTGGTCGTAGAACTTTTTGGCTTTTCTCGGCCTTACAGGACTATAATATACTATTTTGAAAGTAAAAAAATGTTTATTGAGTACTTTCAATTCTTGATAGGATTAATTATAATTTTGATTGAATTGCATCAAATTTTTTTATAAATATTGGATGCATTTCATTAAATGCATAATTAAGATAAAATAAAATTCTAAAAAATATTCTTCTATAACACTTAATTATAAATACTCTGTTCTTTAAAAAATTCACTTATACATAAGCCTAATATGTACAAATATTAATTTTCAATGTATACAAAATTAAAATTTTGTACAATTGTTAAATTTTTACAGATACCTGAAGATGCCTTAGTTCTTTCAACACATCTCTTTGGATTGGTAACGTTTTTAACTGCTTTTTTCTCAATTCCGAGATTTTAGAATCTTCAGTTCGTGTGATAATACCTTCAGAATTTGGATGACCAAAAGAAAAATTCAACGAGCTTGCACAACTTTGAAAAGTATCGCTCTTGGAACTTTCACTTAAAGTATCAGAACTTGTACTTTCTGATAAATTGTTTTGATTCTGTAGTTTCTTTTTTAATCTAGCTATGAATTTCTTCATTACCAAGTTTTCAGAACTATCACAAGTTTCATAAGATGAAGTCGATTTTTGTGAATCTGTAATGCTCTGGCTATCCGAAAATTGCTGCATATCACTTGAATCACTTTTTGATAGACTAGAAAAGGACGTTTCTGAAAGATCACTATTAGATACTTCCAAAGCACCCTTTTTATGAGATGTTTCATTAACTAATGTACTGGATAATTTAACTGGGATGGTTGATTTTGTATTGCAATGTTGAAGCTGTTGAATAACAGGATTTCTAATGTTAACATTACAATTGCCGTACTTTGCCATATTATTCATGGTCAACCATTCATTAATACTTCTATTTGATTTCCCATCGAATAATAAGATTTTCATTGAGTTGCTCTGAAACAGAAGCATATTTTTTTTTAGTAATTTTAGTACTTTAAAACAATCCAATAACATTATAAATACAAAAAATTCAGAATTTTTACCTTTTTATCTATACTATTTATGTGGGCAAAACACTTTCCTACAACTTTACTTCTAAATATTTTTACATCTTTGAAAGTCCATCTCTTAGACGATAATGGTTCAACATTATGCAATGAACATGGTATTGCTTGAGCTGGTATATTCATAAACCTCTTATCCAAAAAGCAAAGGGATTTAGCAGGGTAAAAACCTACTGTACCATAATCTAGTAAAAACACCTAGAATAAAATGAATTATTAAGAGATAGTCTTATTAAATAAAACTAAAACAAATGAAAATCAACCAATTGTTATAATTATATAATTTAAATTCTTAATTATTAATTTATTACTCATTAAATAAATTTTCATACCAGCGGCCCAAAAGTGACTACTTCCCTGCCGCTGCGCAAAGCGGGAAGAGCGATTTTCGGGCCATTGTGTATGAAAAATAGTATACAGGCCTATGCCGTGAAAAAAGAAAGCCCCAGAGCATGTGTTTATTGGCCTCGGCTTCGCCTCGGCCACTAATTACACAAACTCTGGGACTTTTCTGTTTTTCGCGGCCCAGGGCAGTAATATACTATTTATTTAAGTATAATTATGATTAATAAATCATTTTTATTCTTACTTTTGCCTCAGATTTTTCTAAATTTCCATCTGTTATCAATCCTCTGCACCATGTGGATAAAACTTTACATGCTACCCATACTCCAGGTCTTAGAAAAACCAATGGTAATTCAAATACAGCAGGTTGAGCAGTTTGATAAAATTGTCTGATAAAGGCATTTTAAAATGAATTAGTATTATAAAAATAGTAGGATAAATTAAGACATATGTAAAAATAAAGAAAACTCACTCAAGATCTTTAATCAGTCTATCAAGAGTACGTGCATTTGAAGCTACTTGTACCCAAAAAAATGATGGACTTATAACATTTGTCACAAAAACGGTTAACATTTCATTTGAATTAATCAAATTTTCAACTGATATTTGACGTATTGATTCATCAAACCTTACAGCATTTTTAGGCGTTAGGTTGATTAAAGTTCTATATCTCTGCAAAAATAAAAATGTTTATAAGTTTTTTTGTTTGGTACAAATTTATGAATGATATATTTTGTTATAAAGCCAGATTAAAAAAATCTATTAATAAATAATGATGATATATAAAGAGAATTTTAACTTACTTGTCTACTGACTACTTTCAAAGGCACAGCAGGTTCGGAATCATTTTTTTCAGGGGATGCAGTACATTCTTTTTCTAATGGAAACTCTATAGGATTTTCAGCATCTGTCACCATTATTTGCCTACCATCTGGAGTTTGTACCAACGTGAGTATGTGAGATAGCGAATTACAAAATTCTACAATATTGTGAAATCCATACATTTGCCAGTCTAAATCTTTTTGAAATTCTTTGCGGTAAGCTCGTGGCAAATCCCAAGTTTTAATGGCGTTGTATTTTTTTATAAGTGCTCTTAAAGACTTTTGTGTACGCTCATTGACAATATCATTTTCTTCTATGTGAACATTATCATTCGTTTTTACAATAGAAACATTTGATTTGTTATCCAAATATTTTGTTTTTTCAGTTTCAAAATTTTTTTTGAAGTAAATAAATTCATCATCATAATACAATAAATGAGTATAATCACTGAGCTGATTATGCAATGATTCTAAATTATAAAATGCATAAGGCCCTTGGTGATCGACAGCTTTAAGAAGTACATCATTTTTTTTAATTTTTGGAAGACAATTTGGACCTCTTAATTCATGTAATATAGTAACTAATAACTTAGGAACTAAAAAATTATGGTTTTGGTGATAATCTTTTACTGCATGAGCCACAGATCTTTTTTTACGATTATCCTTCACTTTTTCTTTTTTTTTCATATCACTAATATGCTTTGTTTTTTCACTTTCGACGAATTGTACGCACATGACATTTTTTTTATTGGTCCTGAGTTCACAAACATCGGGCATACGAGCAAGAAATTCTGCCAAAGAAGAGAAGTAGAAATTTTCTATAGGAATATCAGTCCCAAAAAATTCTTCGTAGAGCTCATTTAGTCGACGTAGCGTAACCTCTTCTTTGGCTTCAGCAATGAGCAACGATCTGATTCCTTTTTTAACTTCCTCCAATTGTTTTTGTTGCGAATCGCTTAAAATTCTTCCGTCGGCTTCCATGATTGTATACAGCTTTGTTTTGTATCACTTTTGCGTAAAAACAAGTAAATAAATTCCAGAACTGATTACCGGTAAACTATCAAAAACTTAACCAATTATATTAAATTTCTTGAGTTGAGTGCACAACTATTCCAAAATGATAAACTTTTCAGCACTTTTAGCAGAGGTTTTAATTTTTAGAGTGAAATGGAGTTTATTGTTTGACTCCGAAGTTCAAACTGGCAGTCTGCAGAGTGCAGACACGAGGACGACTCACGAGGCACGACTCACTCATTCACCGCAGCCCGCTGGAGTCATTGGCCGCGAGAGGGCAGATGCTGTAATGACAGTCGACACGGTTAATTTTGAATGCACGTGGATTTCGATATACCGTTCAAATTAATTGATCGACACAGCATAGCTAATCTAAACACGAGAGGGGATTTTAAATTTGTTTATCGATTTATCGGCTTTTTTTTGTTTATGTCAATATCATGAATTTGGACGATTATTTTACTTCTTTGTTTAAACAAGGACATGTTATGTTTGAATAAACTCAGATTAGGTGTACACCGCCGAGTTACATACGCAGACCTTGAAAATTTGAAATCGATTAGTCGCTTCTTTCACTGCGCAGCGTATCACGTATGTCGTGAAACTGTAGTCACGCGCTTTTGTTTATAAACAGTGAAAGAAGCGATTAATCGATCTCAAATTTTCGAGGTCCGCGTATCTACTCGCAGGGTGTACTTATTTAAAATAGCGCATACTTGATACGGATTGGGAAAAAAAATAAACATGGATAACTCTTTTCAATTCTATGAATTTCATCATAAATACCGCGACGGGCATTGATCGGGATTGTGTCATGAGCCACAGCGCCTCTACAATTTCATTGTGGCGGTCCCAAAAAGATCGGGTTAGCATTTTCTTAGTCCGGACTGCAGCATTGAAATTTTAGAGACGTCAACAATTGAGTGATTATCATATAATTATGGTGCATGTAAGTGTATAACGCTTCAGTGCCTCCATTCTTTACTGACTGAACGAGTACAAACTGACTGGAATAAACTTGTTCATACAGGCGACTAGACATTTTGATTACATATTCCTCGTGACAATATTGGAAATTTATCTCGAAGTTGTTTCATACTTACGATCATACCGTTGGCGACAGAGAGCAATAAAAGCTAAAGGCATTAACTAAAAATTTCGTCTATGTGACATCTTCTTTGTCAGAATTAATTACAAGTCACAGAAACTTCTCAGTTGAATGATCCAAAATGTTAATCAAGACAGACAATAGTGACTTTGTCCCACAAGAATTTGCCATTCTCAACTTTTATGGCGAAACTGTGTGTTTTGCCTGGAAAGGCGAAGAATTTGTAGTTTTCCTTTATGAATATAATGACTCGTCTACTCCAGAATTAAATGTACTTAGAGCACCTTCAAATATTAGAGATATTCGTTCTTATGGTGAAAGAGTATTTTTTCTGTGTCATAAAACTGGAATTTATAAATTCAATAAAAATTCAGAATTTAGTTGTGTTAGTAAATCAGGAATTGAAATGGGGATCAATTTTTATGAAGTATTTACGATACAAGATGGATACCTTTGTCTTGATGATAAAAAGCAAAAAACTTCAAGACAACTTTTTACTTTTAAAATAAATATTACTAATGGCATAGAAGTATTATTAATAAACTCTGATAGCACAGAAGAATCATTCTATAGAAATCTTATTGGTAATAAATGCAACAACTTTAACAGTTTATGTTTAATCAGTCATGAAAACAAGTTATATAAATTGGCCGGTCAAAATTCTACTATTCAAGTCATGTACTGTTGCGATGGTTTAATAACTGGTATGAAGTTGGTGAATAATAATAGTAAAAATATTGGTGTTATTCTTAAAACCGATGGAAATTATGTGATATTTATTAACGTAAGAAATAATAAGCTGCAATATGATAAAATTTTACTTTCATCAACAGTGCAATCTTATTATGCTATAGTAGATGGTCCTATTTTTTTGTTAATATATTGTGATGGTGAAAAGACATATTACTGCAGAAAACTGTTGACTTCTTATTCAATAGAAGATGTTAGAATGGAAAACAAACATTTTTATAGTTTTAAGCTTTATAAGTCAGTTTATGTAATATTCCTGAATGATCAAAAAGAAATTTTTCAACTGGATATTAAAAAGTTTAAACAAGACTATGTAGAAAGTATCACCAATTTTGTTCCTTTGGAACAAAATATGTTACATGGACTTGAACGAATTATGGCAGAAATATTTTCCAAAACTCTACAACTTCAAAAATTAAAAGAACAAGTTCTGGAGAAAGAAGAACAATTGAAAAGAATTAATATATTTATAAGTAAACAAAATATAAAATTTTGTCCAGATGAAAAAGTGGTCAGAATGTCTGAGCATACATTTTTAGTATCTAATTTTAAAAAATCTTTACCCAAAAATTCATTGATTGTTAAACAGTTAAAAAATCGGGGCAAAACAATGTTTGCTGTGAAAATTGTGAATGATTTCAATACAATTGTAGAAATGCCTGTTCAAATACCAAATTTATCTTCAAAAATATGTACTTCAAATGATTTAATTACTTATCAGTCAGATGGTGGAATTTGGTGTTTAATACGTAATTATACCAGAGATCCTGTTTTAAGCAAAAGTGCAAAATTTCATTTATCTTCTGAAAAAACCAATTTTGTTAAACATAAATTAGTCGTATTGCGAGAAATGATGAAAGATAATAAAATCAGTATGGAAGCTTTATCAAAATTGAAAAATGAACTAAGAGAACAAATAAGTATGAGTTAATATTATTTTAAGTTTGAGTAATTTATGTACAATTAAATATTGTCTAGTGTCTACCATAAACCAAAATTAATAAAATTTATTTTTATACTTTTTAGTAAACAATTTTGATGCCTTATGTTTTTGAATATCCCCATGCATCCCCATGCATTGTACTAAATTTTGATTTCACAGGTTGTGTAAAAATTTATCATCAATCAATGTTAAAAACTAAATAATTGGAAATACATTAAAAGGAAATGTCTAATATTTTATGTATAATATGAATTTGAAAAACAAAGCTTAGAGTCATATCAGCTGAAATTCAAATTTACTGCTAGAACGTTTCTGCATCCCTTTGTTCATTTAAGCGAAGGCTTAAAGTTGCAAGAGCGAATTGGATTGTCGTGCGTGACGTCACCGGAGCGCGGATAGGTCCGCTTTTAGCACGAGTCGCGTTTCATGTCCGCAAATGGGAAAGGCGCATCCGCAAGCAGCAGCAGCAGCGATGCCGAGAGTCCAAGACTCGAAACTCGAGAGGGCGTAAACGGGCATAGGTTATGAAGTTTATGACTTATGGCTGCAAGCTGCAGCAGCGCCGAGATAGAGCAGGCCAGCCAGCCACTCAGCAGCAATTGCAAAGCAAAGCGGAGTAAGCAACATTGCAGAGAGCCGCGCCGAGCGCACTGAAAATGGCATAAGCGCAAAAGCGCGTCGCGAAGCAGGCAAATCTATATCCCACTGCAGCACGCATCGGTGGAGCTCGCGGTAACGACGTGTTACGGCCCCGTCCCTGCGCACGTTGAGCATAAATACAACATTCTAGGGTAACGCGCGCTCTTCTTGTCCGAAGCTTGGACTGCCTGAACAGCCAACTGTCCAGTCAGCCGAGTGTGTGATTGTTTACTCGTGTGCGTTGCAAGTCAGTGCGAGCGAGTGACGTGCGTCTGTGTGTTTTGTGTTCTCGCGAACGCGGTGCGCGTCTCGCTCGGGCGTTAAAGTAGAAGCAGCAGCAGCAGCACACAGTGTTGTGGCGTGAGGCTGGTTTGCAGGCGAGGTTCTCCGCGACTCGACGAGCCAACTCTATCTCTCTTCTTTCTGCGCCAGTGTAAAGGCGCTCTGTGCAGAAAAGAGGAGGCGTTTTAGCAGCAGCGAACGCGCGCGCGCTCTAGGAGTAGTAGTTGGCTAGTTCAGTGAAGTTTCTGCCGTGGCTGCCTGCCTCGATCTCGACCGTCGTGTAGTTATGTTATAGGCTGCTACGCTGCCCAGTGTCCGTGTGTGCCAGTGTTGTCACGATAATCACGGCCGACCTCAACGGATTTGCGCTATTTTTCTCCTGGAAGTTTTTGAAAACTGTGCAGGACACAACGAAGCTCGGCCAAGCCGCGACGAACCAGGTAGATTTTTCCCGAATCCTCGAGCAAGAAGGGAGAAGCCGCGGCTATCGGGCCAAGAGTGTTGCTGCTGACTCGAGTCCGCAGTGTACCGCGAGTCATCTGTATATATCGCATCGGCCGTGCACTGCACAGTGCAGCAGCGCATACACACGGCAGCTCCGACCCGAGTGAGCGAACGGGTGAACGGGCAAGCGAACGTGAACGAGAAAGAAAGAGAGAAGCAAGAGTGCTTTTATATGTGCGTGCGTCGAGGAGGGCCGCCGCCGCCGCCGCTACCGCTACCGCTGCCGACAACAACGACGACGACGACCAAACGAGAGCGACGTTGAAAACGCCTTCTACTCGTCGATCGCAGGGACTCGCTGCATAGGAGTCGCGATTAGTTTTTTTTCACGAGAGAGATGTGCATGCGAACTGGCTTTTAAAGCTGGTTGCACGCCAACTAGCCGGAGCTAGCATAACGCGCGGCAGCGATGTTTATTCACTGGAGGCGGCGCTCGAGGCCATCTTCGCCCAGGAGGCAGCAACAGTAGCTACAGGTACCAACGTTTGCTTACACGCGTAATGTATATACCTCTGTCGTGGCGCGCGCGAGATGCACTCGGCTATCGTGCATCTATACTCGATGCTTCTGCGTTCGCCAGACCGAGCCGAGCATGATTTCGTAGCCAATTTTTTGCCCCGTTTTGCTCCGATTTTTGCAAAAGCATAAACGTCGAGCTCTCTCTGACCAAGGGAAGCCCGGATGATGCCTATTGCCTCGTCACGGCCGGATGCACGCGTGTTTATATGCGGCGGCAGCAGCGCACACATAGACACGGTTCTCTCCTCGCTGTTGCTGCTGCTGCTGCTCGGCGCTGCCTCGTCGCTAGCTCGGTATACGCACGCAGCCGCTCTGAAAAGAGAAAGAAAGAGAGAGGCAATGATGGCGTGCAGGGGGCCCCGCGCCGCCACTATATTCATGTTCTATACGGACTCTGCACACGCATAAGCTCACTACACTCACACATGTATGTATACACGCACAGTCACATACACAGAACTGATACCGCCTTTGCATGCTTCTTTTCTGTAGGCATGCAGGTCCGTACTGTGTACATATTGCACATTCGACCGCCCCCGCAAATTTAACCCTTCTAGTTGGATATGGTTTTTCGCGCGCACCACGCCATTTGACAGATCGGAATCGAACATGTCTCACCAAGACTCTTGATATTGCTTTTAGGCTCAATTATCGTAGCTAAAAACCAAGTGCCATGGACGATGAAGAGCGCCTGGAAGGCGAGGAGGAAATGGAGCTCGACGATGCTTCCGAAGGTGAAGACGACGACGAGGATAACGCGAGCATTCCCATTTCCCCGGCCAATTCAGACCAGCTGCTTGGTCCAGCACCCAACTCAGGTAGCCAGTACCTGAATTTCAATGCAGAGAGCATTAATGGCAATGCTCATGATGTATACAACAGTATGTATTATAACCCAAAAAGCTTTCAACTCTTCCTATCTCTGTCACTTAAAACTCCATGTTTCTTTATAGTTACTCCTGATGAAGTAATCAATGATCCAATACGTTTTCAAAAATTTCCACTACCAGGTGGGAAGCCTCTACACATTAGACGAGGACCAGGACGGCCAAGAAAAGAGCGTCCTCCTGGAGCCCCTCGTGGTACAGGCGTACGAAGAGGAATGGGAAGGGGATCGGGTAGAGGAAAGGGGTATGTTGATGACCTATCATCGTTTCCTATTCCAATCCCAGTATCTAGGTAGTGTTTGTAGTTAAATTTTATTTTTATTTTAAACCATCCTTTTGTAAATAATTGAATAATCACCTTTGAATACATTTTCAACCTATTATTTTATAGTTTTGGATATGGAAGAGGAATTCCTCGTAGAACGAAAAGTAAAGATGAGGATACCAATTCAGAATCACCAAGTCCTATGAGACTTGGTGACGATGCTTCTGTGGATGGAGAATCTTCTAGTCTGGATAGAGTTATGCCAGCTCCAGAAGAGCCACCATATTTTCCAGAAAAATGGTTAGTGTTTTTTTTTTTTGACTCTTCAAGTACACTTAAATATATATCAGTTTTACTTACTTAACCAAATTAATATTTATATAGGCCGGGAAAAGTTTGTGCCCTGTGCAATTTAAGTGAAAGGAGTCAGTTAGGTCAAGGTGAGCTATTGAGACTCACAATACCTGAAGGATTTTCTCCTGAAAAAAGTACCACTTGTCAAGAGAATACAGAAAGTCTTGCAAATGTGCCTGTAGCTGGTGATAAAAGTCCAAGAGGTAGCAGTAATCTTGGCGCTGTTACATGTCGTAGACAAAAAAGTTTAGCTAAATGCAGGTATGGATGAAATGTTATAATAGTTACAGATGATATTCAAGATAACTAATCATTTTTGCTTTTTAATTCATTTTTTTTTTTTTTGTTTTTTCAGAAATCCTAGTCTAACAAATTTTTCTGAACCTGTTGAAGAATTGACAATTGTTGGTTATTTGGAGGAACCTGACTTGGGAATGATTTTTGAATCAACAGGTTTTTATTATGTTCACCAAGCTTGTGCTGTTTGGACCAGTTTGAACCAAGAAATATCAACAGAAGTTACTAGTGCTGCTATTGTACCAGCTACAACTCGGCGATGTTCATACTGTTCTCACTTTGGAGCAGGCATTTCTTGCAAAGTAATACAATATTCTGTTATATGTAGAAAAATTTTTTGATAACAATACTTATTATAAACTATTCATTGACAGGTACAATCGTGCAATCGTTATTATCATTTTCCTTGTGCAGCAGCATCAAGCTGCTTTCAAGATGTCAAAAGTTTGTCATTATTTTGTAGTTCTCATTTAGGACAAGTTCCGCTGTTGTGTAAGTTACTACTTTAATTTAAAAAATGATCAATTTAAATCGCTAAATCTTATTACTGTATAAATAACTTTCAGTAAATGAAGATGGAGAGAGAATAAAATGCATGACCTGCCAAGGTATGGGTGATGTATCCAATTTGGTAATGTGTTCGATTTGTGGTGAACACTATCACGGTAATTGCGTCGGATTGTCCTTAAAATCGAGCGTTCGAGCGGGATGGCAGTGTGTAAATTGCCGCCTTTGTCAGGTATGTCGACAGCCCGAGGAACTGGCTAAGGTGATGATCTGTGAATGTTGTGATAAAGCTTATCATCCTAGTTGCCTGAGGCCAATAGTAACCTCTATACCAAAGTATGGTTGGAAATGCAAATGCTGTCGAGTTTGTACCGATTGTGGCTCGCGTACACCGGGCGCAGGCCTCTCGTCGCGTTGGCATTCTCACTACACAGTTTGTGATTCATGTTATCAGCAGCGAAATAAAGGCTTTTCTTGTCCATTGTGTAGAAAAGCCTATCGCGCTGCTGCTTATAGAGAAATGGTTCAATGCTTCTCTTGTAAAAAGTTTGTTCATGGTACATGTGACTCTGAAGCTGATCCATTAACTTATCAAATGCGTAAAGAATCTAAGCCGGACTACGAGTACATTTGTCTTCATTGTAAGAACCTAGCGCTGGTGAAAAGAAAAGACAACATTGAAGATTATGGAGGTGAATCAAGTCTCACAGCTTCTCAGGAGAGCCTGTACTTTGACGGTGATTCCTCCGAAATGGACTACCAAACTACTAATGATGAAGCCTTATTCTCCATTGGTTTGGGTAAAGGAAAACCTTTTTGTGCCTCTAAAATAGCGAAGAAAAGACTAGGGCTCGGTGGTGGCTTAGTAGGTCGACCAAAAGGAGTTGGCAAGTTGGGCTATCAAAAGCGACAGAAAATGACCGAGTTTGGTCGGAAAAGAGGACCAAAAGCCAAAATGCGAGGTGTCTTTGGAGTGCCAGGCGTTGGTTTACAGGTAATTGAATTTATTCATATCCATCATATAATATTTTGCGCATAAGTTTCGCGATTGGTCATTATAATACAAAATGAATCATTAAGTATGAGTGATCTTATTTGTATATATATATAAATTACACGGAAAGTTTTTTCCGTAATTACCTGTCTTCAACTGTCGATCTAAAACGCGAGTAAAGTTATTTTTAAATAGAATCAGCTGTTTTTGTTGATACTTATGAAGTGTTTTTATTTTGCTACTCTCATTGAATTTGAACACTTGATACAAACCAAATGTATACAAAGGTCGCTTAATATTGAGTATGTGTAAACAAATCGTTGAGCGATTTCAATGTCAGTCGTCCATGTGTTATCAAAGAAATCGGTTACGAGACAAGCTAAATGACCCGCTATGGTCTAAAATTCGCTTCATTTTATATTTTTTTTTATTGTATCTTAAATTTTGACTAGTAAAACTTTAATATGGCCGCAAAATCCAAAACAATAACAAAATCAAAAGCAAAATCAAATACAAAATTGAAACAAAAAACAAAACCAAAAATTAAAACTAAATTGATTGAACAGCGTCCGTCGGCGGATTCGTCAAAGGAGGATGAACCTGGGGTAGAAAATCGCTTAGTATTGTGCTCGAGCAAGGACAAATTCGTCTTACCTCAAGACCTGTGCGTCATGTGCGGGGCTGTTGGAACAGGCACAGAAGCTTGTTTGATATCCTGCGCGCAGTGTGGTCAATGCTATCATCCCTATTGTGCGAATGTCAAGGTCACCAAGGTAATACTCACAAAGGGTTGGCGTTGTCTGGACTGCACAGTTTGTGAAGGCTGTGGTGAGCGCAACGATGAGAGTCGACTTATCCTATGCGACGAGTGCGATATTAGCTATCACATCTATTGCATGGATCCTCCTTTAGACACGGTCCCAAAAGGCAATTGGAAGTGCAAGTGGTGCGCCGTATGTTTGACCTGCGGATCAGCCGATCCAGGCTTCAACAGCGTATGGCAAAAGAATTACACAATGTGTGGACCCTGCGCATCTCATAGCATGTGTGCTACGTGTGGCGACGTTTATAACGAAGGTGATCTCATTATTCAGTGCGAGCAATGCGAGCGCTGGCTGCATGCGCTATGCGATGCCATCAAAGACGAAGCGGAGGCTGAGAAATGCGCCGAGCAGGGCTACAGCTGTATTCTCTGTCGACCTCGCGATGTACTCCCTCCTCATCTTCTTATTACCATGCAGCAACGCCAACAACAGCAACAGCAGCAGCAGCAGCAACAGCAACAGCAACAACAGCAACAACAACAAAAAACGCAAAATCAAATTCAGACGCAGAGTCAGATGCTATCGACTAAATTTTCACTTGCAGCCAGGTTGCAAGGCTCAACACCACCAGCGACAAGGTCTAGCAGTCCGGAAAGTGAAAATCGAGCTCTATTACTGCCTGCATCTCAGCAACCAAGCTATCAATTGGAGGGGACGGTTTTATCGGAAGCAGGAATGGCTCATATAAAGCTTCTCATGGCTGAAAATCAAATAGGACGTAAGAAACGTCGGAAAAAAGATGCACCTGTTGATACAGAAGCTGATATTATGGCAACGATTGAGTCAGTTGTAGCCGGCGGTAGTCTCGATAATTCACTGGAAGATGGAAAACTTGTTGAACTCGTGGACCTTAAAGATCCAGACCAACAAGTATATAAAGAAGGAATGGTTTGGGCTGCAAGATCCGACCAACCACCTCCAGAAGGATTCAGTCTTTACACGACTGAGAATGGCGTATCAGTGCTGCGACGTAAGCGCCAACGAAATCTTCAGAAACTCGGCATTGGCGGTTTTGTCGTGCGATTGCGTGGCACGCGCAAAGAAAAAGAAGACGATGCAGCACCTGATGGACCGGCTATTAATGAGACAATATTAGGTAGCGATGATAAACCCAAACGCAAAACTCAACGACGGAAAAAGACCAAACTAGCTGAGAGTTTTCCACAATATATGCAGGAAGCTTTCTTTGGTCGCGACCTTATGGATATAACCAAAGATAAAGATTTTGAGAGTAGTAGCGATGACGATAGTGAGCGAAACTCGACAACAAACGTTCCGCCCACTCAACCGGCATCCGACACTATTCAGCTTTCTCGCGATGAACTGAGGGTCATGGAACAACTAAAGACCAAACAGGAACAAATCGAGGAAGCCAAGGCTGCACCACCGACCGTTGCTGCTCCTACGAGCGCAACCAGATCCGTTAATCTAGTTGAGCAACAACAGCCGACACCGCAACAAGCAGTCAAACGCGAAGATTTGATCAAAGAAGAAGGTGTCAGTGATACAGAAGCCCTTGATGACATATTGCCTATGTCGAGCGATCTTCTTGATAACGATTTGGTTGACACAATTATGAACGAACCGGAAGAAGACTTAGCTAAAGCCGCCACAGCCTGGGAGGCACTCGATAATACTGCTGAAAATGCAAAGGATGAGCTTCCTGACATTCTTAGTCCTAACTTTAATCTGGAATCGATGGTCCCCGATGCTGGTCTTACTAATATTGCTGGTCAGGATGTGGAGGAAATATTCAAAGGCGTCTTGAACGACGAATCGCAAGATTCGCGTGAGTCTTGTAATTATCCTGGACAAGTGCAGACTCCGCAGACCCCGTCTTCCACTGCAACTTTGATACCTCAATCTCCTCATCCTGGTATGTTTTTCTACAAATCTTAACGATAATTCAAAATTTATTTTAGTATTCACATTCGTGTATTTGTTTAGCTACTCCGCAACAAGTAAATTTACCGCTAGCCAGGCCGCAAATGCCGCCTAGTATAAACAATGCTGCACTTACAAATCTCAACTCGCCTATGAGCTTCCCACCACCTTCGCCATATCATTCGGAGTATAGCAAGTAAGTAGTTATTCTAATGCTAAAAATTCTGATTATACCGGTGTGAATATTAAATTTATGCTATTTTACTCAATTAACAGTAGTCCAACATTCAGTCCTGCGTTTTCGGAACCACCCAGTCCATGGGTGAACCCCGAAGATGAGACTGGAGCTCCTGCAAATACTCCGGCTGCAATTTCATATAATCAAAAAACTAGCATGAAGATGGAAGCTGACGAAGCTTTAGGTGCCAATGCAACTGGAGCATCAGTCTTGTATGCAAATATGAAACATCCTGATTGGAAAACTGAATATCCACGTAAGTTTCAATATAAATGACACAATTATTGGCAGACGTTATGATCGGTATTAATCAATCGTACTTTTTCAGTTTGGGCAGACCGTTACAAGCAAATCGTGAAAAAGTGGCGATCCCTTCCAAGCGAAACAAAATCAGTGTTCGTGAGTCAGGCTCGTGAAAATCGAGCAGCCGTTCGCATGAAAAAAGCGCAACAGGTAATGTTGAATTTTTATCTGAAAACCCGATATATTGTTTTCTTTTTCCGTTTATATTGGGTGGAAAAGAAACATTAAAAAATCAATGTTGAGGGTGTCTTGTCTCTAACAAGCATATCAAACTAACCCAAAGAAAAATGCCAAAAACTTATCGAATACGAAAGATGCAAAAGGCTGGTGTCTAAGCGTGTTTTTTATTAGGAAAAATAGTGATTTTTTTGCCATTCACTGTGTGATGAATATTCTTTATGTATATTTGTATTTGTGAAACACCTTTTTTAAGTTTGACACAAGATTTACCTAAGCTTTAAAGTTTAGAGCAAACCCAATTGTGAATTTACGTAAGCGACTCTGCTTGAGACACATAACTAACCTCACCGATTTGCTGTTGATCACTTTTATAATATTTTTTTATCAATTAGGCACACTATTAGAGCGTTAATAATTTGATATCGTTGTGATGATCACATGAAACTTATTTCATGTTAGTATAATACACCAGCCGTAAAAGTCTCGTAAAACGTTAGGGAAATAATATAAACAGGATATAAGTTAAAAAGCAAAAGGCAGAGGCTATAAGTCGAGATGAACCCAACAGATACCAAAGGATGGAGCAGCAGGCAAACCCTCCACATCTATTGTTATGTCAAACACGACGACGATCGTTAAAACACCGGCGGCCTCGCCAGCACCTTCACCAGCAGCTATAAAAACGACGGTTCAGCAGCATCAAAAATCGAAACAAATCATCAATGTTGATGTACTTAAAGACAAGCCGCAAAACCAACTGCAACAACAACTGCAACAAACTCAGCAACAAGTCGTTCTTCAGCAGGAACAAATTCAACACCTGCAGTCACAACAGCAGCAACAGGATAAGCAACAAATTGCGGAGGTGTGTGCGGTGCAGGGAGGTCAACTGTCGCAGCGTCAGACAATATCAATCCGTTCTCCAAGCTCATCTCCAATTTCCACACCACCTTCATGTTCACCGAAAACTCCACTTATCCCTGGCACTCCACACATTTCTTCTTCGTCCTCATCGTCGTCTTCATCTTCATCCTCATCCTCGTCCTCGTCTTCGTCATCATCATCCTCTTCATCATCTTCTTCATCTTCATCTTCTTCATCTTCTTCTTCTTCTTCTTCATCATCATCATCTTCTTCATCTTCTTCTTCCTCTTGCTCCTCAAACTCTTCTAATTTTTCTTGCTACGATGTTACTGCTGTCCTAGTGCAGCAAGAAATCACAGCAACAATTTCGCACACAAACATCAACGTCAGCATGACTAACAGTAACACACAACAAACAGCGGCGCAGCCGCGAAATGCTGGCGTTACGGCACAAACACATCAGCTAACACAATCGCAAGCACTGTTGAGTAGTAGTTTGGGTGGTAGTCCAAGCAACGACAGCTGTCAGTCAGTTCAAGGAGTAGTTGGAACTGCAACCGCTACTGCTGCTGCGCCGGCGGCTACGACTAGCAACGGCGCCACCCGACAATTATCCTCAGTAGACCACCAGATTAGAGTGCTCACACCGTCCGAAATAATGCGCACCCTTCCCTCCCTCTGCCAGGAGCACTACGACCCACCACCACCACCACCATCACAACCCACTGCAATAAATCACAATGTTGTACCTGTTGTACAGACCCCGGTTATGGTGAGCCACCTTCACTCTCTCTGCTCTTTCCGTTTTTTTCGTATATTCAAGAGCCTCTTCGTGTCGTTTTTTTGATTTGGTGATAATTTTTTATTTATCAATTGTCTATGTGTCTCGAATCATTATTTTTGCTGTATTTTTCGAGCAGATGATTATTTTGCGTCCAGTTATATTAATTTTGTATTCTGAGAAGCTTTGGACTGGAGTATCATCGACTCATGAAAAGTTACGATAAACTCTCGTTCTGTAATGTTGTGCTTCAATCACATATCGTTTAACTACGAAGATCAAAGTTTTCATTTAATGTTCAAGTGTTCTTAGAAATTTTTGCATTGATTACATAGATGTATACTATTACAGTTATGTATTGTTAGTGAGAATGGTTATATACTCATTTACACGTTTAATTTTCTTTCATAAATTCGTCGATATGCAAAGTGAGTAGTGACATACTATTTTTGAACATCATATATTTGACACACCAATATGTTTGGACACAATCTTGACTTACATCTTTCACACAATTTTTTTATTCTCTCAATAATGTTCACGTCATATCGTTCGTCTTCGTTTTTTATTCTATTTCATTTTATCACTTTGTAAACCTCATCTAATATCATAATCCTTGCATAAAATCCCGAAACCTTTCCTTATATATTTTGACTCTGGTGGATTTGATTATTTTGATGTGTATCGTAGTTTTGAAAATTTTAAGATATTTTTGCTGCTTTTTAGTTTTTAAACGTGATGCTCAAAAAATGTATTTAAATCTTGTATTCATCAGTAATTCCTTTTTTGGTACTAAGATTCTTACACGAAAAATTGTGTATTTTCTGCAAACAAACTTCATTTACTAACAACACAAACTATTAGAAACATAAGACAACATAACTCAGTCTCAATAACTATTTATTTTCAGATTTTTCACTGTCACTGTGAAGTTTACTTATTATGTTTATGAAATTTGTGTAACAACACTAACACTAATTGAAATTTTTCAAAAAAAGATTCTTAGATTTTATTTACAAAAAATATAAGTTTTGCATGTTAGGTTACTTACAGCTGCTTTAAATTAATAATATAAGATGATGAGTACGATTTATGTTTCTGGATGGTGCTGGTTACATATTAATGTTCATGTTTTGTACATGCACTTAATAATCTTTTTGGTTCTATATAGCTCTAAGTTACTGCTGCCTTTTGTAATCGTTGCGACTTAATGTTTGATTGGCTGATTTGAAAGAAAAATATGTTTTAAAACTACGTACCAATTACTGTATTTATTTAATTACTATTGTTCCAATTGAACTTTCAATAAAATCTAATTTCAAAAATACAGTAATTGGTACAATGTGAAAGTTTGTACAGTATCAAAAATTTACAATTTTATTTTCAACAGGAGCAAGAAAAACTATCTAATAGAGATCGATCAACCAGAGAAGCAGAGCAAGAAAGGCAATGGAAACAGCTCCAAGCATTGCGTCAACAACAACAACAATTACAGCAACAAGTTATTCATGATCAACGTGCTCATGGTACATTTTAAATCTATTTCCTACAAATTCTAAGATTTCTTTGTACTTTTATTTATTTTCTTTTGAATTTATAGCTATTGCTCGCGTGCAACGTCAAATTTCTGACGATGGTACACCTCTACTTAATAACGACGGTACACCAGTCATAACTCAACAAATAGTTCAGTCTGTACAAGATCCCAATATGGGACACGTTCAAACTGGAGTACGTCAATTTATAGCGCCAACTATGAAAACTGTCGGCCGAGGTGTAATGCAACAAAACGTGCACCCAGGAATGGTTGCACATCCCGGTGGTGGACGTTTACCTGTTCAACAAACACAACAAAATATTCAGCAACAGCAAGTTCAACAGCAACAACAACAACTTATACGAATTAGGCAAGTTGGAGCTCAAGTGCAGCTGACGCAACAGCAACAACAACAGCAACCACCGTCACCATTTTCACCGCAGGCACCTCAGTCTCCTCATGATTTTCCGCAATCACCTGCTACTCAAATTCAGCAGCCACAAGCCGATTCATTTCGTAGTTATGAAACCGGAACCGGTCCTACGACTCCGACTTCGTACTCAAATTCTCCGCGGGCTGACGTTTTTCAACCGGGACCTGGAAATACACCGAGGCCTGTTTTTAATACGCCACAGCCTACGCGAGCTCACGTTTATACACCTGCACGAGTTGGAGAGCCAACTTACGCAATTGCGAATCAAGCGCCTGTCCAGGGACAGCAAATGCAGCAGCAACAACCTGTATCTCCAGCAACACCCAGCCCTGTAGGCAATTATTTATCGCCTAGAGGACCAGAGCAATCTACTGATATTTTTACTGGTCATCAATCGGATGTTAATGTACAGCTGCGTGACTTGTTACAGCGGCAACAACAACAGCAACAACAACAACAACAACAACAACAACAACAACAACAACAACAGCAGCAACAACAGCAACAACAACAACAACAGCAGCAACAACAGCAGCAGCAATTTAATAATAAAGATATTAAGCCGATAAATCAAAATTGGAATCAAAGTAAATATATTTATATTAATATATTTTTCACCAATTTGAAAAATTGTACTCATAAATTATCCATTTTCATTATAGACACCTCAGTCGTACCTGAAGGTAATCAACAACAATTTGATTCCAATCATGCACAGCAGCAAATGCAATCACATACAACTCAACCTCAGAGCAATTCAGCTGACGGCACTTTCAGACAACCTCTGCCGCCGAGCTCAGTACGGCCACGAATGCCGAGCCAATCTAACATTCTCATACGTAATTTAGGTAAGTAAAATTATCAATAATTCTTATACTTTTTTAAAATCTCATTTCATTTAATTTTCGAATTACATCTCATTTCATAGTCTCATTTCATAATTTTTATTATGAGGTTATTAAATCTTTTTTTCTGTTTTTTTTTGTTTCCTTACTATTACTGCTAATTATAGTCGATCAACTTTGTAATCCAATATTCTATAACTCAGGAATGCCTCCCAGACATCCTGGGGTCTCAAATCTCGATAACAATGTCCGAGTGCAAGGAATAGACCCGAGAACTAGAATGCTCATGCAACGAGCACCAGTTGCTACAAATGTTCCGCAACAATTCCAAAATAATCAGATCATGCAGCCTCGTATGGCTACACCAAGACCACCGATGATGGTAGATCAGCATTACGATGTTTTACAGCAACGTTTTGATGATTCGAATCAAGTACAAAGTATGAATCAAGTACAAAATATAAATCAAGTACAAAACATGGGACAAAGAATGGTTAGGCCAGGTCAACATAATCCCATGAACCAAGGATTACGCATGATGAATCCTGCTCCAATGGTTAGACCCCCAATCCTACCTACCGTAAATGAAGTGAATGTTACCATGTCTGAAACATCTGAAATTCCGGATAACGTGACTGAAGAATTAGAAAAACTTAACAAAGAATTAGAACAAGAAGGAGCACCTATGGTAGAAGTTGAAAATGTTAGTGCAATACTCGGTGATCTCGCTGATGACGACGATGAACTTTTGGCGGAAATGGGGGCAGATTTCAACATTCTTGAATATGCTGATCCGGAATTAGGCCAATTACCAGGTGGCGAAAAAACAAACATTCTCGATTTGGAACTTGAGCATGACGAACTTGAGCCTAAAGGTGAGAAGCAGAAAAAAGACATCAAAGATGACGATCCTAAAGCCAAAAATCTTGATGGTCTTGAAATGGCGGGAAACAACGCTAGACAAACTCCAAATCTTCCACCAAATGCCTTAAATCAGGCACAAGCAATGGCTCCAATTCCATCCAATACTGTTCCAGTTTTACAGCCACAACAGCCATCACAACCACAACAATCACAGCAACAGTTGCAGCAACTGCAGCAGTTACAACAGCAACAACAAGTTGGTATTGTGCAGCAACAACAGCAGCAACAACAGCATCAACAACAACAGCAGCAACAGCAACAACAACAACAGCAACAGCAACAACATCAACATCAACAGCAGCAGCAACAACATCAACAACAGCAGCAGCAACAGCATCAACAACAACAGCAGCAACAGCAACAACAACAACAGCAACAGCAGCAACAGCAACAACAACAGCAGCAGCAGCAACAAGTTGGTGTAGTGCAACAACAATCGCACTCTCAATTATCTATGGTTCAACAACAAATGCATCAACACGTGCAACATGCCGCATCTGTTGGAAGACCCATAATGCCAGGAACAAGATTGTTATCTCCAGACGGAGCTGTTGGTGTAGTTACATCTACAAACTCAGTGACAGTTAGTTATCCAAACACATTTGGAGGTCAGCCTCAACGCATGCCCCAACCTCACTTACAAGGTAATTTTCTTTTCATACCTGAAATATAATTATGTAAAATGATTTTCATATGTGAATTTAAATTTTTAGTACAACAACAGCAACGCATGGGAATGAGAGTTTCAGGAGCTGTACCTAACATGACAGGCAGAGTTGTATCCGTTGGTCCTATGTCTGGACCCAGGATGCCGTTAGCTCCACCACCGCCGCCTCCATATCCTGGCCCACCGCCACCTTATCCTGGACCATCACAGGTACGATAGGTTTTTTGCATTTATTGTTAATAAGTGATTGCATTTCACAGTTTTAGCATTAAAGAAAGGAAAAAATTAAGAAAAATCGTCTACGGCTTATAACAAGTTCTACAATTGCAGTAATTTTACTCTTACGCTTTTAAATCGACATGAATGTATTAATTAAGTACCGGTTTTGAATTGCCTCAACTACTAAAACATACGCTTTTCTCGATGCCAACAAAAAGTAATTGCGAATACACATATTTAATTATGATACATCTAATAAGACTGTAGGTCATTGGTCAGTTTTGAATCAGTAAATATACATTTATTGCATTTAATTTATAAGAGTAAATTGGTCGAAAAAAATGGTATTAGTAAGGGTGTATGCAAAATATTGGTGTTGGTGCATGTTTAGATGGGTCTATGCCCAAGTGATCGGGGTTTGCCGCGGCCCTCAATGCATATGGGGCAAACTGTGCCTGTGGCAGGCTCACCAATGACCCCTATGGTTCATTCTGGTGCTTCATCAATAACTCCCCATCCTCACCGAAGACCCTTGCTTCTGCAGGTGAGCTATCTCTATGGGGTATTCAAAGCATTCACCAATATTGCATACCGTTTCATTTTTCATTATTTTTTCACCAATGCTCCTAATTATTTATAGTCCCCTTATGTTATCTATTTATTATATAAATATATGTTACACTTGTATGGAGAGATTTTAATAGAGTAAAACAAGTAAAAAAATTATTATGATTACAGTTAAAAGGCATTACCAGATAAATGTGTATTTTATAACTTGCTTTTTACTTATTAACCATATTTTTATTTTTTGTGTGGTTATGTCTTTTGTGTAACACAATAATAACTAGCTACTATACTTTGATTCTATAGATTATTCAATAAAAAATGAATCATTGCATGTCACGAATATTATTTTAATGTTTGATTTACTCTTCATTGATAATGATCGTAGACCCATCCAAAGTAGTGGCGTTATTTAAACATGATATACCATTATTTTTAATGATTTACTGCTTTTTCGAAAAACTAAAAACATTTTATCATTATTTACGCTAAAAATAGAAGCAATGAAGTACAAAAATACTCTTATTTTTTACAACAACAAAAATTTACAGGAACAGCCTTTGCTTCTGGAGGATCTCTTGGAACAAGAAAAGCGCGAACAAGAGAAACAACAACAACAGCAGCAACAAGTCGATACAACTTCTACCGGCCCTGCACTTATGAGCGATCTTGAATTCGAACGTCTACGGGAAGATGTATTGGGTTCAGGTCAGCTAAATTTACCTGTGCAAAATATTAATCAAATGCCTACACCAGTGAATCAGCAAGTCAGGCCGATGAACGTAACCAGACCGGCTAATGCATTAGTTCAACAAAATTGGCAGCAACCCGTTGCCGAGCCCGGTAAAGTCGTCGTTCAAACCCAGAGGCCACTCGTCACCCCACAAACTTCCACAGAACGTTGGTTTTCTTTATTTTTGTATAGTTGTATTGAATTTTTCTCTCTCTTTTTTTAGTTTATATTCATCCTTTGAAACTCAATTATTTTTTGAAATTCGATTTCTTGAAAATTCCATATTCTGAGGAGTTTTACTCGTACTTACCCGTACTTACCCTTTCTTATTCGATTTTTTTTTTAACTTTAGCGAGAATATCGACGTTCAACATACCTCAGCTGCCAGCACCTCCAGCACCTCCCGAGAATATCATAACGGAACAAGATAGACTCACGCAGTTACAGTACGAGCAGTGGCTGAACCATCAGCATCAAATATTGACTCAACAACAGAAGTACTACGAAACAGAAGTTCAAAAACTTCGGAAGGTTAGAAAAGTGAGTCATGGTTTTTGTGTGCGCTTGACCGTAGTTGTCTTGACTAGTAAATGTATTTTGTTTACTTTTATTTAGCTTCTTTTTATAAATAAGTAAAATGAATATAAATCTATGTTATAATTTCGATGCATCATTAACAAAACTTTTCTTTGACAGTCTCTTAATAGCAAACAAAGACAATGTCGTAAATCAGGTAACGAACTGTCGGAAAGTGATGCTGCCGAACTTCAAAGAATTTCTAGCGAGCAAGCAATATTCCAAAAGCATTTAGAATCTAGTCGCAAGCAAAGTAGACACCATACCATGTTGATGTCAGAATATCGAAGCAAGCAACAGCCACAGCAACAAGCACTACCTAAGCCCATGACACCTCAAGGACAACAAGCTAACGAATCATGCTCTCCGCTAATGTCTCCATCGCAACAGTCGTCGCCTATGCACAGTCCGGCTACGATGATGATTCCAAGTCCGAATCCCAGTAGTGTATCGACTCCGGCAATGCTGCAACATTCACCAGCTGCCCAAATTCTGCAACACAGTCCTGGACATCCGCAATCTATGTCACCACATAACAACATGCAGCAGGCTTCTCCACGAATTGGTACACCACTTTCACAGCCGCCTGAGGAAAGTCCATTCAGTCCCGGTACGATGCCATCTCCTGGCATTCCAGGCGGTCCACGTATGACTTCACCACAGCACAGAACCGTAGCGACCAATCGCTTAACGGCGAGCCCAGGGGCGATGATCGGTCTTGACGGCCAACAACAAGTTCGCATGCCTCAGCAAATGCATATGCAAATGCAGCAGCGATTTGTGCGTCCCGGAGATGCTCAACAGCGTCCTCGGATTCAAATGCAGCAAAATATGATGTATGGACAACGCTCTCCACTTGGCAGTCCACAACCGGGACAGCAGCCAATGATGACTCAACAGCAGCACCAACAAATGCTTCAGCGTCAGCAAATGATTCAGCAACAGCACGTAGTAGGAAACCCTCAGATGGCTCAAGCACCGATGCAGCAGATTATGCAGCAACAACAGCAACAGCAACAATTAGTTCAACAACAGCAGATGATGCAAAAAGCACCGTCTTCGCCGATGGTTGCACAGCCAGCCTCTTCGCCTAGCCCACAACTGCATTATAATCAACCCCCAAGCTCACCATTGGCTCGAAGCCCTATGCTTCAGCCGACAATGGGCTCTCCAATGCTGCAGCAACAGCTCAGCCAGTCATCGCAACCATCAAGTCCAATGAACAGAGTTTCAAATCATCCGCCAAATTCCCCTATGGTTCCAGTTCAGTACCAACCACCTAGCCCTCTGTCGAGAAATCACCCATCTACGTCACCTATGTTGCATCAAATGAGTAACGCGCATCATCAATCAGCTTGTCAAACACCAAGTTCGCCCATGCCTCGCAGTCCCATGGTAAGCGGTTCTCCGATGCAAATCCAACGCAGACAATCAACTGGTAACAGTCCAGCCATGCCTGACCGACCTCAAAGTGTCGAAAATCCTGGCACCCCGAGAACACCTCACTCTGCTTACAGCTCTCAAAACTCTAGCAATCATTCGATGAGCGAGCAGCAGCACTTGCAACAACAAACATCTCAACAAAATTTGCAACAAGTCTTCCAACAACAACAACAGCAGCAGCAGCAGCAAATCATGCATCAAGATACAAACATGGATAGAGGTGGAGGTAATCCGCACAATCCGAATAACCCGATTCCCTTGACGACATTGTTCGGTAGATACGGTTTTTTCAAACCTGGTCTTCGAGGTGGTTCGCCCATGTGGTCTGCCAAGCCAGAATCTAGTAAAACCAAGGTCTCGGAAAATTCGGACGAAAAGCCAAATACTTCGGCTATGGTCCATCGTAAAACCGGAATTGCACAATCAAAGATAAATTCTCTCGTTTGTGCCGATTATAACGATTTTGACGATGACTCTCATACACCACCCCAAACTCCACCTACTACAGTTGAACCGAAAGCTACTACATCATCTATAGTAAACAGCAACAGTATGCTAACTCTAGCCAGTCCTAGTGATAAAGTTGAGTCGCTTCCTGATACGACGGATTACGATGACGATAAAACTATACTCAATACCGAAATTACTCTGAGCTCTGCCGCTCAAAAAGATAGCGACGATATCACTGTAATCGACAACTTTGGCGATTCTGACCTAGACGTCATCGGCAGTAGTCTCGAAACAGAAATGCAAGAGGAATATGTTTTATTTGAATCTGATATGGTTTTGTCAGTCGATAGTAACGATTCACTTAGTCATGCTTTGGTCAGTGGCAATGACGAAGGACACGATTTGGTACAAATTTTAGAAATTCAGCAACAAGATGCACCTAATGAAGACGATGTTTTTGAAGCAGATCTTATATCTCAAGCAACGAGAAATAAGAAAAGTTTACACCTGGATATCGTGCGAGCAATGCCAATTGGTAAACGCGTGGTTACAATAACGGATACGCCTGAGTCACCTGACAGGGATGATTTATCCGTCGACCCGTCTAGTATTTTCTGTTCCGATCAAGATCTACTGGCTTCTCTTTCTGGATCTGACATTGTAATTCTCGACCCAGAATTAAAATCTCCTGAAACATTACCTAAAACTTCTGTCGATGAAGAAATTTTGGAAAATCATTCTCTTGATGAGACAAAAGTAAAAGATGAAACTATTATTATTGAAACTACTGAAACAAAACCGATCATTGAAGAAATCAAAGTAGAAGACATAGTACACGAGAAAAAAACGTTTGGTCCTTTCACTTTTAGAGAAAAATTTGGTCAATTATCGTCTTCTAACTTACAGCAAGTGAATGTTGCTATAGCCAAGCCTTTGACTGCTGCTACATTTTCAAAATCATCTACGGCTACAGATGTGAAGTACACAAAATCTAACGCTAAGTCTGCTGTGACAGTCCAAAAGTCAACAATAATGAAAGACTTACTAACCAATACAGTTACAGAAAAACCAAAACAAACAGCTCCATCACTGACTATGTCCAGTATCGTATCTGATCCAAAAATAGCAGCCAAGCTTTGTCAGAGTACTTCTAAAGCTATTTCTGCTGGCAGTATTGCATTGGGAAAAATTATTTCGAAAAATGAAGAGGCACAATCCAAACATTCAGCGAATTTAAAACATTCAATTATTAAAGTATCTCAAAGTCTGTCAAATATATCCGAAAAAATCACCACTTCTTTAGCTGCTACTCACGCCATATCAATAACAGACAAAATTGTTACGATACCTATGCAACAAGTATTGAACAAAAGTATCACTCCTTTGAAATCTTTAGACAAATTTAAGACTCACACATCGCAAGTAAAACTTTCCCTTCAGCAATCTTTATTGGCAGGTCAACAAATAACTATTGCTGATTCGAAAAAACCAGAAATGTCAACATCGGGTACAACAGCAAAATCAACCGATACTTGCGACGGTAGGACTAGTGTGACAAAAGATACAAAATTAGAAGAGAAAAATGTTGTTAATAAAGCAGAAGACAAGTCAATAAAAACGGCATTTGAATCAAATATGGATTATTCTGCTTCTCAGTCGGATACATCGAACGATAAGAAAAACGATGCGTTGAATACAACTGATGAATTAGAAAGCATGTTAGAAGCTATCCATAATCCATCAACAGGAGGTCAGACGAGTATAAATGGTGAAAAAAACAAAGCTGATGTCCGTAATTTAAAGAGAATGTCTCCAGTTACTGATGATATATCTCTTGTTAATATTTTGGAGTATGATGTTGAGCCACGTGATTTCAAGGCAAGTGACTTGGTAGGAGCTTCGAATTCAGAAAAATATGATCCTGTAGAAGAGCAATTGAAAGCCATGGAATCAAAATCAGATAATGATAAAAGAAAAGATTCGTCTGGAACGAAAAATGATCAAACTGAATTGCAAGCTGGAGGTGATAAAACCAATACGGAAGAGTCTTCTGATGACATTTTAGACATGTTGCACCATATTATCACGTCAAAACCTGAAATGCATGACGAAAAAACGCATAAATCAAGTTTGATATACCAACTTGAGGCACCACTAGAGTCATTACCTTTGGACATATTACAAGGAGACGTCGAAACCGAAGCAGCGTCTAGTGAGTCAATTGATTCTGAAAATGCATCGAGTAAAGTCATGAGCCAAACTAACGAAGATTCTGTTATGTCATCGGATAAAAATCAAAAAGTTGTTTCTACAGCTGTTACAAGTTCAGTGTCCCAGACGCAAAATACAACAGCAGTTCCTCATCTCTCGCCTCTGTCACAACCTACAGAGATTAAATCCAATACCGAGAATGCAAGCGATCAATTAAGGTCTTTACTGTCATCTTTACACCCAAGCTCGTCACAGCAGCAGTCTTCGAACAAATCCGGACGTTTGACATGGTCTTTTGCTGAAATTCCAAAAGCCACACCGAGTACGAGTGCTTCTTCTGTGAAGGCCAGTAATGCCATGCTGAATGCCATGTTATCGAGTACTATACAACCAGCGATGCTTCTTACATCAAAACCAATGATCATCACGAATAGCACAAACACAACAGACTCAGATGCATTCGCGTACGATCGATTCAATCAAATGTTGCGAAACTCTCGTGGTACGAATCAAACTACTACCACTACGGTTACAACAACCACGACGAGTATTTTACAATCGACTCTGTCTCAAGCTCCAACTTCATCGCATTCTCAATATAAGTCCTCGCTACCAATTGATCATAAAACAAATGTGGACCCTGATTCTACTGGTGAGTACTTTTAATGTTTATATATTAATTAAAATCCATCTATTGGTAGATGTGTGCGATGAATTAAAATGAATGTATATTATCACTATAATATACATTTCACTATTCTATTCATTTTATCTGCAATATCAGCAAACAAATACGTTGGATTGAATCAAGTTATTGCACGACATTAAATTCATACACTATGCGGTCTAATATATGTTTTAATTAACTTATTTTAGGATCGAATAAAACTGCAACAGCGACAACAACTTCAAAAATGTCAAACGAAAAATCTTCGACTAAATCTGACAATACTGATGGCAACAAATCAAGTACAACACTTAGAATGGAAGATTCGCAAAATGTTTTGCTTAAAAAATTATTACAAACAACTTGTGATTCTCCATCAATAACAAGTAGTTCAACTGCAAGTGGTAATTTTCCTAATGTACCGTCTTTGGAGGCACAATTAGCTAAACCGGTGCCTCCTACACCGTCATCTTTGATACCGCCACTTGATGAAATTCCACCAAATAAAACGCCGGTAACGACAACCAAACAAATTCTAAGCCGAGAAACGTCATTTTTGTCACACAATGTAAAGCCACAGAGTCCTTTAACTAATGAAGAACCTACAGCTAAACCAACAGCAATGGTTACTGCTACCCCAACATTGTTGAATACTTTGACAAAGCCAACTGTTGATGCGTCTGGTAAATCTTCACCTCAAATAAAACCACCAACTTCGTCGATAACGTATCAGCAGAGTGTAACACAACAAACTCAGCTTGCTCAAAAACCTGTTGCGACAACATCGTCGATTTTGGCCGCGCAAATTGAAAAACCGATAGTATCAGTTCCGCGACAAGAAACATCGCAAGTTACGAGAGTTAGCTCAAACATTGAGATGAACGCCAACGCTCAAGTGTTAAAACCTCAAACGACATCATCATCTACAAATAATCAATCTCAAAGTAAACAGTTGCAGATAGAAATGCGCAAGCCCCCGATTCAACAGCAGGCACCACCGCTTCTACAGCATCAAATGACAATAATGCAGCCACAATTACAGCAACAGCAACAGCAGCAACAACAACAACAACAACAACAACAACAACAACAACAACAGCAACAACAGCAACAACAACAACAACAACAACAACAACTTCAGCAGCAGCACCAACAACAACAGCAAAAACAACAGCAACAACAACAGAAACAGCAACAACTTCAACAACAGCAACACCATCAAATGACTCAATCACAAACACAGGCAATATCAGCATCTCAGCATGTACAACAAAAAACATCTATGTCTCAACAGCAACAGCAAATACAACATCAGCAGGTAACTACAGTGGGATCTAAAGTACAATCAAGTAACGAATCTCGTAATAGTGCATCGGGTAATAGCTCTCAAACGGTCACTAACCCAAATACCGCGGCTACTGTCTCTCATTCAATGCCACCATCAATTCAAAGATCAACGTCGGGGACAGCGACAGTTTCTTGTGAAGCTAACGTTGATAATGCGTTACAGAAACAACATCAGACTATTAACCAAGTACAACCAACAGTGCCTCAACAAATGATGTCACAAGTAAGCCGTACAGTACAGCTATCTCAGGGTACCGCACCCCAACACAAAGTGCCTTTAGTCGAAGTTAAAAAAGAATTACACGATGAAGTCTTCTCCAGCGGTAGTACAAGTAATGCTCCCATGCAACATCAGCAGCAACAACAACAACAACAACAACAACAACAACAACAACAACAACAACAACAACAACAACAACAACAACCACAACAACAGCAACAGCAGCAAAACGATACCAAAGACGTGCTATGTGCCAAAGAAGAAATCATGGAATATTTGAACGATGATAAAACAGATCTTAAAAAGTTAAAACGGCGACAATATCAGCAAAAGCGCCGACAACAAAGCCAAGGAAAAGATGCTTCAATGCCACTTCAAAAGAAAAAAGCGAGAAAAATTTCCCGCTTAGATGAGGATTACGATACATTCGTTGAGAATATTATGACTCACCTACGACAAATGCCTCCATTAGTTGTTGCTGAACCTAATCTCGCTGTTAATTACAACGTTTGTCCGGTATTTGGCAGCGGAGATTTAACCAAATTTGGAAATCCTGCTGAATATAGTACCAGAATTGGCGAACTCACCGGTTCTTATGGAAATGCTCGTGTCAATGGTATTTCCGATTATTATAACACACGGCCCTATGGTGAATTAGAACCTCTGCCACCGCTTCCACCGGTTTCAAGTCAAAGAAGTTTTTACGAGCAAGAATTTCCACCGCTTAAATTTGATGATGGTATGAACTGATAATTATTATATTTTGTAAAACTACTACTTCAAATCACATATCATAACTAATCCTTTACATTTTAGCAGATAAGAAAGACCCTCAAATTGGACGGGATATTGATACTCCGGATACAATAGTAAGTTCGTCATCACCGGAATGCGTTATGCCTGAGTTCACCAATAAGTTCCCAGGCTTAAAGTTGATTGAGTCTGACTCGGATGAAGAAAGTGAATGGATGAGACGAGTATCACCAGTCATACCAATTGTTTCTCCAATTCCAATTAGATTGAAGCCTGGACATATCCGAGACATATCTAAGTATGATAAAGAAAACCTTGGTACCAACAGGTAAATTTCAATTGATACTTTATAAATAAACATAAGAATGATATTAATTAAAAAATATGTAATATTACAGAACTACTAAACCGGTACCTGCAAGTATCACGGAAAATGGAAACGTTGCAGTGACTCTCACTTTGAATACCCAAGCAGCTGGCGACATAATGGGAGTTCTCAAAGATCTCGCGAACATACTTAATATTGCACCACCGAACAATTACCAAATTATTGAACGAACAACTACTCCTCCTAACCAAAAGTTGGGCTTGTACAGAATAAAAGGAAAAGATGGAAAGGAAGGAGGTATGTTACTCACTAGTTGTCAATGCTTATATTTGGCCAAAATTAAATAATTAAATTAATTAATTAATTACTTAAATAATGTGTTGCAGTACCCATTGATATACAAAGCATATTAAATGGCGCGGCCAAATTTTGTCGTCATTGCGACGTCGTAATTCTTAATAGTTTAATACGCAAAAGAGTATCTGATTTACCATTTTTGAATAAAGAAGAATTTGAGCCAGATGATGAATTATATTTCTGTTCTGCAACGTGTTATATGCAATTCGCATTAATGCACAGGAGTCCAAGCAATAATCTTGAAAAGGTAAACATCATGATTCTCAAATAAAAATGATCCTTATTCACTATTGATTTTAAATGGTACATATTTTATATAGGCTGCTGCAATAGTTGATCATTTGAGTCAAAAAACATCAGATGTAACTCTAGTTGATGATTTGAAAGATATACAAGAAAAACAAAAATGTTTCTTGAACCGACCCATAGGATCAGTTCCATCAGAACCAATGGATATCGAGCCAATAAACTCACAAATAGAAACTAAATTGAAAAATGAAAAGGACGAATCCGAATTACCGCAAAATGATACAAACGAAGAAAAGAAACCTAAAAAACATTCTATCGCAGATGATGGCTCAGAATCTCAACCTCCAGCGAAAAAATGGAAGGACATGCGATATATGAAATTTAAATCTGGCTCGTTAAAACCAGCAACTAAGTATAAAGCAGTACCTGATCGCGAAATAACTGATGTAAGTAATTCAAATCTTTGATAGAAGATTTGAATTTAAAAAAGATATGATCAGCGCATTAATTTGATTTTTACAATTATGTTTGCAGAGTATGTTCAAAATGAAAATCACTGTTAGCTTACCACAAGATATCGACGATGTCCGTCGTTGCATATTTTGTCACATCATTGGCGACGGTCCAGCTGATGGTACTGGTAGACTTCTTAATTACGACGTCGATAAATGGGTTCATTTGAATTGTGCATTGTGGTGTGAACAAGTTTATGAAACGGTAAACGGTGCATTAATGAATCTGGAGCAAGCTATGGCTACTGCTAAATCTACAGTTTGCATTTTATGTAATCAAACTGGAGCTACGGTAAAATGCTTTAAAAATCGTTGCAACAGTCACTACCATCTTGGCTGTGCAGTCAGAGATGGCTGCATTTTTTATAAGAATAAGGTAAATTTTACTTTTTCATACTCTATATTTGTAAGTACAAGAATTTTAAATTTAACGAACGTTTTTTTGTAGACCACATTTTGCCCCCAACATGTACCGAAAAATGAGAAAGATAGTGAACTGACAACACTTGCCGTGTTTAGAAGAGTTTATGTGAATCGTGATGAGAATAAACAAGTGGCAGCTGTGATGCACAATTCAGACCATAACAACTTGCTTCGAGTAGGCAGTCTCATATTCTTAAGCGTCGGACAACTTTTACCGCATCAATTATCCAACTTCCATACATCAAATTACATCTATCCAGTTGGTTACAAAATTGTAAGATTTTACTGGAGCATGCGACGACCAATGAAACGTTGCCGGTATATTTGCTCTATTCACGACGTGTCAGGACGACCGGAGTTTCGAGTTTTAGTACAAGAAGAACAGCAAGAAGACATGGAACTTCGTGACGCCTCCCCAAGAGCCGTTTGGAATCGTATTTTGGAGCCACTTGTAGAACTGCGCCGCCAAAACGGGCTCATACAACTTTTCCCTCGGTGGGTCACTGGCGAAGATCTTTTTGGTTTAACGGAACCTGCCATCGTTCGAGTTCTCGAGAGTTTACCCGGAGTTGAAACCCTCACAGATTATCGGTTCAAATATGGACGTAACCCATTGCTAGAATTGCCTCTTGCAATCAACCCAAGTGGTTGTGCCCGTACAGAAGCACGACTGAAAAACCAATTACCGTGGAAGCGACCTCACACTCAAAGAACATTATCTTCTGCTAGGAATGCTAATAATGCTCCTGCTACGAACACTGGTTCTGGTGAATTGTCTGGTCCTTATACGAAACAGTTCGTTCACAGTAAAAGTTCTCAGTATAAAAAAATGAAACAAGATTGGAGGAATAATGTATATCTTGCCCGATCAAAAATTCAAGGTTTGGGACTCTATGCAGCTCGTGATTTAGAAAAGTACACCATGGTAATCGAATATATTGGAGAAATAATTCGTTCGGAGCTAGCAGAAACTCGGGAAAAGCTCTACGAAGCAAGAGTAAGTAATTACATTTATTATAAAAATCCGTATTTAATTTCAGTTTTCAATATTAATTTTCAATTACTTTATTTACAGAATCGAGGCATCTATATGTTCCGACTCGATGAAAATCGCGTTGTTGATGCCACATTATCGGGAGGTCTTGCACGCTACATCAATCATTCGTGCAATCCAAATTGTGTAGCTGAAACAGTTGAGGTTGAAAGGGATTTGAGAATAATTATATTTACTAAGAGAAGAATTGTGCGTGGTGAAGAGGTAATATAACTAAACAAGACTTATGAATTTTTTCGATCTCAATAATTATAATTTAATAATATAATTATTAAACGTCTTTCAGCTGGCGTACGATTACTTGTTTGACATAGAAGATGACCAGCACAAAATACCGTGCGCATGTGGGGCGCCTAACTGCCGCAAGTGGATGAACTAAAAGAACTCCACCGTTGTTATTTGTTGCTACGTTGTTTGAGTGGGGTTTCTATTAAAAGGGAAAAGAAAGAGAGAAAAATTATATATATATAAAAAATTATATATATAGATATATAAATATAAAGAAAAATAGGCATTATTTAATTTGTAAAGTGCCATTGCGAGGTTCAATTTAAATCAATTTTATATAGTTGGTGCTATGCCATCAAGACATTCCTCCAAAGTTGTAAAATATTAGTTTAACTTTATATCAAAACCAGAGAGAAATGAATTATCTGTATATTATTAATGACTATCATGAAATAAGAAAATAACTTGATGAATTTAAATGAGAGCCTGATGACGTAATTTTTATGTGCGTAAATAAGCTCACAAATCGTGTATTATTGTGTATACTAGAAGAAAGCGAAAGAAGTTTGTATCTTTGTATGTTATAAAATTAATTTCGACTAGTATTGTCGAGCGTGTTGTAATATAGAAATTGATTAAGTATTATTGCATACACATCGCACCACATGAATATGTACATAAGTAGAAACATACATTATTTTGAGCCACAAGAAAAAAAGAATTATGTGAATTGTAAATTACTTTAATATATCATTGTAAACTATAAAACGAGAATAAAACCGTATACAATTTAATAAAAACTAATGACTTTCTTTTAATTATCATAAACTTTTATTACTCATTAAATACTAATTTCTATAATGCTGCTTTGGGAGAATATGGGCGTCAGATTAATGACAAACAAAACGTTTTTTTAACGATTTCAGTTTTATTTTAATAATTTATTCTATGGTTCACAATACTTCGGTTGAATAGACAAAAACTCCTTCACGAAATCCATGATAAACCATTGGAGTATAAAGTTTTCATAAAGTATACTTCGAAAATAGTCGTTGCATTCTAATAATAATTATGTACAAAAATTTTGACTTTCAAGGAACATTTTTATTTCGCACAGAATAGATATTTCACTCCATGCCGTGACTAAAATAATCCAAAAAATTCTATTAAAAGTTGTGAGAACCCGCTTCAGAAGCTGTTAAACGTATTCAAAATTATTTAAAACTTGTGTTCCTTAAGTAGTGGAATAGACCTCAGTACGTACGGGTCATAATAACATAATAACAATAAGTTCGGTATACATATTACAAAAAGGCGAGTATATATTTTTTATTCATAAATGCAATTCTTTGGCATTGACACATGCTGCTCAGTATCAAATGAACGTTTGAATCTCATCGGATTCGCGCTAATTTGTACAATGACATAGTATTATCAAAACTTCATCAACTAAGAACATCGTTAAGTACAAACGTTTTGACTGAATCATACAAAATATTATTTATTTTATACGTCATGACTAAAGGGAGGTGAATTTAATTCGTAAATGAATATTCATTTTTATATTTCTTATTTAACAATTTATGTATATGTATATGTATGATAAACCTCAATAAAAGTAGTGTTTTAAAAGAGGTATCGTCAATTTCTTGTAAAAGTCAAATTTCATATAATTAACAATATTTGTTTTATCTTTCTTGCTGTACATCATCATTATTTTTTACCGTATCTAACGGATTAAAGAGTACAATAAGATAATTCTCATCATTGCAGGAACATCTGCGTATTTATAAGATAGACTCTTTGAATAATGGCTTTGAATTAAGCTTTTAGCTACGCAACGTAATATTTATACATATTCGCATAATCGTCTTTGTAATGTAATGAAATAACACATTTTTCTTGAATTTTTTTAAGGACTTAAATGTGCAGTAAATGTTCCTCCACAGAGCAGAAAAGTTTCACAGTGCTTCTGCATCATGCTCACGTCGCCGTCGAATCAGCCCTGTCGAGTGTAGAAAAACATTGACCATAATTTAATCAATTTTATATTATAATAGTCTTGAAATATTTATTCACCATTATTCGATTTAGATAAGCTTTATACAAGGATTATACATTTTTTTTTCTGCTAAAATACGAGTTTGTACAGAGTTTTATCAAGGAATGTGCTGATAATGAAAAATCATTGAATAGTTCGGCAAGTTTTAGAAGCATTATTTATAAATCAAAAATAATCCATGCAACATGCTTTGTTAAATGATATTTTACGTGTTGATAAGTTAAATCTATATTTGGTAAAAATAAAAATAATTCTAAACAAGTAAATAAAATAATAGTATTTTACACAGGATGAAAATACGTACATGGACGTAAAAATGTTGATAACTTTTTGACTTTTTAATTTTTATTTTCATAATATATATTTTATGTATCCACATATATTACAATTTTATATACAAGGATTCCAGAGTAAACCATAAATATTTAACGCAATAAACCCTAGAAAAAAGTCGGAGCACGTTTTCACAAAATGAAATAGATTACATTGTTACATGTACCTATAAAAATTATAAACGAGCAAATTAAAAAGTAGAATTATGTATAAGTGGAAGGTTCAGCCACGTCGAAAAAACTTATATTTATAATAACAGACAAAAAACATATAAAACGCAGAATAATGAGAAAGAAAAGAGCAGACAAGATAGACATGAGTTTTATTCTGATATTCTTAATCATTCAAACGTAATTCAGGATATGCTGCAGATTGATTCTTGATATTTTTATACGATACAGAATTACTTTGGGTTTTTACCAATTTTAAGATTGATTTTAGTATTTAATCAATTATTGATGAGGTACACAGGTAATATTTTTTCGATTTTTTTCGATTATAAAAAAATGATGTTGACAGTATAGTGTAATGAGGTGATTTTAGTATTAGATACTAAATTTTCATGTATTTTTGAAGTAAACACGATAAAAATATCTCGTTGCATATCTTTTAACCACAAACCAACTATGAACTGCGTAATAAATTACTGATAGTTAAAATACGTCCGAACAGCGAAAGATTTATATTAATATAATTTTTATAATAGCTATAATAACTGTGAAACTAATAAGGTTAGCAAAATAAAAAAACTACACTGATAAAAATATTCGCTTTTTACAACTACGGCAATTTTTGATGATTTTTTTCTTTGCATCATTCACCTGATATTTCTTACAAAGTTATGTTTGGACGAAATTTGAATAAATTTATACAGATTTAAACCAAAAAAATTCGTTTACGTAAGGAACTGATAAAATCTGATTGCTTAATTCCAAAATATAACATTAATTTGTTTTGTAATTGTAGTCGGATATCGTTTCAGTCAAACCAATTTTAAATCTGTACAACTTAAATCTAAGATATGAAAATGCATTTTTTCATTTTTCCGAAAAATGAACAATATAATAACTCTTAAGTAATATCAAATAATTCAATCAATTTAAAAAATTTCGTATAAAGAAGTTAAATTATACACCAAAGTCTTAAAATATACTTTCGATGGCATAATTTAATCACAATTATCTACGCAAATCGTGTCTATAAAATTAAATGATTACACAGCCTTTAAAGTCAAACGATTAGATCATGTAACTAATGTACATTTACTTTTGTTAAATAGTTTGCTCTTAACCAATTAGAAAATGAGAACTTGTCGTTTTTAAACTAATTTATTAAATGATATTCAATTTTTCTGAGAAAAAAATTGAAATTTGAAAAAAGTTTTTATAAATACGAAACACTAGTTCGTTTGATTACTTCGAAAAATTAAGTTTATGACTTTAAATAATGAGCGAAAAAAATGTAGTAGAAAATCGATTTGTAAATAAATGCTCAGAAAGACATTTTGAGCCTTTCAGCTTTCGAGTACTCCAATAAAAAAAGTTTTACTTAATTTTAATTAATTCTACATTGATCTATAAAAAATTTAATACTGGCACGTATAAAATGCTATTAGGACAAACTTTACTCTAGTATTTCAACATTTTGAAACTTTAATTTACTCTCACGTCTCCTTAGTTGTGCAAAATTGATAATTATACGGTAATAACTTACAAACAGTGACTTTCACTTAAAAAGATAAAAAACAAACCTATTTATAAAAAAAAGCTATAATTTAAAATTACCGTAACATTCTTTTAAATAACGAACAAGATATATTGTTTGCATATGAGCAAAAAAATTAATGGAAGCCCGTGCTATATCAAAATTTTCAGAACAGAAAAATTATTAAAATTTTAATATTACGAAAAAATTATGAGATTATTGAAATCCCAATTTTTCTTTCATTGATATTTTTAAATTGAAAATCGTGAAAACATTTTTTTGTTATACTTATTAAAAATGCTTTAGAAAAAAATTGGTACTCTTCTAAATTTGTCACGAAAAGAAAAGTAACCTCCTATAAATACAGATGAAATTGGAATCAGTTTTTATACGATGAACATACTTAATTCTGAAAGCGGATCAGCATAGAATAGTATCCATTTTGTTAAATTTTATTAGTGTCAATGTACAATACTGTTTTGAATTAGTTTTAAACCTTCATCCATTTACCACCAGCCACCTGTACATGTGGTGGTCTAAGTTTTCAAGTACACAGGTTCTGAATTCCAAATTGCAGTTCGTTTGTGCTTCGTAAATAAATTAAAAAACAATTTATTACGAGCTTACGAGCACTTTGTGAAAATAAAAATGAATAATTTTTATAATATTAATACAAATATCTTTTTTACTTTTTTTTTTCTCTTGAATAAACGACTTTCAATCTGGTAATTCATACTCGTGTAGGTAGAAAGAATTAGACCACACATGCTGTAAGTACACCCATCACACGTCAACCAATATCCCCACTGTATTCTTGACCATTTAAAAGATTACGATTATAAATGGCAGCCCTGTAACTATACCTATTTGTAGCAGGTCGGTCTGGAACCGGAGGCGGCACCAACGCCATATCCATATTCATAAAAGCACCGCTTTCGTCGACCTCACCGATACTGCTGTCTACCAGAGACGGCTCGTTTTCTGTATACGGTAATTTTGAACGCAGTAGATATGCGTAGGTTTTATATCTTTTGAGCTATTGAAATAAAGCAATCATATTATTATTACTAACTGACTTGTTTTTTGAAATTAGAAATGAAATTACTCACCTCATGATGTAAATATGCATCTTTTTCTTTGTAATTTTGAATTAATTGACTTTTCGCCCCTTTTTCAGGTGGATGTCGTCGGTGCTCATCTAAATCAGCTTCGAGTTTACAAACTCTATCTTCATGATCGCGCAATTGTTCTCTCTGTAAGTAGGTATTGAAAAAAATATTATTTCGAATAAATTAGTGAATGATATCCAATGATTTAGGAAAGTTTTTAATTGATTTGCAGTAAATGTGATTTCAATAACTAGTTTACATACGCGTAAATTGAAAATACTTACCGGGTTAAGTTTAGTGTGACTACATGGAAGTACAGGCCTCTGGAACTTTCGTTGAGAACCTACTGCACTTGCAAGAGGTTGAGCAGAGAAACTGGCACAAACAAAGTTAATCGTATCTATCCAGGACTGAAGTTCTTTGGAATCACTAGAATACGTTATAATATTATGTTAAATACTCAGCAAAAAATTAAAACAAACATTGTTTTTAATCGGTATAGTTAAAATTTACACCAACCTCGTTTGAAATAGGTATTCAGCTTGATTGGCAGTCTGTAACCTGAAAACGTGCTGTCGTTTCGTGTAGTCAGTCGCTTTTGTAGCCAAAGCATGATGAATAGCAATGACATTGTGCGAACTATTATTGTGGAAGCTATGTTCATCTTTGTCCAAATATAATACAAGTTCTTTTAACGTGCAATGGTACATTTTCCAACCACGTTTTCCCAATGGAGCTGTAACAAAAAGTTTGTCGAAATAATAAAACATATTCGCGTATAAAATTTAAGAACGTAAAAATGACGATTACTTTTTTTCCCATCAGGATCGAAACAACTTTTGCGCATAACATAGCCTTTTTTGTATTCTTTTGCACTGGAAATGTTTGGCACTTCAATAAATGGATTGCCGGCAATAACCGGACTATCGCCTTGCTGTAGCGTTTGAGCAAAGCCCTCTTCCGCTTCTTCGTCACTGCAAAAAGTAAGTAAATTTAAAAATCGTATTTAAAATCGGTAAATATTTAACTTACAGAGCCCATTCAAGGGGAAACGATTTGATGGCTCCATAGAGCTGTTTCAATACTTCTTTAGGGAAGTCTTCGCCATCATTTAGTTCAACGAGATTTTCAATAAATTCAGAGACAGTCATTTTTTTACCAATGTTGGGACCATGTAGATCAGTGTTGAGCAACATTATTGCACAGGTCAAGGTATGAACGGCATCTGAAGCAAAAAAGTAACACATATCGAGATAACTATCGGAAAACTAAAAAATCTGTAAGATTTTAATTTTTTCGAAATTTTACCTTGTGAATTGAAAGAACCCGGATTACAATCGAGGTACCTTTTGGAAAAATGAACGAGAACACGTTCTCTTTCTTGAGTCTCCCCAGTAAGAGAAAATTGCGCGAGAAACTTTCTTAGAGCCACGTCCAGCGTGTCATTTTCGAAATTAAAGTAGCGCAAATATTCATCAGCAACTGCTTTGCTGAAGTCATTGCTGAAAAATTACAAAAGAGAAAAAGAGAGTGAGTAAATCAAATGAGCATGTTTCAAACGCGTATTAAATACAAATGAACATGGACACATGAAATCTTAAAAATGAGTACTTTTTACTGAGATGCCTGGAGACGTCGGACTTTTTGAATCCATCGAGCGAATAAAGGCGCTTCGCTAGTCTGATAGCGGACGGCATATCCACGGCTTTGGGGCTGTAGTGATAGCTGTGAAGACTCTCAATGTCGCTTTCCTCGTCGGCGGAGTGCGGCGGTGATGTGTGATGCTGCTCGTCTTCGTGCAATTCCTGATAGTAGCAATCGCGGTGTTGCACAGGAGGCGAGTGTTGAACCGGTGGATTGTTGGTTATCGGAGGAATGGAGTCTGGTCCGGCACTTCCCAATCTTCGCCGACCACCGCGTGGACTGTTGTTGCTATTTGCACAATTGGAATTGGAATTGGCTGTACCCCCATTGGGTCCCTTGACCTGGATGATTATACGATGCTGTTGCTCGTTGCTCGTTTGTTCTGTTGTGGATGCAGATTGCTGCTTCTTTTGCTGTTTACTCACACGACGTTGGGGTGGTTCGCTGGCGAGTATCGTAGAATCGCTATCGCTGGGGTCGCTGACCATCATATTGTCGCGAGCACTGAGTATATCCATCGTTTCCTCGTCGTTGTAATCCGGACTCGACATGTTACTGATGACCTCGGACTGGCTGAGCTCGCCGTTGACCTGCTGCTTCGGAGCGGACGACGAGTGATGTAGCTGTTGCTGCTGCTGCTGCTGTTGTTGTTGAGGTTGCTGCTGTGTCTGGTTCTGGTGCGTCGTCGCGGCGTTGCCAGGCACAGGAAACCTACGGGATCCAGAGTTGGAGGACATGACGGAAGACGAGACCGAGGTCGGGGAAGCGGGCGACAAGGAGCGTTGGGGACTCGAGGCTTCGGTCGAGGACGAGCTGCTGCTGCTGCTGCCGCCACCGTTCGACGATGACGACTGGCTGCAGGACGTGTGGGAGTTCGGATGGGAGCAAGAGGACGAGCTGCTGCTGCTGCTACTGCTACTAGCATCGCCGAAACTCGAGCTCGAGTGGCAGGGCTGCTGCTGCTGCTGCTGAGGATCTCCACCACCACCTACTACACCGCCCGCTGGGGCATTGTACGTCCAAACGATTCGATCGCCCTCCGGGCGTTCCTCGCCAGGCTGTTGATCGGCCGAGGGTCTCGTGTCGAGGAGCGTATTCAACGACGAAGCCACATCCTCATCCATCTCAAGCTCGGCAGCGAGCATCGCCGGGTCTTTTTGCACCTGCAGCTGATCCTCGGATCGCGAGGTGCGAACGAAACTGGCGTGTCCCGAGGAACCACCGTCGTTCGAACAGCCCGATTCCTGACGATTCAGCTTGACCGGTGAGCTGCTGGCCGAGTTGCCGCTTCGACGATGCGGCTGCTGCTGCTGACCCACGCTCGGACTCGTCGGTACCGAGTTGTGCTGCTGCGGCGGCGGCGGCGGCGGCTCTTGCGCCTGCTGGTGGTTGTTGTGCTGATGATGATGGTGGTGGGCTTCGTCGTTGTTGTTATTGTTGTTATTATGGTGGTTATTTTGGTGGTGATGGTGATGGTGGTGGTGGTGGTGGTGACGGTGGTGGTGGTGGGTATTCGCGTGATTGCTGTACCTCAACGAGTCGACTTTTTTCTGCTTCGGTAGGAGCCCACTCGTCTGTTGTGTCCTCGAAAGATTCAGCATCAGATCTCCGGTCATCATATACGCCTCAAATCTGTTGATTCAAAAATTATGCAGATAAAATTTCGCAGCCAATTAATGCTACCCAAAAAATTTTTTGTCATTAATGGGATTCGATGAGTAATGTAATTCAAGGTATCTAACAATCTCTCTGCATAGTTATTATGGGTGAAAATAATCTCTCTCTCTAAGAAAACTTTTAAATCATCATTGACTGGTTGCAGAGGCTAAGTGCAGCTGGAAATAACATGGTTATGAGCATTCTTTACAGGTTACAACTTGCAATCGAAGTGACATTTTTCATTTTTAAATTTCTTTTCATTGTAACACAATACAGTGACCTGACACTCGCAAAAGATTTTTCAATTGTACTCAAAGCACTACCGATTAGAAAACATTTATTTATGTACGAAATATGTTTAATATTTGTGTATGAAAACAAAAAGTAAACATTCCAGCAAAATATGACATACATGACTATAAATAGATATTGCATCAAGCGGACATGACTATTTTACTAAAATTATTATTATTTTGGTTATTTATCACGAAGGGAGAAGTTGTGAGATTCCAGATTAACTAATGCTAAATAATTTTGTACTTAATATACGTAGCCACATATTAACGTGTAAAACATGTTTTTATGTTGTTCGTAGAAGCTATTTTAAATCGAAATAATGCAGCGACTGAGATGATATTTTAACGAATGTCTGGAACGTGAACGAAGACGTATAATAATAATATGACTGCTCGTTAAAAAATCAAACGGTAAGATTATGCGCAATAGAGCATGCGTAAAATAAACTGAAATAGTTTATTTCTCAAAATACGAATAAAGGACATCTATATTTAAGAATCAGAGAGATGGAAAGAAATTTTCTATAAGTTATGATGATGATATTTCTTAGTACTAACCATGCCCATAAAATAATTGTGATAATTTTTACCATCTGAAACATTGTACACATATCAACGAGCCTCGAACAGATATAATGAAAAAAGTACCTTTTGACGTGGTTTTTGGGACGAGGTACCTAGTGTATTAATTCATCGTGAATGAAAGCATGAGTAGTAATTATATGTATATATCCACGCGTATCATCAAATGATATTAAGCAACGATAAATGTCGCGAGAGCGTGAAGGATCTGCAAAAGTTTTGGAGTTGAAAGACGGTATAAACCGATATGCACGTACCTGGGCGGATTGGTCGGTCGTTTCGAAGCATCGGAACCCAAAGGTTCCCACTTGTGCTCCTCGTCCTTGCTATTCTTCTTGGCGGCCGGTATGAGCGCCTCGAGATCGGAGGCGTCGCTGCACGAGCCATTGCTCCGCGAGTGTTGCTGCTGCTGAGTCGTCGCCACCGCCGTCGCCGCTGTGGAATTCTGCGGGGTTGGACTGCTGATAATAGGCTCGGGTGACGCCGAAGATGATTTGCTGCGCGATCGCGACGAGGTCGACGTCGACGAGGAGGAGGCACGTTTCACGAGGTCAGCAGCGGCGCCGATGCCGCTATTGCTGCCGACGCTGTTCAGCTTGTGGCTTATGCTGGCCAGCGTGCTACCGTCTATCTCGTCCTCGATCGTGTCCGTGCGCGATAGCAGCCGGCGCAGCTGTGCTTTGATTTCTGGATCTGTGTAAAAGATGATTTTTGTACCATTGCACGCATTATACTCCAATACGTTTTCGAACGTAAAATCATAAATCCTGCGCGGCTTAGAGAGCTCTTACCTCGGCGTAGCTGAAGCGTAACGGGATCCGAAGATAGCCGGAGACATTTTAGTACTGCAACAGAGTTGTGTTTAGCTTATAATATGCAGCAGAACTTGCATCATAAATTTTGCTGCTATTAGAGCAACTGATCTTCTAACATATAAATCTCAGCGGATTTATAATGTATGTACTACACAAACGTCTACGTTCACGCACGTTTACGCTTATTAGATTCGAAAATCACTACATACGTTGTTATCAATTTTTTTCTCTCTCACTTCTCTCTTTGTGCATCTGGTAAACAAACGTGACACAATACATTAAATGCATCGCGAGTACTTTACTCTATCTCGCGCCTCGGCATAAGTGCAAGGTTACTGGAGCAATTTGATATTCATACAATTATATTAATCAAGCTCTTTAAATAAGCGCAGTTGGAAATTTCTTTTTTTTTATTTTTAACAATTGTCTTGAAAACATAATGATCCGAATGGAATCTTGTTAACTTTTGTCGTGTCTCAGACTTTTTTTCATATACAGCCAATAAAAAGATCTGGGAAAGAAAGAAACTCCTATTCCCTACGTAAATTACATCTATCGAACTCAGTCAGCCAAAAAAAAAAAAAAATTTCCTTTATTACATGCATCCTACCTAGGGAGCATATAAAACTTGCCGTCTTTCATTCCCAGCAAACCGATCGATCGATTTGCTAAACTACCCAACCCATTGTACGACCGACGATCTAGTACAATTCTCCGCGCAAGTAGAGAAAATTCCAACGACACAGAGCCTCGCACGCGTATAGGTACACGGTACACGCAAATTACGTTATGAATCTCAAAATAGAAAAATCATTAATTACCTTCTTTGGTAGTAAAACGATTGACGTCGACTTCGTTCACTCTGAGTATAACGTCACCAGCCTCGACCTGTAAAAAACAAAGCATACAACGTTGTTACTAATTTTCGTTTTGCATTTATACAGGCAACTTGCAATAATTAAAATCCAATGCATCAATGCCCATAAATGTTTTATATCGTCCGTAAGAGAAAAATAATGGAATAAAAGGGCAACGCCACGTATTTCCGATTGGTCGTTGAAACGGTACGACGTTAGATTAAAGCACAGCGCTCAAAAATTGCTCGGGGTTATTGGCTGCGTATATCGATAGGCGTGCTGTGCTCAAAAAAAAATCGTCAATTGCGCATAGCAGTCGATGTACAACAGATCGGCATTCGGTGCACAGCAGATGCGTAACATGCTCCAATAACTATACAAGTCTGCGCGTTTGCTCGCACAGTAGGCACGGAAGACAGTTCCATTGCGGCGCTCGACGATGACAAGGAGAGAGACAAATGATAATAACTATTTACCTCTTGCGTCAAGGGCGCGTACTTGACGTAATCGAAAGCGTACTCGCTGCGCCGTGCCTCGAGACAATCTCGCAAGCTCTGACAGCACGGTAATAGGAAACAAGCGCCGCAATAGTCCATCAGCTTCATGACTTGCGTGATTTTATTATCTTTTTTTTTCTTCTCGCACTTTTGTCACTCCTCGCGAATACGATTCCGCTCGAAGACACCTGTGCGCGCACTGCACAGGCTTGTTTGTCTTTCGACAAAGCCATCTTCGCGCGCTCGCTCTAAGCTTGCCAATTGAGATTATTTTTAAACATAGGCCAGAAGAATAAGCTATAGACACGTGACATTGACTTTAAGACCGGCGCTTCGCGATTAATACCGACTGTATGTTGCCTCAAGTGCAGTGAACGTGTGTGTGTGTGTGTGTGTGTGTGTGTGTGTGTACTTTGTCAAATGTAGAAAAAGTAGACGAATTTCGAGGTGGCTTTTTTATTGACTCGTCGTACCGACGTGAACCAGCCCCAAGGGATAGCTGTGGCCGACCCACCTATGTGGAAATAAAGATAAAACGTTGTTGTGTACCCCTACAATTTTTCATGATTTTTCACCCTCGGTTTCATACAAATAAGCTCTAAACTTTCTTTTATTTTATACAAGATAAACATTTTCCAACAATGTTCTTCATTACAAGTTACTCTACATTTATACATCGGTTATATAGCTCGCTCTGATGTATAATTACATATAGGTAAAGCCAATTAAAAACGTGTGTACAACTTTGTTATACCTAACGATTTTTCGAACTTGATGCATGAAAATGGAATATTATATGCTCGCGTTTGCGTGAATGAAAAAGCTGCGTTGCGTGTCTCGCCGAGCCATGTACAGTGCGCGTTTGTGTGTGTGTGTGTGTGTGTGTGTGTGTGTGTGTGTGTGTGTTAACGTAAGCGCGAGCGAATCTAATGAAACGACTCGAACATTAGCTTTTTTTTTCTCTCACTTTGCTTCGTCGATATGCCTGGCTTTTTTCGTTTGTAATTAAAAAAAAAAAAATTGCCACGTAATCACTCGCATGCTTTTCTTATAATCCAATTCGTTTGCGTATACGCATTTCATGCCACGACGATATATGTAACTCGTTTGAAACAGAGAGAGAGCAAAAGAGGAAAAAAGAATCGAGGGCGGGATTAAAAAATACGCGCGAAGAAAGAGCGTAACCCGACACTGGTTCGTCTTTTGCGCACAGTGACTCGCCGCCACGATGCGTTGTACTGCTCTGCCTTACTTACACTGCCGACACATATCGTTAACCGCTCACTTCCGTCTCGTATTATTTTTTATTTCAAATACAAAAAAAAACAGAGGTTTCGCTGGTTAAGGGTCACTTACATTTGTTCATTCAATTTTTCGATCCGCGCGGTATTATAAACATTGTAAAAATGCCTCGAAGCTTTCATCGGGTTAGCTCCCTTTTTCATATGCATAATATCTTTAGATCAAGCAGAGTTAGAGCGAGAATATCGCGTGTAAAATTAAACTTGCGGCAAAATTACGATGCCGTACGTAATATACAATAGAAACTTGCAATTTTCGAGGTGCATACGTAAGTTACGTCGGGATATAGCATTTCATTTCTTCGCCGCTTTGTGTCTATATACTTGTTCAATTTTCTCAATTTATGCATATCGTGCATGCAGGCGTGAACAATAGCGAGAGACTTAATTGCTGTTATAAAACTGTTGAATCGGACTTTGGAGGCATAAACGACTTTTTTTATGCGATCAAACGCGCATCTCGCGTACGGCTCCAATAAAGCTGAATAAATATACGCAAGCTCCTGCAAGGTTGGCGATGATATGAAACACGCGTATCCGTTGTAAGCTCGTATTATATATTTTCTAAATATCACAACCGAAGGTAAGTAAACATAAGTGTATATGAGCTCTTGAAAAGTATAAAGGGAAAAAACGCATGTGCCATGTGTATATATGTTTGCGAGCGCGCGCGCGCGGTATCGATCCCCTTGCGCTGCGCGCTTAGTCTTTCATTCATTCGTCGAGTCTACATAACACAGGCACCGCCGCGTCACCGCCGCCGCCGTCGACGATCTTTGCTCCCCCTTTTTTGAGAGATGTTCGTATAAATGTGTCTGCGTCTACTCGGGACCCTTCGAGCCAGACTTTCTCACCGAGAGGAGCTTTTGTGGACATGAAAAAAATACAAGATATTTCACGCGCCAAAATATTATATTTAGCTAAAACTGGGTTGCAAATTGCCTGCACTCGATAGTATCGAACGCTCGAAAAGCGTTAAATAAATCACTTGATTTATTTTTAAGCATCGTAGTACGTAGTAAACATGCAGATATGCATAAGGTTGAAAGCGTGCGTGTCGCGATGAGATTCGAAGAATATCGACAGATTTATTTTTTCCAATACGGGAATTTGCATGCAACACATTATGTCGAGCAAGTGACCGATTCCTCTTTATATCTGCATATACATCGTGTTATACGAATGACTCTTGAATATGTATAAACAAATGCATTTTCGTTTCTTTAACTTTTGAAGGCGCAAGTTTGTTGCTGTATTAAGAGCTTTTGGTATTGTGTACGTGTGCGTAAGCAACGTAACATTTATTATCATAGGAGGTCATCTTTGTTTGATACATGCTCATAAGTTCAAACAATGCATCATCCTAGCCGATTTTTTTCGATCTTCAATCGACGCGTGTACACGATGTACGCATCTTATTGTGCTATACCTTGTGTGCACTTTCGAGCAGTTGCGAATTTTTAAGTACATTTATTAATAGCACGTAGACAAGCGTCGCGCGAAAGCAGCCTAGTTGCACGCAGTCTATTATCCGTATCTTGAACCCAGCGTGATCTCTCTCTCTCCCACTCGCGAGTACCGTATAATAATATCATTCGCGCGCGGCGCATGACCCATCATTATCGTCTTTTTATTGAAATATTAATGCGAAATTACGATTGTTTGCGGGAAAAATTACGATCGTTCTCGCGTGCGTGTCCCCTAAAAATGAAATGTGCAGTGTCGCAAGTTCACGATACGTCGACGACAATGGCGACCGGTGGCGCCTGCTGCAATGACGCATCCAATTCATTTGGCCCCCACAGCTGTATAGTATATACGTGGGCTCGTGCGCACACGTTATAGAGTTTGAGGCTGCGGTTCACCACGTTTGTATACATACATTCGCGTGCAGTTACGAATTCAGTCAATTGGTTTTCTCTACCAATATACATATCCTCTCTCTCTCTCTCTCTCGAAATGAATTTCGTTTCCATAATAATACAGTACCAGAGCAAACTCATTTATTTTTTATTCTATTATGCAAAGCTTGAATGCATTTTCTTTCTTCGAGATTATATTTACTATAACAACGAGACATCCTGTCCTCATTGCTTTTCTTCGCTCTCTAGGAAAAATCGTATACCCTTGCGACGTCTAATACGTATTCGAATGTATGTCAGTAACAGCAGAGCGCACAATGCTTTGTATAACACATATACGCGTCGTCGCGTCGATAATATAGCTTTAAGCATTTTGAAATAAAGTGGAACGCACAAAGAGCATCGCGCAGCTTCCATATACACGTATTACATTGAAAGGCCATCAACGTCGCGGCAAACGACGGATATCCGATGCTGCGTACGCGTGTGCAGCAGCGACAGCGAGAACCTTGGCAATTGCGCCTGTGTGTGCCACAAATTACAACCCTTTCACAATGCCGCGCGTGTTTACCCTTTGCATAGCCCGTGTAACTCCGCGTTCGAGATCATTTTCCGAAGGAGTCGACTACTTTACATATGACGATAATTAATGGTGAAAAGTAAAAGGATATTTTTTCAAGACAAAGGGCGGAAGTTCGTCCTACGCGAGTTTCGTAAACTCAAAGATGAACTAGGTGTGGCTGTTATGCTTCTTTCCAATCAACCTGTTTTCCTTTTACGTACGTGCATTTAATAATATATTATAAAAAAAAACTTTTTAAAATCTGTCCATAAAAAGTTTTCCTTGCGCTTGAAAATATTGGCAAATCCGAGCACAAATATAGCCAATGTGTCCGCTCATCTTATACATAAAAGTACACAAGCACAGAGAGAGTGTCTCGAGTTTAGCTACCCACATGTATGTGGGATACGTGACGTTATTAGAGAAGTTCCTTGAACTTATAAGCGTTGGTCGAGTGAGTTACTATATAGTAGGTACTAGGTGTATATATTTGTGCGTGCAAGCGCCAGACGAGGAGGAGGAAGTCTCGCGCATATATACACGCATAAATTGTCTATTCGGTAAACAAAATTTGCCTTCGCTGCACGCGTTAGATGCAAACTACGAGCGAAAGCAAAATGGAAACGAGTAATAATTTTTACCGAACTGTACTGTTGTTGATATACGCGTTTATAGCGGAAACAAACGCAAATACACATCCGATCGATCGACGAATTCAACAATTTATAAATGACTTATGGTTACGTAATCGGATCAGCGATTAATTACTCGAAAACAAACAAAATGCATGTACATGAAAAGGTAAAATA